CCTACCATAACCAAAGCCAGGAAGGGAATTGTGGGGGCATTGTAGGGAGGTTGGTACATTGCCATTCATTTAATGTAATAACATATTACATGTATATGCCTACCATAACCAAAGTCAGGAAGGGAATTGTGGGGGCATTGTAGGGAGGTTGGTACAGCACCATTCATTTAATGTAATGACCTATTACATGTATATGCCTACCATAACCAAAGCCAGGAAGGGAATAGTGGGGGCATTGTAGGGAGGTTGGTACACTGCCATTCATTTAATGTAATGACCTATTACATGTATATGCCTACCATAACCAAAGCCAGGAAGGGAATTGTGGGGGCATTGTAGGGAGGTTGGTACATTGCCATTCATTTAATGTAATGACCTATTACATGTATATGCCTACCATAACCAAAGCCAGGAAGGGAATTGTGGGGGAATTGTAGGGAGGTTGGTACACTGCCATTCATTTAATGTAATGACCTATTACATGTATATGCCTACCATAACCAAAGCCAGGAGGGAATAGTGGGGGCATTGTAGGGAGGTTGGTACATTGCCATTCATTTAATGTAATGACCTATTACATGTATATGCCTACCATAACCAAAGCCAGGAAGGGAATTGTGGGGGCATTGTAGGGAGGTTGGTACACTACCATTCATTTAATGTAATGACCTATTACATGTATATGCCTACCATAACCAAAGCCAGGAAGGGAATTGTGGAGGCATTGTAGGGAGGTTGGTACATTGCCATTCATTTAATGTAATGACCTATTACATGTATATGCCTACCATAACCAAAGCCAGGAAGGGAATTGTGGGGGCATTGTAGGGAGGTTGGTACATTGCCATTCATTTAATGTAATGACCTATTACATGTATATGCCTACCATAACCAAAGCCAGGAAGGGAATTGTGGGGGCATTGTAGGGAGGTTGGTACAGTACCATTCATTTAATGTAATAACCTATTACATGTATATGCCTACCATAACCAAAGCCAGGAAGGGAATTGTGGGGGTATTGTAGGGAGGTTGGTACAGTACCATTCATTTTATGTAATGACCTATTACATGTACATGCCTACCATACCCAAAGCCAGGAAGGGAATTGTGGGGGCATTGTAGGGAGGTTTGTACAGTACCATTCATTTAATGTAATGACCTATTACATGTATATGCCTACCATACCCAAAGCCAGGAAGGGAATTGTGGGGGCATTGTAGGGAGGTTTGTACAGTACCATTCATTTAATGTAATGACCTATTACATGTACATGCCTACCATAACCAAAGCCAGGAAGGGAATTGTGGGGCATTGTAGGGAGGTTGGTACAGTACCATTCATTTAATGTAATGACCTATTACATGTATATGCCTACCATAACCAAAGCCAGGAAGGGAATTGTGGTGGTATTGTAGGGAGGTTGGTACATTGCCATTCATTTAATGTAATGACCTATTACATGTATATGCCTACCATAACCAAAGCCAGGAAGGGAATTGTGGGGGCATTGTAGGGAGGTTGGTACAGTACCATTCATTTAATGTAATGACCTATTACATGTATATGCCTACCATAACCAAAGTCAGGAAGGGAATTGTGGGGGCATTGTAGGGAGGTTGGTACAGTACCATTCATTTAATGTAATGACCTATTACATGTATATGCCTACCATAACCAAAGTCAGGAAGGGAATTGTGGGGGCATTGTAGGGAGGTTGGTACAGTACCATTCATTTAATGTAATGACCTATTACATGTATATGCTTACCATAACCAAAGTCAGGAAGGGAATTGTGGGGGCATTGTAGGGAGGTTGGTACATTGCCATTCATTTAATGTAATGACCTATTACATGTATATGCCTACCATAACCAAAGCCAGGAAGGGAATTGTGGGGGCATTGTAGGGAGGTTGGTACACTGCCATTCATTTAATGTAATGACCTATTACATGTATATGCCTACCATAACCAAAGCCAGGAAGGGAATTGTGGGGGCATTGTAGGGCCTAGGGAGGTTGGTACAGTACCATTCATTTAATGTAATGACCTATTACATGTATATGCCTACCATAACCAAAGTCAGGAAGGGAATTGTGGTGGTATTGTAGGGAGGTTGGTACAGTACCATTCATTTAATGTAATGACCTATTACATGTATATGCCTACCATAACCAAAGCCAGGAATGGAAGTGTGGGGGCATTGTAGGGAGGTTGGTACAGTACCATTCATTTTATGTAATGACCTATTACATGTACATGCCTACCATAACCAAAGCCAGGAGGGAATTGTGGGGGCATTGTAGGGAGGTTGGTACATTGCCATTCATTTAATGTAATGACCTATTACATGTATATGCCTACCATAACCAAAGCCAGGAAGGGAATTGTGGGGGCATTGTAGGGAGGTTGGTACATTGCCATTCATTTAATGTAATGACCTATTACATGTACATGCCTACCATAACCAAAGTCAGGAAGGGAATTGTGGGGGAATTGTAGGGAGGTTGGTACATTGCTATTCATTTAATGTAATGACCTATTACATGTATATGCCTACCATAACCAAAGTCAGGAAGGGAATTGTGGGGGCATTGTAGGGAGGTTGGTACAGTACCATTCATTTAATGTAATGACCTATTACATGTACATGCCTACCATACCCAAAGCCAGGAAGGGAATTGTGGGGGCATTGTAGGGAGGTTGGTACACTGCCATTCATTTTATGTAATGACCTATTACATGTACATGCCTACCATAACCAAAGCCAGGAATGGAAGTGTGGGGGCATTGTAGGGAGGTTGGTACAGTACCATTCATTTTATGTAATGACCTATTACATGTACATGCCTACCATAACCAAAGCCAGGAGGGAATTGTGGGGGCATTGTAGGGAGGTTGGTACAGCACCATTCATTTTATGTAATGACCTATTACATGTACATGCTTACCATAACCAAAGCCAGGAGGGGAATTGTGGGGGCATTGTAGGGAGGTTGGTACAGTACCATTCATTTAATGTAATGACCTATTACATGTATATGCCTACCATAACCAAAGTCAGGAAGGGAATTGTGGGGGCATTGTAGGGAGGTTGGTACACTGCCATTCATTTAATGTAATGACCTATTACATGTATATGCCTACCATAACCAAAGCCAGGAAGGGAATTGTGGGGGCATTGTAGGGTGGTTGGTACAGTACCATTCATTTTATGTAATGACCTATTACATGTATATGCCTACCATAACCAAAGCCAGGAAGGGAATTGTGGGGGCATTGTAGGGAGGTTGGTACAGTACCATTCATTTTATGTAATGACCTATTACATGTATATACCTACCATAACCAAAGTCAGGAAGGGAATTGTGGGGGAATTGTAGGGAGGTTGGTACACTGCCATTCATTTAATGTAATGACCTATTACATGTATATGCCTACCATAACCAAAGTCAGGAGGGGACATGTGGGGGCATTGTAGGGAGGTTTGTACAGTACCATTCATTTAATGTAATGACCTATTACATGTATATGCCTACCATAACCAAAGTCAGGAAGGGAATTGTGGGGGCATTGTAGGAGGTTGGTACAGTACCATTCATTTAATGTAATGACCTATTACATGTATATGCCTACCATAACCAAAGCCAGGAAGGGAATTGTGGGGGCATTGTAGGGAGGTTGGTACACTGACATTCATTTAATGTAATGACCTATTACATGTACATGCCTACCATAACCAAAGTCAGGAAGGGAATTGTGGGGGCATTGTAGGGAGGTTGGTACAGCACCATTCATTTTATGTAATGACCTATTACATGTACATGCTTACCATAACCAAAGCCAGGAAGGGAATTGTGGGGGCATTGTAGGGAGGTTGGTACACTGCCATTCATTTAATGTAATGACCTATTACATGTATATGCCTACCATAACCAAAGCCAGGAAAGGAATTGTGGTGGCATTGTAGGGAGGTTGGTACAGTACCATTCATTTAATGTAATGACCTATTACATGTATATGCCTACCATAACCAAAGCCAGGAAGGGAATTGTGGGGGAATTGTAGGGAGGTTGGTACACTGCCATTCATTTAATGTAATGACCTATTACATGTATATGCCTACCATAACCAAAGTCAGTAAGGGAATTGTGGGGGCGTTGTAGGGAGGTTGGTACACTGTCATTCATTTAATGTAATGACCTATTACATGTATATGCCTACCATGACCAAAGCCAGGAAGGGAATTGTGGGGGCATTGTAGGGAGGTTGGTACATTGCCATTCATTTAATGTAATGACGTATTACATGTATATGTCAACCATAACCAAAGCCAGGAAGGGAATTGTGGGGGCATTGTAGGGAGGTTGGTACAGTACCATTCATTTAATGTAATGACCTATTACATGTATATGCCTACCATAACCAAAGCCAGGAAGGGAATTGTGGGGGAATTGTAGGGAGGTTGGTACACTGCCATTCATTTAATGTAATGACCTATTACATGTATATGCCTACCATAACCAAAGTCAGTAAGGGAATTGTGGGGGCGTTGTAGGGAGGTTGGTACACTGTCATTCATTTAATGTAATGACCTATTACATGTATATGCCTACCATGACCAAAGCCAGGAAGGGAATTGTGGGGGCATTGTAGGGAGGTTTGATACACTGACATTCATTTAATGTAATGACCTATTACATGTATATGCCTACCATAACCAAAGCCAGGAAGGGAATTGTGGGGGCATTGTAGGGTGGTTGGTACAGTACCATTCATTTAATGTAATGACCTATTACATGTATATGTCAACCATAACCAAAGCCAGGAAGGGAATTGTGGGGGCATTGTAGGGAGGTTTGATACACTGACATTCATTTAATGTAATGACCTATTACATGTATATGCCTACCATAACCAAAGCCAAGAAGGGAATTGTGGGGGCATTGTAGGGAGGTTGGTACACTGACATTCATTTAATGTAATGACCTATTACATGTATATGCCTACCATAACCAAAGCCAGGAAGGACATGTGGTGGTATTGTAGGGAGGTTGGTACACTACCATTAATTATTGTAATGACCTATTACATGTATATGCCTACCATAACCAAAGCCAGGAAGGGAATTGTGGGGGCATTGTAGGGTGGTTGGTACAGTACCATTCATTTAATGTAATGACCTATTACATGTATATGCCTACCATAACCAAAGCCAGGAAGGGAATTGTGGGGGCATTGTAGGGAGGTTGGTACATTGCCATTCATTTAATGTAATAACCTATTACATGTATATGCCTACCATACCCAAAGCCAGGAAGGGAATTGTGGGGGCATTGTAGGGAGGTTGGTACACTGCCATTCATTTAATGTAATGACCTATTACATGTATATGCCTACCATAACCAAAGCCAGGAAGGGAATTGTGGGGGCGTTGTAGGGAGGTTGGTACACTGCCATTCATTTAATGTAATGACCTATTACATGTATATGCCTACCATTACCAAAGTCAGGAAGGGAATTGTGGGGGCATTGTAGGGCCTAGGGAGGTTGGTACAGTACCATTCATTTAATGTAATGACCTATTACATGTATATGCCTACCATAACCAAAGTCAGGAAGGGAATTGTGGGGGCATTGTAGGGAGGTTGGTACACTGCCATTCATTTAATGTAATGACCTATTACATGTATATGCCTACCATAACCAAAGCCAGGAAGGGAATTGTGGGGGAATTGTAGGGAGGTTGGTACACTGCCATTCATTTAATGTAATGACCTATTACATGTATATGCCTACCATAACCAAAGTCAGGAAGGGAATTGTGGGGGCATTGTAGGGAGGTTGGTACAGTACCATTCATTTAATGTAATGACCTATTACATGTATATGCCTACCATAACCAAAGCCAGGAAGGGAAGTGTGGGGGTATTGTAGGGAGGTTGGTACATTGCCTTTCATTTAATGTAATGACCTATATACCTACCATGACCAAAGCCAGGAAGGGAATTGTGGGGGCATTGTAGGGTGGTTGGTACAGTACCATTCATTTAATGTAATGTTACGTTCGAAAATAACAGAAAGTAAAAACAGCAATTAAAATATGATAACAATATATTTATATTTTGAAAAACTAAATAATATAACAATAATATAAAGGAGGTTTAATACTTAAGTGATGTCCAATCAATGATACGGCTTATTCTTGATGTCGATAAATGTCGTTGACGATCCTTGAGAAAGTTCCAGATCACGAAATGTTTCAATAATCGTTAATAGTTCTCCAATGTTTGTAATAATCCAATAATGTTTGTTGTAATCCTATAATGTTTGTATCCAATAATGTTTGATGATAATCCACAAATGTTTGATGATAATCCACAAATGTTTATGAAAATCCACGATTGTATATGATAATCCGTATATAGTGTGTGTTGTAATATATATCCATGTAAAGTCCTCAGGTTGTAGGTTTGTAGTGTTATAAATGTTCCCACAGTAATTATCTGCTAAGAAGATGTCCTTTTGATAAACTTTGAAATTCTGCTGACAGCCCAAATCAGCTCTCTCATTATATAGTGCAAAGGCATAGTCCAGATGTTTCAAGAAGTTACGATTTCTAGAAAATAACACTGATTGGACATCTTAAGTCACATGATTCAATCTTGATTAAATGATTACAGTTCCAGTACTTTCTAGAAGGCCAAGAGTTAATGAGTCATTCAGTTCAGTTATGTTTACAAGATATAATGTCATTGTGACCTTGACTTGACCTAAGATCTCTAATGAAGATCAGTTACAGTATGCATATTGATAAACTAAACTTAATGTGAATATAATAGAATATAATACTGTAACAGTAATGACCTATTACATGTATATGCCTACCATACCCAAAGCCAGGAAGGGAATTGTGGGGGCATTGTAGGGAGGTTTGTACAGTACCATTCATTTAATGTAATGACCTATTACATGTACATGCCTACCATAACCAAAGTCAGGAAGTGAATTGTGGGGGCATTGTAGGGAGGTTGGTACACTGCCATTCATTTAATGTAATGACCTATTACATGTATATGCTTACCATAACCAAAGCTAGGAAGGGAATTGTGGGGGCATTGTAGGGAGGTTTTTACAGTACCATTCATTTAATGTAATGACCTATTACATGTATATGCCTACCATAACCAAAGTCAGGAAGTGAATTGTGGGGGCATTGTAGGGAGGTTGGTACACTGCCATTCATTTAATGTAATGACCTATTACATGTATATGCTTACCATAACCAAAGTCAGGAAGGGAATTGTGGGGGCATTGTAGGTAGGTTGGTACACTGCCATTCATTTAATGTAATGACCTATTACATGTATATGCCTACCATAACCAAAGCCAGGAAGGGAATTGTGGGGGCATTGTAGGGTGGTTGGTACAGTACCATTCATTTAATGTAATGACCTATTACATGTATATGCCTACCATAACCAAAGCCAGGAAGGGAATTGTGGGGGCATTGTAGGGAGGTTGGTACAGTACCATTCATTTAATGTAATGACCTATTACATGTATATGCCTACCATAACCAAAGTCAGGAAGGGAATTGTGGGGGCATTGTAGGGAGGTTGGTACACTGCCATTCATTTAATGTAATGACCTATTACATGTATATGCCTACCATAACCAAAGCCAGGAAGGGAATTGTGGGGGCGTTGTAGGGAGGTTGGTACAGTACCATTCATTTAATGTAATGACCTATTACATGTATATGCCTACCATAACCAAAGTCAGGAAGGGAATTGTGGGGGCATTGTAGGGAGGTTGGTACCGTACCATTCATTTAATGTAATGACCTATTACATGTATATGCCTACCATAACCAAAGCCAGGAAGGGAATTGTGGGGGCATTGTAGGGAGGTTGGTACATTGCCATTCATTTCATGTAATGACCTATTACATGTATATGCCTACCATAACCAAAGTCAGGAAGGGAATTGTGGGGGCATTGTAGGGAGGTTGGTACACTGCCATTCATTTAATGTAATGACCTATTACATGTATATGCCTACCATAACCAAAGTCAGGAAGGGAACTGTGGGGGCATTGTAGGGAGGTTGGTACACTGCCATTCATTTAATGTAATGACCTATTACATGTATATGCCTACCATAACCAAAGTCAGGAAGGGAATTGTGGGGGCATTGTAGGGAGGTTGGTACAGTACCATTCATTTAATGTAATGACCTATTTCATGTATATGCCTACCATTACCAAAGTCAGGAAGGGAATTGTGGGGGCATTGTAGGGAGGTTGGTACACTGCCATTCATTTAATGTAATGACCTATTACATGTATATGCCTACCATAACCAAAGTCAGGAAGGGAATTGTGGGGGCTTTGTAGGGAGGTTGGTACACTGCCATTCATTTAATGTAATGACCTACTATAGTGTTATCATTATCAGATCAGTTGCAGGCCTAGTTTTGTAATTTTTCATTTTTGAACTTATATGCTTGTACTATTTTCTTCTGTACCATCAGTTGGGATTTTGTTATCCATATCGAATTGTTTCACTTTTGTGATCTGTAACAAATTGTTTCACTTTTGTAATCGGTAACAAATCATTACACTTTTTGTTACCATTTGCAATAACTTACCATATATTATCACTTTGTCATGTTATCCCTTTTAATTATTTGAATGTCAGAATATAATGGCAATACAGATGTACTGTAAAATGTAAAAATAGGATACCACCTGTGCATTATAAATAAATGACCCTCACAATGTTAAGGGAGCATACATTATACTATTTCCAGAGCCAATGCCAATGGATATGACCTGAACAGAAATTTCCCTGATTATTTTGAAAACAATCCCAATCCACTTCAGCCTGAGACGCAGGTCATCATGGACTGGTTAAGAGAACTCCAGTTTGTTCTCTCCGCAAATCTGCATGGTGGCGCCCTCGTGGCAAACTATCCCTACGATAACTATGCTGGAGGTATGTACCCAATTGGCAATTGAGTAGTGTTTAGCTCTTAGCAGTCATAGGGGCGTAGCCGGAATCTAAAATTTGGCTTGAGGCAATTTTATTTGCCAAATTTGATTTAAAATTAAAAGTGAAATAATGCTATCATATTTTTATTTTTCATTTTTAGATTTTCTATTTAATAATACATCTGAATTAATATTTTTCTGTAAAACTCTGCCTCGTGACTAGCTACGCCCGTGAGTAAGAGTATTTCACCTGATTTGCCCAATTTCCGATAACATATGCATTGATAGTTTCAAAATCTTATCACATTTTTTCAAGATATTTTAGATTTTAACATATTTCTCATAAAACTCATTGTAAATTTGGAATTTTCAACTAAACATTTCAAAATTGTAAAACTTTGAAAGTTTGCTAATGGAGTTGTGAATTAACAGATGTTTAAAATGTGATTCATAGCACTAAGAAATCCCAAAAAGCTACACAACTATCTCTTAAAAAATGTGACAATGAAATAATGTTTATTGAAGTGGAGAAAATAATGTAAGGATAATGATAAAAAGTAAGTGGTCTCATGCAGAAAATACAAAATAATTGTAAAAGTGAATGCAACTTTATTAAATGTAAACTTTCACTGAATTTTCGTAAACTTATTTATTTATTTTATGATATATTTTTAATAAAACTTCAATGGTGACTGCTTGCTATTGAAATAATATTCTTATCTCTTGTAGTAAATACATATTAAAGGCGGGATAGATTAGGAGGACCCCCACTCAGAACTACAAATGAAATCAATCCAATTAATGACAGTATAACGTATACCATTATGATACATACACTGTACATTATGCCCATATTTAGGTAGCTCTCCAAAAGAGGCTAAGGAGAGTTACGCACCAGATGACGATTTCCTCAAACATATCTGCAAAGTCTATAGTTTTAGTCATAGGACCATGCACCAGGGGGCAGCATGTGATGGAGACCCATCTGGTTTCCCCGATGGCATCACAAATGGTGCAGCGTGGTACCCCTTAACAGGTATCACACAAACCCGTAACTTACAGAATCTACCCATACCTCACAGTATCGACCCATACCCTATTATATTGACCCATGTCTTACAGTATTGATTTGTTAAGTACAGTATCGACCCATACCCTACAGTATTGCCCCCTACCCTATTGTATCAATTTAATGCCTTACAGTATCGCCCAGTATCCTATTTTATCAACCCATATCTTATAGTATAGACCCATAAGGCCATATCCAACAGTATTGACCCATACCCTATTTTATCAACCCATATCTTACAGTATCGACCATAACCTATGGTATCGACCCATATCCTACAGTAACAACCCATATCTTACAGTATCAACCCATATCCTATAGTATCGACCCATACCCTAACATTAGCCCAATCATGTGGGGGCAGTGGGGCACCCTCTGAGCGTCATCAATTTCTTCCTTATTAAGCTCTGTTTCAACTTTTAGAATATGAGTATTGTTTTATGCAACCCATTTTCAAAATGAATTCTTCAATGTTCGGACTCTGACAGACCTGGATGGACATCTCTTTTGCATTATGCATGAACAAAGTCTTTCACTGCATTGACCATCGTGGTAAGGCACACCTTTTCCATATCTGTAGTTCGGCACATCTTCGATTCAGCAGAAATAGTTGCTGTGAGTATGAGAATGTGTTTGAACAAGGTATGCAGTTTGGAGAACATCTTGATGAGACTCTCCATGAACTGTTTCAGAGAAATACATACTCAATAATGTACAGCTTATATACCATGCTTTAGGTGGCCCTCCCAAGGATAGTATTTCCCCAGATGATGACATCTTGCAACATATCTCCAAAGTCTATAGTTTTGGTCACAAGACCATGCACCAGGGGGCGCCATGTCCAGGTCGCTCATCTGGTTTCGCCGATGGTATCACAAATGGCGCAGCTTGGTACACCGCAAGAGGTATAACACACACCATTGACTGGCCTGCTAAGTAGCACGGACTACTGATGACGCAAGAATGATTATTGATAAATAGATTCTACTTTCTTCTTTGTCGGAAATCAATAGTTTGATAGAAAATCCATTTGAATATGACTTTTTATTCTCCTTTTTATTTCTACATTGCCTGGACTATATCTTTCACTGCATTGGCAACATATCTTTCATTCATTGTAAAGACATTGTTTTTATTGCATGAGCAATGTCTTTCATTGCATTGAAAATATCTTTTACTGCAATGGCCTTTCATTACACTCATTATCTACACTCATCATGCAATCCTACACTGACAGTATATTTGTTACTAAATTGCACCTTTTTAGTTAAGTATGCTTAGGTTAACAATCTTCCCATATTTGGGCTTTTTGGATGTATGCTACATCTTTATTAATTATTAGTTGTATGGTCCTGCACGTGACTCTGTTTCCAAAAATCCCATTCCTTACACCATGTGAATGTGGGGAAGGGGAGGGGGGTGAAAAAAGGGTATTGGATCGCGAGAAAGCTTGAAAAACAAACACAACTCCGAAGATTACCTATTTTGGATTTTCTTATAATTTATATACTTTCTGTTTTAGGTACTAAAACATAGGGAAGTTTGGTGGACAGATACACGCACAGTAAAATATTCACATAAGTTTAGATAAATTTCTGTCAATTTTAGCGAGCAGAATTTATAAACCGAGATACACTATTTCTGCTGACGATGATACATTTCGATTCCTCACCAAAACATATTCATTCAGTCACCATCACATGTGGGACAAGCCACGTAATATTTGTCCAGATGATTCCGGGTTTACAGATGGGATTAGTAACGGGGCAGCCTGGTATCCGTTACGGGGTATGAAAAGAGTAAAAGTTGATGCATGTTATGTGTATAATGCATGCTTTGAGTTGCTGTTCTCGAGAGCGCAAAAATATTTTATATTGTGAATATAGACTTTAGAACAAGAGTCACGATGTAAGATTTTTTGAGTAACAGGTCACTGGCCTCAATTGTGTGTTGTATGATGTAACCCTGTTACGGATGCTGTCCAATCATCAACAGTTGTTGAATAATGAAGTTAGTTTCATTAGAGGGAAGAGCATCATGATAAACCATGACATCTCAAATCTTCTCAGCCCTGAGATGTTTCACGTGAAACAGAAAGATGCTATGAGTATCAGAATGGGGGAAGATGGTTAAATGATTATTTTGTCAGAGAATACTGTTTTGTTATATTCAAGTAAATGACCAAAATCAAATCAAAATTTGGTTAGATTAGGGGTGGGGCTCGAACCATAACAAAGTTAACTTTCTTTTTCAATGACTTTTGTTAATTGGACACCACCCCTTAATACCTGAGTGATTTGAATGTGAAGCAAAGTTGTATTCCATTTAAATACATGGACTGCAGTAACTACAGGGTGGACCCATGAAAGCCCATGGTGGACCAAACCATCAATGAAAAAATGAAGTGGCCAATTTTGATTTTAATGCTTCAGGTTTGAATTAACAATTTTAATCAACCACAAATGAAAATGTGACATAACAAGAATTAAAAAATACAAACACAGTAATTACAGACCTTTCATTTGATATACCCATTTAAAGCCAGTGAGCTAGTAAAGGAGAAGCCCCGATTAGCTGCACAGACGAGTAAATCTGATGACGATGACATTCTCAAGCATATATCTAAAGTGTATTCGTATTCACATAAGATAATGTGGGATACAGAAGAGAATAAGGCGTGTTCATATGGCCCTCCATTTACCGATGGCATCTCTAACGGTGCCAAATGGTACCCAGTGCTAGGTAACAATACTTGCTAACATACCATGGAAACAACATATTTCACTTTTTTCATTGACTCTGTAGAGGAAGTCCATGGTTTTTAACTCCATTTTTCAAAAATAAATACAATGTCATATAGTGTACTTACACAACTGTGTTTAAGTTAAGATCTTGATACTACCATCATGATAACCACTTGTGTATGTACATTCAGGCCTGTAGCCAGAATTTTCCAAGGGGGGTTCGTTTTTCCAAAAATTCTAGGGGGGTTCACTTTGGCAAATTTGTCCAAAGATCACTCAAAAAATAGTCAGAATGGTGAAAAACTGCATGATTTTGAAAGAAATTTTGGCCAGGTGGGGGTTCACCCGAACCCCTTGAACCCCCCCCCTGGCTACGGGCCTGAGATTGTAAAAACTCTCATTTGATAGGGTCATTACTTTTTAACTAACCTTTTTTGCTAAAGTAGACTTGAGTAGAATTATGCCTCAAACTAGACTTGAGTAGTATATGCCTCCAAATAGACTTGAGTAGTTGTGAGTAACTTTTTATTAACTTATTCGCGTAGAGTTGAGTATGTATAGATGTAAACATATTACCATTTTAAAGTAGAATCGAGGTGGGAGACATTATTGAGTATATTATTCACTTGCTTAGGATATGGATAAATAATATTCCTTATGTTGTATTTGCAATTTAATACAAATGAGACTTGGACGTCCTTTTTTGGCACAGTCATAACTTACATATCCTGTATTATTCTACTGTCACACGAACATTGACTTACAACAAGATTGTAAGTTAAGACAGAACAAAACTGAAGTAAATGATAACCCCCTATAACTCCCTATATTTGTGATTTAAGACATGAAAATAAACCCAAGCCCTATAATTGAAAAACATGCCCGCAAGAGGTTTTAATAAACCTAGTACATATATATGAAAAACATGCATGCAAGAGGCTTTACAATTAAATTAAAACTCTGATTATTGCAGATATAGGGACATTTAAACATGTAATTTGAGCTAATATTTTTTTTATTTATTTGCATGGCTTATTACGTCAGTGAATTTAACATAGGCACCATGGGCTATCAGATTTTTCTTCAGATGTGTGGACTGTCTAATTATTGTACTTTTATTGTAATTGTTCATTTTTACCATAGTTTAATAATATTTAGCTACAGTAAATCTTGTGTATGTGGATACCTCGACATGTGAAACACTTTTTGACTCCCATGTTATCTGAACATGTTAATGTGAAAACCCTGAACTATTTTCAGCTGGTATCGAGTGTATTCACCTGGACAGATTTTACTGTTTCAGTTCTAATTTACCTTTTTGTACATGTAATGTGTATGTGTTTGTTTTTAAACCGACCCTGGGTATTTTCATATATTACATGGTTATTTGGCATTCTGCTTTCTTCTAACTTAATTAACTCTCTGACTTGCTTTCTTTACATCCTCTTTCCATTGCTTTAAGCCAGGGTGGCAACAATTCTTTAATTGATCTGGTTTGTACTCCTTGTTATAGAGGTATTCTTGAAAATAAACATATTAAAAATAAACACAAAGGTGTTTAATAAAATTGCCAATTTCAAATTTTAATTTTCCTGAAAATAAGGTCTTCCCAAAAAGGCCCATTTTTAAGGCCCAATTAAAAAATTGCCCCCCCCCCCCAGTTTTTTTGCAGGTAACTCGAACACACTTCAGTCAGTTCAAGTTCCCTGCAAAGGATACCAAGACTGAGTATACTGTGCATATTCATATTCAATGTTGTAAATGTTGAAAGGAATTATTGTTTTATAAAATTACAAAATAAGATTTTAGAATTTAAAAAATGTCAATAAAAGATATAATAATAATAATAATACTTATTTTGAATCATAATGATCAGATTATAAAATCTCTATGTAAATTATTTATTTGTTTAAAGACAGTTGAATATGATTTATTTATTTATTTATTTTATTCCAATGTTCAAAATTTGTAAATAAACTGTTCTGTCAAATTATGTATTAATAACTCTCTTGTTGAACTATAGGTGGCATGCAAGACTACAATTATATCACTGAAGGCTGCATGGAGGTTACACTAGGTAAGAGAAAAACAATTGTGATTATCTGAAAGTCCACAAAACCCATACATGTATTCTTAATATTAAAGTTATTTATTCAAAATAAACACATAACACAAACAGTATTTGAATCAGTAAAACTATAAAAACACAAAAAGTTCTATACGTTATACCCTAGATTAGACCGTATGAGTAGATGGAGAGGCTTCTGCAATTATTCTGACACATAGGGCTGCTATGATTATCATTATCCCATCAAACTTATCCCATCGAATGAAGTTCGGAGGGATATAGGGAACGCCTCCGTCCGTCCGTCCGTCCGTCCGGGCAATAACTCAAATACCGTTGGCCCGATTTTGTTCATATTTTGTACACATATACCCTATGGGGGTAGAAGTTCTGCTCGAAAGCTGATTTTCAAAATGGCTGCTCATTTAAAAATGGTGCCCATTTTAGTGCCGATTTTACAGTAATTAAGTGCAATATGTAAAACTGTAATAGCAATATGTTTTGTAGGACATTAATAAAACTAGAAATGTAAATATTAAAAAAGTACATGGCAGCCATCTTGAAAAATGGCGGCCTTTACTCGTTATTTTACGATTTTTGCTGTAACTCGAAAAGTAGTGGAGCGATTTTGTTCATATTTGGTATATGAATACTAAAAGCATGGCACACTGTATAATGACACTTTTGGTAGAAGGCGGCCATTTTGAAAAATGGCGGACATTTTTGAAAAATGGCGGCCATTTTAACATATTTTACTATAACTCAAAAAGTTAGGGAGTGATTTTGTTCATATTTGGTATGTGAATACTATAAGCATGGCACACTGACTAATGATACTTTTGGTAGAAGGTGGCTATTTTGAAAAATGGCTGCCATTTTTGCTATATACTTTGTTTGTAAAAATGCCAGCCATGGCTGTTCGATGGGATTCGCTACGTTTTGGTGTTGCCGTTGTTCTGGTTATATTCCCAAACACTCCAAAAATCATCACCATGAACAACAATGTTGCCTCTGTGTGATTTAAGTAGAATTTCTCACATTTGCGCTCCATTTATGGAGAAATTATAGTCCAAAGGTTCTCATTAGTACACAGAAAGATGGCGCCCCATGTATATAAGAACACTTAAAAATTGAAATTGAACATTTATACAATAAAAGGGATGATCAAAATTATGTATCTGGATAAAAGTGTTGTCAATTTTTCTAATCAAAAACTCAAAAATGAGAGCATTTAATTGACAGAATACATGTACAATACATGTATCAACAACTGTTTACATAAAGAAGGTATAATCACCAAATGTATACTGTTGTTACAGAGATAGGATGTTGCAAGTTCCCCAATGCGTCAACTCTACCTGACTACTGGGTGGAAAACAAGGATGCTCTTGTAAACTACCTCATGACTGCTCAAATGGGTAAGAAAAATCTAAAGAAAAACGTTATTCTTGTACCTGGTGACACAAAAAATGTTTAATGTAAGGTGGGTGTCATTGTTTGTGTCACCTCGTATATGGGTCAGTATGTTAGCACAGTAAAACCTGTATATCTGAACACATCTGTAGTGTGAACAGCTCTCAAGATTAACACTAAATTCCACATGTAACTCTTGTTATCATATCTTCTGGTTTCATTTTGAAATACATGTATAGGGTGATCCCAAAAAGCTGAATTTTCAGCTCACCCAGTACCTGCTTTCATACTTTATCCACATAATGGGATCTTCTTAATGCATTGATTATGTTTTCTACTTTTAGGTGTGAAAGGCTACGTTTCTCAAAATAACACAGATCCCGTAAGCAATGCTAAGATCTACATTGATGACAGAGATCGTTACGTGAACTCAACTCGTAATGGAGAATACTGGAAACTTGTACTGCCTGGAACATACAAAGTCAAGGTGGGGATATAAATATTACAAAGTCAAGGTGGGGATATAAAATGTTGCAAAGTCAAGGTGGGGATATAAAATGTTGCAAAGTCAAGGTGGGGATATAAAATGTTGCAAAGTCAAGGTGGGGATATAAAATGTTGCAAAGTCAAGGTGGGGATATAAAATGTTGCAAAGTCAAGGTGGGGATATAAAATGTTGCAAAGTCAAGTTGGGAATACAAAATGTTCTAAAGTCAAGGTGGGGATATAAATGTTTCAAAGTCAAGGTGGGAATACAAAATTTTACAAAGTCAAGGTGGAGATATAAATGCTCCAAAGTCAAGGGGGATATAAATATTACAAAGTCAAGGTGGGGATATAAAATGTTGCAAAGTCAAGGTAGAAACATAAAATGTTGCAAAGTCAAGGTGAGGATATAAATATTCGGAAGTCAAGATGGGGATAAAAAATGTTGCAAAGTCAATGTGGGAATATAAAATGTTGCATTTTCTATTGGTGAATGTATGCTTGTAATATTCCATTCTTAGGATAGACATTCATTTTTGATTACCACTCTCATCCTGGAATTTCCCTTTGACTTTGAAATAGTAAAAACAACACTAAAATATGGTTTATTTGAGTTAAAGTAAATGTTTGGCAGTTTATATCAAAATAACTAATATATGTATGTGGCAAACTGTATGAGCCAGGGGTCTATTTCTCCAAACTCCGTAAAGTTACGGACCCGTAGAGTTACGATTTCCATAAAATTTAAAAAGTTACGAGAAAGATGCGGAGTTTCAAATTGCATTTCTCCAAACTCCGTATCGTAATCGTATCTTAGTCCGCAAAGTTACGGAGGTATGACGTCATTGTGCATTGTACTCAATAGCAATGTAAAGACATTTTATTTAAAAACAATATTTTCATAAAAAATCAAAATGGAGTTGCAAAATCCAGCACTGAGCATATTCTGTCGTCCATTTTTGGACGTTCTATGCGTTACACTTAATTTCTCAGTATGTGGACGTTCATATAGGGTAAAATACAAAGAAAAACAAGTAAAAGTAATTAAACTTAATTAGTGAAATCATTGAATCTTGGTGAGTATGAAAACTCTAAAAATGAAAGAGACGAAGAATTCTCGCGTCGGTGATATCTTCCTCCCCCTGGGAATAATTGATCCTATTCGCTATTGAATAATACAAATGCTGTTTTGAATAAGTTTCAGTTGTATGCCAATAATTTCTCAAATTGTGTATGGAGTTTGGTCGGGTCTGTGAATAAGATGTCTACTTCGACGTTTGAAACACTAGTTATAATGATTTACTTGATGAAAAAACTCAGACTTTACTCAGTAGCAATGTAAAGAAATTTTTTATAAAAAATAGAAATATTCTCATAAAAATCAAAATGGAATTGCAACATCCAGCAGTTAGTAGAAGCGTTGTATATTATGGTATTTCTAGATCATTTAAAGATAATACATGGAAGATACGTTAGTTTTCCAGTGGTGTGTGGGATTAAACCTTTTTCAAGTCAGAACACAACTGTGCGTTATATTGATTGCTAGTCTGTGAACATATTCTGTCATCCAATTTTGACGTTAAAAATACATACCGGTCCAATTTTTGACTAAATTAAAAACATGTTGAAATTTGGATTTTATTGTGGTATGATTAAAGAATAATGAAAGAAAGAAAATGAAGTGCTGATTATGCACCCAGCTATTTAATATTCACAAATATATACGTTACCGTAATGCCATCAATCTGGGTAAATATTTTGTCATCTGTCATTAAAATTAAATTCAATGCGTTCTGAGACCCCGAAAGATTTGTTTCAAGGAGAAACACTGTAATTGAGATTTTCAAGTTGACGTTATCAAAATTAGTAGTAAAATCCCTGCGACCTGCACTGAAAGTTATCTTTTAATTTGGTGCAGCTCGAAGGGATTTTACTACCACCATCCGACCTCTCTGCCTCAAGTTGAAGGGTTGACCCAATAAGTTTGTCTACTTCCTTATGCGTTTTCGGAGACGGCTCCCAATTACCCACGGATATTATAGCGATTCGCGAACTCTTCTCACCCTACTTAATCGGTTTTGATTTCTATATACCTCCTAAGAGCTGCCATTTTGGTATAGCAGGTACGTGGTACTGATGCAGGTAACCATAGTAATCATTATGCAATAGAATGGAAATTCATCCGTAAATAGTTATGGACAGGGTCTGAGGTGCCTATAAAGTTACGGAAAAAGAAGGCTATGACGTCATGAATATCGTAAACTTACGGAAATCCAACTAAATTTCGTAAATCTACGATTGTTTCGAGAAATGCAATCTTTCCGTAAGTTTGGGAAAGAACAATGGACTTACGGATCCGTAATTTTACGGAGTTTGGAGAAATAGACCCCAGAGCCTAAAATACCATACCATACATTACGATGTTATTAGATTAGAAGAATTGATATTACTTTTAAAAATGAAGATCCATATTTAATTTTGTATACCTAAAAATCTGAAGAAAAATACAATATGGAAATTGCATCAACTCATTATTTAAGCAATTTTATAAAAATCTATAATTAGTGAAAATAACAAGTGTAATACATTCTACTTTCAGGCCCAAGCTGATGGCTTCCGCTCATCTGAGCAAACTGTGACAGTTCCTGAATCAGGTCCTATTGTCGTAAACTTCACCTTATTCCCAGGGCAGGATCCAACAGGTGGCGCTACTAGCATTCCAGTCATTTCTAGCCTCGTTCTGACTCTGTTAACATTACTTAGTCAAATATTATCATGAAGCTGTATCTGTAAGCACTAGCGTAGCCAGAATGAGGCAGACGAGGCGCTTTTTTACATCCTTTGAGAAATATTCTTCTTTCTTTGAAGTTTTACTGATTTCGGAACCCAGAAGGATGAAAATTATTCTCATAAGACGATTTTCCAATCAGGCAGTCGAGGTGTTTGCCCCGTCACTTTTGAACAAGTTGGGGAAAAAATTTCGCCTCATCACTTTTTCCTTCACGCCACTGGTATATAAAGGACGATTCTCGGTTTGGAGAACAGCCTCCTGGGCTAAAAAAAAATTCATGAAAAATATAGAAATATTACCCAAATTAAACTATGAATATTCAAAAGAGGACAATTAAATCTACAAGATGTAAAAATAACAAATTGGTCTGAAGCAGGGATAATGCTCAAATAGACCGATTCAATAAAATACAAGTCTCGATTTGGGGAAAGAAGTTCATCAGTGTACTGCGCTAATAGTTTTTTGCGAAAAATCTAGAAATATTACCCAAATTAAATTATGACTATTCAAAAGAAGACATTCAAATCTATATTATGTAAAAAAATCAAATTTGTCCGAAGCAGGGATAATGCTCATTTAGATTGATGAACTTCGTTCTCCAAACCGAGAATCGTCCTTTGGATTTAGTTTGAGGATATTTTGTATCATGTCGATGTACCCATAGTATATTTTATGGTGCAAAACAATATTACAATATTGTAACTATGGGTCCATTTTGTCTCATTATGGAGCCTACTTCAGGGGCAAAACTAGACTCACCATTATTTTATAAAAACATATATATACAGATGATATTGTCAATCAAAACTGTGGACAAGTCAAAATTATGTTATCATATTTCATCCTTTGCCTTGCCAATTCAAAATTATTTTGAAATTCACTAAAGTTGCTTTAGATTTTACAATTTATGCAGATTTTACAAGAGTATGCTTGAGAATATGTTTTTGTTAGTCTACACTACTTAATACCAGAATGTACAACTTGAATAATACGATAAAAATAGTAAAATCCCTGCAAAAGATGCTCTTGCATTTAATGAGGTTACTGAAACGCCATCTATAGAAATGTGCCTTTTTATATTTTGTGCCTTTGCTCCACATTGTGTAATAATGTTAAACACATTTCTTGTTGGCCAATGTTGGATTTAATCAAGTTGAGATTTTTTAATTTCAGTCATATTGTGTATTCCACATACACTCAATTCATTTCATAATTTTATATACAGTAAAACCTACGTAAAGTGAAGACCTGTGGAGCAACAAAAATTAGTTCACTTTATGGAAGTGTTCACTGCAGAGAGACAATTTACATAGCACTCAGTAGAGTATGTGCTGAGAAGAGGTGTTCACTAGACACAAGTGTTCACTAGAAAGAGGTGTTCACTAAGACAGGTTTTCTGTAATATGCACATATCAGACCACTCCAAGAGGCATATGTTGCAGTTAACAGAAATTGATTTTAATAACTACATATAAAATATATACTTTAAAAGGAAATATTAGAGATTGTGTTTGAATAAAATGTCACATACGCACATGTAGTAGCACATGTAATGAAAATGTCAACTATTCTGATATTTTCTAAAACTGAACTGAAGAACTGAAGTCGATTTGTGTATTTTAGCTAAAATAACAACAGGCTTTCAGCTCCCACCAACTTAATTGTGATTATCAACTTTATTATATTAAACTACATTGTTTGTAGCATTTTATATCAAATGTATATTTTACAGTTTTAATGATATGAAATTCATATTGTTAAGAGATAGATTTGAAAATGTTATTGTTATTAGTACTTCTTATATGTATTAGTACTTCTTATATGTATATATTTGTACCAATGAATAGTTCTAAAATATACACAGATATTTTAATGATAAGCATTAATATATATTTACATAGTGATCTACTCTATAAAGATGTACAATAAATTCAATAAACAAAATGTGATTTTGTTCTAGTTTTTCTGAAATCAAACTTCAATGGATGTTATGCCATAATTTCCCTAGATTAAATAACCTTGATCTTTATTACTGTTCAATACTCAAAATGTAGTCAACGGTGATATCATATTTAAAATCTACTCCACCAATATAATTTGACATTGATATAGCGTCCATACAATTCGACTCGAAGGTTTCTGATCAAATGACGTTGACGTAATTCCACCCACATAATTGACCAGTTGGAAAATGCTATTTTTCTCTTGGAAGCCCGTGGTTATATTCACAATCACATGGACGTGGTTGGAATTACCTAGAAGAAACTCATGCTCTGCTTGAGAATCTGTTCACGTAATTAGAAAGTTAAAAATTTTGCCAAGAGCATGCACATGACATTAAGCATGAACTACTTCCTTGAATAAATAATCGGCATCACAATTTTTGCTTCAAACATGACAACGTACAGCTAAAGTATACACCAGTATATTTTGTCACTGTACGTTGTCGTTGGTTAGGCGTGTCCATCCTTTAAATAATCAAGCTGCCATGAAAAATCAAGCTACAATGACGTTTAATATACCCTGGGATCTAATTTCTCCTTGGTAACACGTTCTCATTGGTCAGTGAGTATACCATATACCACAGGTGAATCCTGTCACCTACCGCTAGTGAATCTGCACTTGCAAAATATGGCATTTACCTGCAGCGTTTTCGCAACATGCACCACAATTTTCCTCAATGAAATCTTTGAACCCAGTGTAGCATTTTATCTATCACAACAAAGTCTATATGGACGCCATTTTTGTAATTGTGCTGTTTATTTAAGGTGTTCATATTTTGTGAGGTGTTCACTTAAAAGAGGTGTACACATAAATGGATTACTGTATGTAATAGTATATACAATGTTAGGAATTATGTCATCAGTTAACGTACATTTAGCTACAGAGAGTATAACCACGCGGTACTAACTTCGACCGTTAATTTGAATTTTTGACCTACCAGATGCTTGAAAATCAAGGATTGCGAGTCTCATACAGCACCGTTTTTCTTCAAACTTATACCATTAAATGCAAAACAAAGATGCCTTTCTGTCGGTGCATTACTTTATTGTAAAGAGTCCCTCGTTCTGGCAGCGTTTTGGTCCCTAGCTGTTAGAAGGCCTTCTTACAGCTGGGGACCAAAATGCCGCTGGAAATAGGGACTCTGTTTAAGAGAATAATGTTCCAACAGAAAGGGATTTTTGTTATGCTTTGAATGGAATAGAACAAGTTTGAAGAAAAACGGTGCAGTATGAGACTCGTAATCCTTGATTTTCAAACATCTGGTAGGTCAAAAATTCCAATTAACGGTACCGGTCGAAGTTAGTGGAGAGGTTAAGCTAACGATGTTTTTCACAACGTAACCGTGAACGCAAAGTACAAAAATTAACAAAGGAATGTATCGAGCGCTCACAGTTTTATGCGCGCTTAGTCTACTTCAGATACTCTTTCAGCTTCATAGTTTCGGGTTTAGAACGGGAGATTTTGAAATTTGACGTTGGGTCAACGGGAACCATTTTACTCGTGTCTATTGAACACTATGCTGTCAATTTTGATTTCGATGCACAGTTGAATTCTTGCTGAACACGATGATGTATGTCATGCATGATTTAGCGCCAAAAATCTTACGAAACGAGCTCGTTTAAAATATGTATTAGAAAACCAGCTATAAAACCGCATCAATGACATACTATAGAATCATTACACGCTATGGTGTAGTCTAAACAAACACTGGATTTGAACGGCTATTTATATGAGAAGGCTACATGAATTGTATATGGTCGAGTGATACGTACAGGTTCAGTTTCGATTATATATGCAAAGCTTAACCTCTCAAATACCGCGTGATAACGTGAATAATATATTATTAGATATTATAATGTCCAAATGCCGTTCAACGTAGCTGTTGTTTGGTATATGTTTTGTTAATATCAATATGATATTTGTATTATAGTGTCCCATAGTCTATTCATATTGAAACTCCAGACCAATTTCCTGAAGTTTAGGACGAAGATAATCATCAATTCTCTCACTTTGAGCTACAGTTATTTTATCTTTCCAGTCACCAATGGCACCTATGAAAATAGAGCGAAAATGTCAGATAATCAACAAGAATAAAAGCCATGGGAAGCGTGATATGTTTTCAGTTTGTTTCTGTCGGTCATCTTAGCATACACAGACATATTCTCAAATAATCAACTAGAAGTATGGGATGCCTACCTTTACGCATGTGGGCAGCGTGATATGTGGTTCAGTTTGTTTCTGTCGGTCATCTTAGCATACACAGACATGTTCTCAAATAATCAACTAGAAGTATGGGATGCTTACCTTTACGCATGTGGGCAGCGTGATATGTCTTCAGTTTGTTTGTATCAGTCACCTTAGCATATACAGACATGTTTTCAAATGCTTTTCCGGTCTTTGGATTATTTTTCATGTTTCTAAATTGTAGATATTCTGCAATTTTTTTGATTTTACCCTCCGAAAGATCTTTATTCAGGAACTTAGCAAGTTTCGTCACCACTGATGTGATGTCCTGAAATGTATACACATCAGTTGTTTTCTCGAATGTCCATTATATTTTATTTATTGAAAGTTAAATTCACATTATCTCCCTCCTATTTATTAATTGTTTTCATTGCTAATCTTGACGAAACGCTTTTAACCCAATCCTTGTCAAGATTATCCTTGTGATGACCACCGCGCATGTTTAAACCGAATGAGGAATAAAGCATGTTAAGAGGAGTGGAAAGCCCAAGAGTTTTAAAGATGACAGACATAAATACGTCTCTTGCTTACCACCTTCGTTCGTTCGAATTTTCATTGGCTAATTTTCAAATACTACACTTCGTATGTCATCTCAATACAGGTTTACATTATAAGCGTATGTCATCTTTGGACTCTGGTGTTATTCCCCCTCTGAAGCATGTTCTTTATTAGACAGTACCTTGATCATGTCTTCATAATAGATGAAGTGGATGTTTCCATTCATTCTGTCTCTGTTCTGCCACCAACCACTGACGTGATTCAACCACGTGCCATATGATACTATAGGGGTAAACATAACTGTTGTTCATGAGCAAAGTTAAAAAAGGTGGGTAGTTAATATTCTTCATATAATCGTTTGGCTCAACCAGGAAATTAGTATATGTAATTGCCCATTCTTGCTGGTTCACCTACTCTTTGCATTCATGTAAGAACTGTTTAATTTGTTTAAAAATGTTCTTTTACAAAACGGTCGCCATAATTAAGTCAAACATAATGAAAGGTAAACGAATATACTGCAAATTATAAATGCTTCCTGTTCACTATGTGAAACCAACAAAAAGTGCCATTTTATTGGCACCATTTTACATATTTCGCAACAAGGTAAAAGAAAATATGGTATTTTGTATGCGTTTTTGGTTGATATCTCCAGGTAATAACCACTCTCTGTGAATTACCTCTGTGTATTACTATGTAGATGTATTACCTAGATCTTGTGCCTCAGTCAAATGACTATTAAGATACCCATCAAATGTTAGAGGTTTTTGGTACTTCTCTGGAATCAGAATCTCATACTGGTACTTGCTGTTTAGTACTGATTTGGGGTTCCTTAGGACTACGACTACCTAAAATAGAGCACATAGAAATATTATAGCCCCCAGTTTTGTTGCTGTCAAGATCAGCCGTTTTTTTTAAATTCTACGATTTGGGAGTTGTTTACAATCGGAACTTAAACTGTTTGCTTGTAAAAATATTTGGAATCGAAATTGTACTCGAAATTGAAGGTTTATCGATATCAAAATAAGTTTTGTCCACCGTCTTGTTTACCTTGCAACATATCTTGTCACGCAATCCAGTTGTTAACCTGGCAAAATATGTGGTCAAGCAGTCCAGTTGTTTACCTTGCAATATATCTGGTCATGCAGTCCATTGTTTACATTGCAATATATCTTGTCATGCAGTCCAGTTGTTTACATTGCAATATATCTTGTCATGCAGTCCAGTTGTTTACTTTGCAATATATCTTGTCATGCAGTCCAGTTGTTTACATTGAAATATATACTGTCAAGCAGTCCATTGTTTACCTTGCAACATATCTTGTCATGCAGTCCAGTTGTTTACCTTGCAATATATCTGGTCATGCAGTCCAGTTGTTTACATTGCAATATATCTGGTCATGTAGTCCAGTTGTTTACCTTGCAATATATCTGGTCATGCAGTCCAGTTGTTTACATTGCAATATATCTGGTCATGTAGTCCAGTTGTTTACCTTGCAATATATCTGGTCATGCAGTCCAGTTGTTTACATTGCAATATATCTGGTCATGCAGTCCAGTTGTTTGCCTTGCAATATATCTGGTCATGCAGTCCAGTTGTTCACACTGCAATATATCTGGTCATGCAGTCCAGTTGTTTACTTTCCAATATATCTTGTCATGCAGTCCAATTGTTAACATTGCAATATATCTTGTCATGCAGCCCAGTTGTTTACTTTGCAATATATCTTGTCATGCAGTCCAGTTGTTTACTTTGCAATATATCTGGTCATGCAGTCCAGTTGTTTACTTTGCAATATATCTGGTCATGTAGTCCAGTTGTTTACCTTGCAATATATCTGGTCATGCAGTCCAGTTGTTTACTTTGCAATATATCTGGTCACGCAGTCCAGTTGTTTACATTGCAATATATCTGGCCATGCAGTCCAGTTGTTTACTTTGCAATATATCTGGTCATGTAGTCCAGTTGTTTACCTCGCAATATATCTGGTCATGCAGTCCAGTTGTTTACCTCGCAATATATCTGGTCATGCAGTCCAGTTGTTTACCTTGCAATATATCTTGTCATGCAGTCCAGTTGTTTACCTTGCAACATATCTGGTCATGCAGTCCAGTTGTTTACATTGCAATATATCTGGTCGAGCAGTCCAGTTGTTTACATTGCAATATATCTCGTCATGCAGTCCAGTTGTTTACCTAGCAATATATCTGGTCATGCAGTCCAGTTGTTTACTTTGCAATATATCTGGTCATGCAGTCCAATTGTTTACCTAAGTTGCAATATATCTTGTCATGCAGTCCAGTTGTTTACTTTGCAATATATCTGGTCATGCAGTCCAATTGTTAACATTGCAATATATCTTGTCATGCAGTCCAGTTGTTTACCTTGCGATATATCTCATCATGCAGTCCAGTTGTTTACCTTATAATATGTCTGGTCCAGTTGTTTACCTCATGATATATCTGGTCATGCAGTCGATGTTTAACTTTCTATTTATCTTGTCATTCAGTGTAGCTAATATATGTACAGAGCACTTGTTTTACCTTACATATACCCCGTCGGACAGATTCAGGCATTGCCTCCAAACAAAGATGGCTACAGAGTAGTCGTGGAGAAGGCCACATTTCTGCTTCAGTCATTGGATTAATGCCATCCGCTGCCATAGATACTTCTCCATTCCATACTTCAAAATAAAATAAACAATCACACTTCTTGACAGTTATAACATTTCCCATCTGATGTGCTCAGATCACAGAATATGCCTCTTATATCAGAGCTTGTTTCAGGTTAAACAGAGAGATGCTATGAGTATCACAATGAATGATAAGATAAGTTACTTGACTTTATAACTCCAAATAACGTCCCATATAAGTATCTATTACAGATCGTGCAGACCATTGTTGCTTGCTTTATAGCAAAAACATCACGAATTTAGGACTTTCCAGGGAATTAGTTCATCCATTTTATATCATGTCACCATGAATAAGCCAATGAGCATCATGATATGGGGTATATGATATATGTTTTAACATTGAAATCTAATATAAATGACTTACTTTGTTGTGACATATGCATCCATATACTTCTCTGATTGATGTGTATCTTATCTGCAGCCTCTATATCTCCATTCCTCATCACTAAGTCTACCAACGCTATGGACAAGTGAGTACCTATATTATATGAGACCATTCTTCAGTAAAAAGCAATGGGAGAGATCAAGTCTACCATGGCTATGGAAAAGTGAGTACCTATATTATATGAGACCATTCTTAAGTAAAAAGCAATGAGACAGATCAAGTTTAATAAGGCTATGGTCAAGTGAGTACCTATATAAATGAGACCATTCTTCAGTAAAAAGCAATGAAAGAGATCAAGTCTACTAAGGCTATGGTCAAGTGAGTACCTATATTAATGAGACCATTCTTCAGTAAAAAGCAATGAGAGAGATCAAGTCTACCATGGCTATGGGCAAGTGGGTACTTATATTATATGAGACCATTCTTCAGTAGAAAGCAATGAGAGAGATCAAGTCTACCAAGGCTATGGACAAGTGAGTACCTATATTAATGAGACCATTCTTCAGTAAAAAGCAATGAGAGAGATCAAGTCTACTAAGGCTATGGACAAGTGGGTACCTATATATTATGAGACCATTCTTCAGTAAAAAGCAATGAGAGAGATCAAGTCTATTAAGGCTATGGTCAAGTGAGTACCTATATTATGAGACCATTCTTCAGTAAAAAGCAATGAGAGAGATCAAGTCTACTAAGGCTATGGTCAAGTGAGTACCTATATTATATGAGACCATTCTTCAGTAAAAAGCAATGAGAGAGATCAAGTCTACCAAGGCTATGGACAAGTGAGTACCTATATTAATGAGACCATTCTTAAGTAAAAAGCAATGAGAGAGATCAAGTCTACTAAGGCTATGGACAAGTGAGTACCTGTATTAATGAGACCATTCTTCAGTAAAAAGCAATGAGAGAGATCAAGTCTACTAAGGCTATGGTCAAGTAAGTACCTATATTAATGAGACCATTCTTCAGTAAAAAGCAATGAGAGAGATCAAGTCTACTAAGGCTATGGACAAGTGGGTACCTATATATTATGAGACCATTCTTCAGTAAAAAGCAATGAGAGAGATCAAGTCTATTAAGGCTATGGTCAAGTGAGTACCTATATTATGAGACCATTCTTCAGTAAAAAGCAATGTGAGAGATCAAGTCTACCAAGGCTATGGTCAAGTGATTACCTATATTATATGAGACCATTCTTCAGTAAAAAGCAATGTGAGAGATCAAGTCTACCAAGGCTATGGTCAAGTGAGTACCTATATTAATGAGACCATTCTTCAGTAAAAAGCAATGAGAGACATCAAGTCTACCAAGGCTATGGTCAAGTGATTACCTATATTATATGAGACCATTCTTCAGTAAAAAGCAATGTGAGAGATCAAGTCTACCAAGGCTATGGTCAAGTGAGTACCTATATTATATGAGACCATTCTTCAGTAAAAAGCAATGTGAGAGATCAAGTCTACCAAGGCTATGGTCAAGTGAGTACCTATATTATATGAGACCATTCTTAAGTAAAAAGCAATGTGAGAGATCAAGTCTACCAAGGCTATGGTCAAGTGAGTACCTATATTATATGAGACCATTCTTAAGTAAAAAGCAATGTGAGAGATCAAGTCTACCAAGGCTATGGTGAAGTGAGTACCTATATTAATGAGACCATTCTTCAGTAAAAAGCAATGAGAGAGATCAAGTCTACTAAGGCTATGGACAAGTGAGTACCTATATTAATGAGACCATTCTTAAGTAAAAAGCAATGTGAGAGATCAAGTCTACCAAGGCTATGGTCAAGTGAGTACCTATATTATATGAGACCATTCTTAAGTAAAAAGCAATGTGAGAGATCAAGTCTACCAAGGCTATGGTCAAGTGAGTACCTATATTATATGAGACCATTCTTAAGTAAAAAGCAATGTGAGAGATCAAGTCTACCAAGGCTATGGTCAAGTGAGTACCTATATTAATGAGACCATTCTCCAGTAAAAAGCAATGAGAGAGATCAAGTCTACCAAGGCTATGGTCAAGTGAGTACCTATATTATGTGAGACCATTCTTAAGTAAAAAGCAATGTGAGAGATCAAGTCTACCAAGGCTATGGTGAAGTGAGTACCTATATTAATGAGACCATTCTTCAGTAAAAAGCAATGAGAGAGATCAAGTCTACCAAGGCTATGGACAAGTGAGTACCTATATTATATGAGACCATTCTTCAGTAAAAAGCAATAAGAGAGATCAAGCCTACCAAGGCTATGGACAAGTGAGTACCTATATTATGAGACCATTCTCCAGTAAAAAGCAATGAGAGAGATCAAGTCTACTAAGGCTATGGTCAAGTGAGTACCTATATTATATGAGACCATTCTTCAGTAAAAAGCAATGAGAGAGATCAAGTCTACCAAGGCTATGGACAAGTGAGTACCTATATTAATGAGACCATTCTTAAGTAAAAAGCAATGAGAGAGATCAAGTCTACTAAGGCTATGGACAAGTGAGTACCTGTATTAATGAGACCATTCTTCAGTAAAAAGCAATGAGAGAGATCAAGTCTACTAAGGCTATGGTCAAGTAAGTACCTATATTAATGAGACCATTCTTCAGTAAAAAGCAATGAGAGAGATCAAGTCTACTAAGGCTATGGACAAGTGGGTACCTATATATTATGAGACCATTCTTCAGTAAAAAGCAATGAGAGAGATCAAGTCTATTAAGGCTATGGTCAAGTGAGTACCTATATTATGAGACCATTCTTCAGTAAAAAGCAATGTGAGAGATCAAGTCTACCAAGGCTATGGTCAAGTGATTACCTATATTATATGAGACCATTCTTCAGTAAAAAGCAATGTGAGAGATCAAGTCTACCAAGGCTATGGTCAAGTGAGTACCTATATTAATGAGACCATTCTTCAGTAAAAAGCAATGAGAGACATCAAGTCTACCAAGGCTATGGTCAAGTGATTACCTATATTATATGAGACCATTCTTCAGTAAAAAGCAATGTGAGAGATCAAGTCTACCAAGGCTATGGTCAAGTGAGTACCTAAATTATATGAGACCATTCTTCAGTAAAAAGCAATGTGAGAGATCAAGTCTACCAAGGCTATGGTCAAGTGAGTACCTATATTATATGAGACCATTCTTAAGTAAAAAGCAATGTGAGAGATCAAGTCTACCAAGGCTATGGTCAAGTGAGTACCTATATTATATGAGACCATTCTTAAGTAAAAAGCAATGTGAGAGATCAAGTCTACCAAGGCTATGGTGAAGTGAGTACCTATATTAATGAGACCATTCTTCAGTAAAAAGCAATGAGAGAGATCAAGTCTACTAAGGCTATGGACAAGTGAGTACCTATATTAATGAGACCATTCTTAAGTAAAAAGCAATGTGAGAGATCAAGTCTACCAAGGCTATGGTCAAGTGAGTACCTATATTATATGAGACCATTCTTAAGTAAAAAGCAATGTGAGAGATCAAGTCTACCAAGGCTATGGTCAAGTGAGTACCTATATTATATGAGACCATTCTTAAGTAAAAAGCAATGTGAGAGATCAAGTCTACCAAGGCTATGGTCAAGTGAGTACCTATATTAATGAGACCATTCTCCAGTAAAAAGCAATGAGAGAGATCAAGTCTACCAAGGCTATGGTCAAGTGAGTACCTATATTATATGAGACCATTCTTAAGTAAAAAGCAATGTGAGAGATCAAGTCTACCAAGGCTATGGTGAAGTGAGTACCTATATTAATGAGACCATTCTTCAGTAAAAAGCAATGAGAGAGATCAAGTCTACTAAGGCTATGGACAAGTGGGTACCTATATATTATGAGACCATTCTTCAGTAAAAAGCAATGAGAGAGATCAAGTCTACCAAGGCTATGGTGAAGTGAGTACCTATATTAATGAGACCATTCTTCAGTAAAAAGCAATGAGAGAGATCAAGTCTACTAAGGCTATGGACAAGTGAGTACCTATATTAATGAGACCATTTTTAGTAAAAAGCAATGAGAGAGATCAAGTCTACTAAGGCTATGGACAAGTGAGTACCTATATTAATGAGACCATTTTTAGTAAAAAGCAATGAGAGAGATCAAGTCTACTAAGGCTATGGTGAAGTGAGTACCTATATTAATGAGACCATTCTTAAGTAAAAAGCAATGTGAGAGATCAAGTCTACCAAGGCTATGGACAAGTGAGTACCTATATTAATGAGACCATTCTTCAGTAAAAAGCAATAAGAGAGATCAAGTCTACCATGGCTATGGTGAAGTGAGTACCTATATTAATGAGACCATTCTTCAGTAAAAAGCAATGAGAGAGATCAAGTCTACTAAGGCTATGGTGAAGTGAGTACCTATATTATGAGACCATTCTTCAGTAAAAAGCAATAAGAGAGATCAAGTCTACCAAGGCTATGGACAAGTGAGTACCTGTATTAATGAGACCATTCTTCAGTAAAAAGCAATAAGAGAGATCAAGTCTACCAAGGCTATGGACAAGTGAGTACCTATATTAATGAGACCATTCTTCAGTAAAAAGCAATGAGAGAGATCAAGTCTACCATGGCTATGGACAAGTGAGTACCTATATTATATGAGACCATTCTTCAGTAAAAAGCAATGAAAGAGATCAAGTCTACCAAGGCTATGGTCAAGTGAGTACCTGTATTAATGAGACCATTCTTCAGTAAAAAGCAATGAGACAGATCAAGTCTAGCAAGGCTATGGACAAGTGAGTACCTATATTAATGAGACCATTCTTCAGTAAAAAGCAATGAAAGAGATCAAGTCTACCAAGGCTATGGACAAGTGAGTACCTATATTAATGAGACCATTCTTCAGTAAAAAGCAATGAGAGAGATCAAGTCTACCATGGCTATGGTCAAGTGAGTACCTATATTAATGAGACCATTCTTCAGTAAAAAGCAATGAGACAGATCAAGTCTAGCAAGGCTATGGACAAGTGAGTACCTGTATTAATGAGACCATTCTTCAGTAAAAAGCAATGAGAGAGATCAAGTCTACTAAGGCTATGGTGAAGTGAGTACCTATATTATGAGACCATTCTTCAGTAAAAAGCAATGTGAAAGATCAAGTCTACCTGTACCAAGGCTATGGTCAAGTGAGTACCTACATTATGAGATCATTCTTCAGTAAAAAGCAATGAGAAAGATCAAGTCTACCAAGGCTATGGTCAAGTGAGTACCTATATTATGAGACCATTCTTCAGTAAAAAGCAATGAGAGAGATCAAGTCTACCAAGGCTATCGTGAAGTGAGTACCTATATTATGAGACCATTCTTCAGTAAAAAGCAATGAGAAAGATCAAGTCTACTAAGGCTATGGTCAAGTGAGTACCTATATTATATGAGACCATTCTTCAGTAAAAAGCAATGAGAGAGATCAAGTCTACCAAGGCTATGGACAAGTGAGTACCTGTATTAATGAGACCATTCTTCAGTAAAAAGCAATGAGAAAGATCGAGTCTACCAAGGCTATGGACAAGTGAGTACCTATATTATATGAGACCATTCTTCAGTTAAAAACAATAAGAGAGATCAAGTCTACTAAGGCTATGGTCAAGTGAGTACCTATATTATGAGATCATTCTTCAGTAAAAAGCAATGAGAGAGATCACGTCTACTAAGCCTATGGTCAAGTGAGTACCTACATTATGAGACCATTCTTCAGTAAAAAGCAATGAGACAGATCAAGTCTACTAAGGCTATGGTGAAGTGAGTACCTATATTATGAGACCATTCTTCAGTAAAAAGCAATGAGACAGATCAAGTCTACTAAGGCTATGGTGAAGTGAGTACCTATATTATGAGACCATTCTTCAGTAAAAAGCAATGAGAGAGATCAAGTCTACCAAGGCTATGGTGAAGTAAGTACCTATATTATGAGACCATTCTTCAGTAAAAAGCAATGAGAAAGATCAAGTCTACCAAGGCTATGGTCAAGTGAGTACCTATATTATGAGATCATTCTTCAGTAAAAAGCAATGAGAAAGATCAAGTCTACCAACGCTATGGTCAAGTGAGTACCTATATTATGAGACCATTCTTCAGTAAAAAGCAATGAGAGAGATCAAGTCTACCAAGGCTATGGTGAAGTGAGTACCTATATTATGAGACCATTCTTCAGTAAAAAGCAATGAGAAAGATCAAGTCTACTAAGGCTATGGTCAAGTGAGTACCTATATTATATGAGACCATTCTTCAGTAAAAAGCAATGAGAGAGATCAAGTCTACCAAGGCTATGGTGAAGTGAGTACCTATATTATGAGACCATTCTTCAGTAAAAAGAAATGAGAGAGATCAAGTCTACTAAGGCTATGGTGAAGTGAGTACCTATATTAATGAGACCATTCTTTAGTAAAAAGCAATGAGAGAGATCAAGTCTACCAAGGCTATGGTCAAGTGAGTACCTATATTATGAGATCATTCTTCAGTAAAAAGCAATGAGAAAGATCAAGTCTACCAAGGCTATGGTCAAGTGAGTACCTATATTATGAGACCATTCTTCAGTAAAAAGCAATGAGAGAGATCAAGTCTACCAAGGCTATGGTCAAGTGAGTACCTATATTATGAGACCATTCTTCAGTAAAAAGCAATGAGAAAGATCAAGTCTACTAAGGCTATGGTCAAGTGAGTACCTATATTATATGAGACCATTCTTCAGTAAAAAGCAATGAGAGAGATCAAGTCTACCAAGGCTATGGTGAAGTGAGTACCTATATTATGAGACCATTCTTCAGTAAAAAGAAATGAGAGAGATCAAGTCTACTAAGGCTATGGTGAAGTGAGTACCTATATTAATGAGACCATTCTTTAGTAAAAAGCAATGAGAGAGATCAAGTCTACCAAGGCTATGGTCAAGTGAGTACCTATATTATGAGATCATTCTTCAGTAAAAAGCAATGAGAAAGATCAAGTCTACCAAGGCTATGGTCAAGTGAGTACCTATATTATGAGACCATTCTTCAGTAAAAAGCAATGAGAGAGATCAAGTCTACCAAGGCTATGGTCAAGTGAGTACCTATATTATTTTCAGAATTATTTTCCAATTTAAACTTTGAAAATAATGTTCAAAGGTAATAATAATTGGTTCATTGCTTCTTTAAGCTACGTTCACACCAACGGCGCTTTGATGGCGCTTTAAAGCGGCTTGTAAAGCGGCACCAAAGTGTAACAAAGCTTGATTAAAGCGTCGGGGTCGTAATAGGTCGTAGAAAAGCTCGGAGTAAAGCGGGATATTCGGCAAGAGCGCCAAACATTTTTAAAGCTACGTCACACCAACGGCGAATGCCACGCTTTAAATCGGCGAGCAAAGCGCCGTCATTTTTGTTTACTTTTCCAAAAATATCACGATCTCCTAAGTAATGTTACGCTCTGATAAGCTCTGATACGCTCTAGTTTCCGGACTTGTTACTTTGTTACGCTTATAATCACGCTTTGATAAGCTTTGGTAAGCATTATTACGCTTTGATGCGATTATGACGCTTTAATCAGGCTCTGATACGAACGCCAAGCTCTGTTGTGCATTTTCGAGATCGCCTTTATCATGACGCTTTTGATCAAGTGGCTGTATAAAGATGCAGTGGATCCATAAAACCATTGCATCTTTGACTCGAGAAGACGATGACAGAACAACAAGATCCAGAAATTCCAGATGGACCAGATCATGACCTATCTCAAGAAGACATGATGTTTGTCGCACGGCGTGAAAGAGCGTGAGGAAGCTTGTCAAGCGTAACAAAGTTAAAACAAAGCGTTTCAATCCTTGATTAAAGCGTCTCAATTCGTTAAAAAGCTTGGGAGTCCTTCACGAAAGCGTAACAAAGAGTGTCAGATATTGATGAAAGCGTCCGACCTCATGTCAGATCTTCATGCCAGATCGTAGCAAAGCTTGAGACATCTAAACGAAGCGTGTCAAGTGGTAACAGACCCTGAAGAGACTGGGGTCCCCGCTTTGAACCAAGCTCTGTTAAGCTTTCCTACGCTTTGGGTCAAGCTTTGCTGAGCTTTGTTACGGTTTGTTAAGCTTTGATACGCTCTCGGCGCTTTAATCAATTCTTAACGGAGCGCCCAAAATTATTAAACAGTTTAAAAATTTTTGGCGCTCTTGCCGAACATCCCGCTTTACTCCGAGCTTTTCTACGACCTATTACGACCCCGACGCTTTAATCAAGCTTTGTTACGCTTTGGTGCCGCTTTACAAGTTGCTTTAAAGCGCCATGCTTTGGTGCCGCTTTGCTCGCCGATTTAAAGCGTGGCATTCGCCGTTGGTGTGAACGTAGCTTAAAAGCTACGTTCACATCAACGGCGCTTTGATGGCGCTTTAAAGCGGCTTGTAAAGCGGCATCAAAGCGTAACAAAGTTTGATTAAAGCGTCGGGGTCGTAATAGGTCGTAGAAAGGCTCTGACTAAAGCGGGATATTCGGCAAGAGCGCCAAACATTTTTAAAGCTACGTTCACACCAACGGCGAATGCCACGCTTTAAATCGGCGAGCAAAGTGCCGTCATTTTTGTTTACTTTTCCAAAATATCACGATCTCCTAAGTAATGTTATGCTCTGATAAGCTCTGATACGCTCAGATTTCCCGACTTGTTACGGTTCCTCACGCTATGACCCCGCTTCGACCAGGCTTTGTTACGCTTAAAATTACTCTTTGATAAGCTTTGGTAAGCATTATTACGCTTTGATGCGATTATGACGCTCTAGCCCCCCTATCACACCAAACTAGTTCTTACCCGTTCTTGCCAGTCCTACGAAAACGTCGTAAAACGGACTCAATCTGGCTGTGGTCGGGAAATATATCTGAAATAATTAGCTTTTTCGTTCTTAAACAGTCTTCAATACGTCCATCTCGTTCGCAGTTCGTTCAGGTCCCCGGGTTCAGGTCGCACCACGTCGGTGTGCAACGTCGTAGAATGCGTCCCTTAGTCTAGAAGGTCAACATGACCTGATTACAGAATGGTATGGTCGTTCATAAAGTTCGTAAATATACCTTAGAAAGTTGCAGCTACGTTCATTCCGTTCACACCAAACTAGTTCTTACCCGTTCTTGCCAGTCCTACGAAAACGGTATGGTCGCCATCGAATTTTGAATCGATTCAAAATTCTAGAATCACCTTCCCGTCTGAGAACGTTCATGAAGTTCGTAAATAGACCTTAGAAAGTTGCAGCTAGGTTCATTCTATTCCGTTCGCACACAGTTTAAAACCAGTTTTGAAGAACGCAGTGGCAACTTGTTTGGTGTGATAGCTATATTTTTGCTAACTCGTTCATAAGCAGTGTTAAATACGTTCTTAATCAGTTTAAACCCGTTTGCAATTAGTTCTACCTCGGTCTCAACACGTCCTCAGACAGTTCAACTCGTTGTTAAAAACGTCTCTAGTAGGATTGAAGTACGACGGTTCCGTTTGTAGTACGTCAAGATCGTCGTTAGTACGTTGTCACTCGTTCTAATTGTAGAACGTTACGACAACGAGAACATTTGAGCATTGTCTAAGTTCTAGAGGACCTACTCGTTCGAGTACGTTCGATGAAGTTTGTAAATAGATCCCAAACGGTTCTTATCCAGTCCGTTCGTACACAGTTGAAGCCCGTTTTTGAGAACGTAGTGAGAACTAGTTTGGTGTGATAGTAGGGTAAACGAAGCGTGTCAAGTGGTAACAGACCGTGAAGAGACTGGGGTCCCCGCTTTGAACCAAGCTCTGTTAAAGGTGCAACAATTAGTGCAGAGGGGCCATTCAACGATCATGGACCAGTGCCAAAATATATTTAAGTTTGGATATTTCATCAAGACTAACATCTATTTTTATTATCTACAAAGAAACCCCCTAGATAAACATTATTTCAGCTGATATTCCTCTTGAAACATGGTGGATCTTAAAAATATAAAAGTGGATTTCCCCTTTTTCAAGCTTTGAACTGAATTTACACTTCTTAAGGCTGAAATTGATAGTTTATCCATACATTTTAAGAAAATAGGTATGTCAAAGAAGATGTTAAGCCAAATGTTGCCTTGATAGCTCAGAATTTTTTTTGATTTTCCTATTTTCTCCCTACAGGCCTTGTTGCCCCTTTAAGCTTTCCTACACTTTGGGTCAAGCTTTTGCTGAGCTTTGTTACGGTTTGTTTTAGCTTTGATACGCTCTCGGCGCTTTAATCAATTCGTAACGGAGCACCCAAAATTATTAAACAGTTTAGCTTTGTTACGCTTTGGTGCCGCTTTACAAGTCGCTTTAAAGCGCCATGCTTTGGTGCCGCTTTGCTCGCCGATTTAAAGCGTGGCATTCGACGTTGGTGTGAACGTAGCTTTAATATCACTTAGTCTTATTAACTTAATTATCATTTTACACTATATAAACTTTTCTTGAAGATAATGAATGGGTATAAAATAACCACCCGTATTCATAATCAGAGAGCAATTCAAGTTAGAACAGTCTGAAATTGTTTGCGAATGTACGTGCTCTTTTGCGACGCCTACTATATAGATCATGGCTACGCCCTTGTATGGTATTTTGTTACATTTTTTGATAAATCATATTTCTGTTGTTCGATCAAACGGTGAATACAAACAAAAACTAACCATTCAAGTAAGGTAAAATATGAAATCTGAATTTGTTCATCGGTCAAACATAAAACATTCGATTTTACATGTAGCTGATTGAACGCCTTTTCAACATTTTGTGAATGAGTATTGCCTGTCGATAAACCAATTCAAATGTAAAGAATGCTATCTGAAAAGGGTGACATTTAGGGATATATGTGGAATAGAAATGTAAAAGAAAACATGCTTTTTCAATATTTTTCTGTCAATTGCTTTATAATTTCAATAACAACAACTGTGTGGCTTTACCGACAAACAGGTTCATAATTATGATGTTTGAGATCAGTGGTTTTGTTAACATTTTCTGTTTGGAATTTCCACCCAAATATATTGAAAACAATACCAGTTTTCTTTTTTAGATTGTAATATTTTTCGTAACCCTGGGCGCAGTCTAGTTATCAACTACGGAGACGAAGCTCTCTTTCTAAAGAGATATAGTCGAACGAATGCAAAGGGTATTTTTAATCTAAAACAAGTGAAGATTCTTTAATGGGATAAAGAAAATTGTGTCATTCTATATGATCAATTGAGTGCTTTTGCTTCTCTCCTCAGTTTATTTGAGGGTGGGTGGGTAATTGTATGTGAAAATGTATGGTTTCAGAATGCCTATATGGACTGTTATGTTTGAGAAACTGTTCATTGGAATCACTCCATTAGACTTTATGCATGCTTGAGATTAAACTCTGCATTATCTGGAGTGAAATAGATCCTGAATGAGTAAAGAGGTGTGACAATAGACACGGCTGTCATCGAAATTTGTCCAGCTTGAGGGAGCATGCTAATTTTCATAAAAACACTAAGAAAAGTTCACAAATTATTTTTTGACTCATTATTCCAAAGAAAATTAACTTCTCCATGCAATGAGTATATCATTTGCGGATCACTTTCACTTCTGGTTGAAGTCAAATAACACAGGGAGTAAAACCTATTGAAAATTGCGCCAGAGTATCTATAACTCTATAATGTCCCATTTCTGTTTTAATGGAACGATACAGTACAGTTGCAATACAGTTTGGATATACATGATATATCATCAAGACTAATATATATTTTTATTATCTTCAAAGAAACCCCCTGGATGAATATTATTTCAGCTGATATTCTTCTATAAACGTGGTGGATCATAAAAATCTATAAGTGGGACTCCCTTTAAATAACCTCTGAACTGAATTTACACTTATTAATGCTGAAATTGATAGTTTATCCATACAAATTAAGAAAATAGGTATGTCAAAGAAGATGTTAAGCCAAATATTGACCTGATAGCTTAGAAAAATGAAAAAATTCGAATTTTTTCTCTACAGTCCTTGTTGCCTCTTTAAACAAAAAAATTGATCTCACCACTTTTTATATAGAAATATAAGCGAAAAATGTTCATTTTTAGGTAACTGACATCCAACCTGACAACAGTTTATGCCCACTTACCTGACCGTGGATAAGAACAAACAATGACGTCATCGGGTCTCATTTTGTCATATTTGGGCATCTGCCGAATGGCATCAGTGTGATCATACGTTGTAGGATAAGCTATACCATCTACGATCACGCGATATTTGTCATCCAAACAGTCGTAATATGAAGACATTTTGCATGCAATTTTCGAGACTTGTGGGTCCTGTGCCAGCTTCTCGTGTGAATGAAATGGTAGCTATAACTAGTGCCTGTTTGCTATTCATATAAAGCACAATGCCAATGTGCAATTGACCCCAGATAGGGTTAGATATATGTGTTCTCCACCTCAATTTCAAAAGTATGAACTTTTGTACAACTTTTTTCTTTTAGAATATTCAGTTCTTAGAACTTAAAACTTCAGTTTTTATCAATTCTTTAATAGTCAATGGCCCCGTCATCTGCCACATTTATGACGACATTTTATGCAAATTATGTTTCCAGAAACAGTTATTTTGCATTTGTAAAGCACCAAAGGGCCTTCTTAATACACCTCGGGGGGGGGGGGGGGGGGGTTCATAGGAATAATGAGTTCCACCATAGTCTCTTTCCAGTAGGAAATCAACCTATTCTTATTATCCCATCGAACGAAGTTCGAAGGGATATAGGGAACGCCTCCGTCCGTCCGTCCGTCCGTCCGTCCGTCCGTCCGTCTGTCCATCCGGGCAATAACTCAAATACCTTTGGCCCGATTTTGATCATATTTTGTACACATATACCCTATGGGGCTAGAAGTTCTGCTCGAAAGCCGATTTTCAAAATGGCCGCTCATTTCAAAATGGCGGCCATTTTAGTGTCGATTTTACAGTAATTTAGGTGCAATATGTAAAACTGTAATAGCAATATGTTTTAAATGTAAAAAAATTATAAAGGACATTAATAAAGCTACAAATGTAGATATTAAAGAAGCACATGGCAGCCATCTTGAAAAATGGCGGCCTTTACTTGTTATTTTACGATTTTTACTGTAACTCGAAAAGTAGTGGAGCGATTTTGTTCATATTTGGTATGTGAATACTATAAGCATTGGACACTGTCTAAAGACATTTTTGGTAGAAGGCGGCCATTTTGAAAAATGGCCGCCATTTTAACGTATTTTACTATAACTCGAAAAGTAGTGGAGCGATTTTGTTCATATTTGGTATGTGAATACTATAAGCATGGCACACTGTCCCATGACAATTTTGGTAGAAGGCGGCCATTTTGAAAAAAAATTTGAAAAATGGCCACCATTTTAACATATTTTACTATAACTCGAAAAGTAGTGAAGCGATTTTGTTCATATTTGGTATGTGAATACTATAAGCATGACACACTGTCCAATGACACTTTTGGTAGAAGGTGGCCATTTTGAAAAATGGCCGCCATTTTAAGGTATTTTACTATAACTCGAAAAGGAGTGGAGCGATTTTGTTTATATTTGGTATGTGAATACTAAAAGCATGGTACACTGTCTAATGACACTTTTGGTAGAAGGTGGCCATTTTGAAAAATGGCCCCATTTTAACGTAATTCACTATAACTTTAAAAGTAGTGGAGCGATTTTGTTCATATTTGGTATGTTTCATATTTTATATGTGAATACTATAAGCATGGCACACTGTCTAATGACACTTTGGGTAGTAGGCGGCCATTTTGAAAAATGGCCACCATTTTTACGTTTTTTACTATAACTTGAAAAGTAGAGAAGTGATTTTGTTCATATTTGATATGTGAATACTTATGAGCCTTGCATACTGTCTCATGACACTTCAGATAGTAGGCGGCCATTTTAAAAAATGGCTGTCATTTTTACATTTTTTACTATAACTCGAAAAGTAGTGGAGCGATTTTGTTCATATTTGATATGTGAATACTTTAAGCATGGCACATTGGCTCATAAATCTTTGGGGAGTAGTCGGCCATTTTGAAAAATGGCCACCATTTTTATGTGTGTTATTTTACAAGTACATTTGTGTGATTTTTCAAAAATTTTATAGGTGGCTACTTAAAAGCATATTATTTCTTCTGATGACAACTTGGCTAGTGAGCAACCATTTTGAAAATGGTGGCCTTTCTGGTGTGTTGTTTTATGATATTTGCTATATATTTCGTTTGTAAAAATGCCAGTCATTTCTGTTCGATGGGATTCGCTACGCTTTGGCGTTGCCGTTGTTCTGGTTTGATTTAATACTCTGTGATTTTGATGTTAAAATACATGGCGCTCCAGGATTTGACTACAATCCAGTCCTCTAAAACCCCATTTCCATCGATTTTGGACAAACAATGCCATCAATTTCATTTGTGATCCATTTTAAAAGATAAAGTTTGTCCGAGCGTGCATACTATTCCATAGCTTCCCATTGGATACTGCCAATATATATCTAATTGAATCGATTGACTTTTTATTTGAAGATAACTGTCATCAAAAGTAGCAAAATGTAGGTGGCTTACCAATATCCATAAGTTTATATTGCAAACTTTCAATTTTTCTTTCAAGTTATACTTTTTGATTCGGTTTAGTTCATTATTCAAATTTTGTAGGTGCTCTAACACCTCAATGGGGATTAATTTTGAATATAACATGTGGGACATTATGTCTTTATGTTAAAGATAAGGGGGAGAACATATTTATTTGACACCCTGTAGACACGTTTCCACCGTAAGAAAAAATAATATTCACTGGTGATTCACTCGATTTCGTTTCGGTAACAAAATGTCGGAACACCGAAGCTACGATTTTTCTTTTTTCCTTATTTCACACCTTGTAGGCAGAATTCTCACGATATTTTTTAACACAAACGTGTATCAGTAACATATGTTTAAGAACATGTACAGATTTGCGAACGAATAGCTCAGAAGACAACAGAATCGTCGATACAATTCCTCACTTAAGTTACAGAAACGGTATTTCGAAAAACAGTTAAGATCTGCACTTTTAACCCAAACCGTCATATTTGAACGAGGTTCGCGTAACCGTCCATTAATTTTTTAAAACCTCCATCAAACCCTTATGATGCATCGTCATTTTTGCTTCAAATCAGTTATAACCTTGCTAACGTACATCAAAGCGCACGACGGTATTTTTGTCACTGTACGTTGTCGATGGTTAGGCGTGTCGTAATAATTCAATTAATTAGGCATAGTAAACGTTACGTGATCAATTAATGGGGCTCAACATATAACCAAGCCATCGTGTCGGATGTGGTATTATATTTTGTTTCTTAATTTAAATTATTTTATTGTAAGATTTCCCCACAATCGTAAGCGTATAGACGGCGTTCGATCAACGTATTCGAAATCAACCGAACGATATGTTTGCCCGTGAATAAAAATATGACATGTAATGTTTATGTGTTGGATGCTTTATAGTTGATTATATGAAAACTTGACAGGCATCCAGAAATATAAGTCCGCCTCGGGACTACTCACCCTAAGCATAGGACATAGTCTTTAGGAAAATATGTCCGACGGACTTATTTTCCTAGATATGAAAGTCCCTGGACTTATTTTTCGAGGACATAAAAAGGTAGGTGGTCCTATCAAAGTTTGGTCTTACTCTCTACTGATTTATATGGTGACCTAATTACAATTATTTTCCTTATCATTTATACACAGTCAGGGACAGTAATGGCCGTAAGGAAAGGGGACCATAATCCCTTTCCAGTTTCTTTTACACCGGCATTGAGATAGTTAGATAACGAGCAGTTAGATAATTTGTCGTGATCCTTTGCCCATACTTCAATTATACTCCGAGCAGGTCATTCATACCGTTGCACTATGGAGGCTTTTTTCGAAAAGTTGACCTCACCTTGCCTTTCGTCTTAGTTTTACTTTTATCTCATAATTCATTCAAGTGACAGCGGGATGTCCAATTAAATATCCAAGTATACCAAAATATACCTATACCTACCTCTAAAATTTATAAAAAATGGACATGTTTTATATATAATGGTCAAAATGTGCAAAGATACGTTTTGTTGAACACAGAATGATTGATCATCATCTCTGGTTCAACTCAAAGCCCTATATACTAGAACAGTATACATGCATTTACTTTCGACTCCACTTCTACCCATTATACATCAGAATGCTACCAACTGTAGTAATTGGTATTCTACAAGGATGCATGCATGACGTCACAAATGACCAAATTACCTCAAAATATCGATATATATAGACCGTTACATGACCCCCCAAGTTAATGCTCTTTGTAACGAGCTGTGGAACGTGCTCGGTGCAATTTCATTGTTTTACAAAAAGTAGAACCAACTTCACTCATAAAATAGGGTAGGAAAACATAGGAAAACAATATACCTCTTCTGTACTAAGGTTCCAATACACCGTGTGGAAGCTGATAGTGTCAGCTTTATGAATCTAACCTCCATTTGAATTTTAACTGAATGCAAAATTAGATATTAACCCTTTCATCACCAAGGGGTAAAATTAACAAACCAATCATGTTTTTTTCAATCAAAAAATGTTTTAACAATCGCTTTCTATTTTCAATATATAAGTCCATAACAACAAAGGTTGTAGTCTGCGCAGTACATTAAGATATCATTTTGATGTTTCAACTTAGTGGTTATGTTAACATTTTCTCTTTGGAATTACCACCCAAATATCCATGAAAAAATGGCAAGTTTCTTTTTCACATCATAATTTTTCATTGATTTTTGTATAAGACACGAGAATGTACTTCACTTCACTAGTTAAAGCGACGTTGTTTTGTTCTCTCAAGTTAAAGTTATGCCTTCCAAAATGGTGGCTGTTGGAATTCGAATTTCGTGGAACGACACCCCCGTATGTGGGACAGAATATCGATGTTGCAGTCTGGGAGCCAATCCTCCTTGTAATGATATAATAATAAATAAATGATATGAAAATACAAAAGTCGTATTTGTTGTACATTACATATCTACACTTTATTTGACAATAGTATTACTCTGCAGTCTACAATGACAGTGTTCTACATTACAATATTTACAATAAGCTAATATGTTTGTATTTCAGTTAATAAGCCACGATTTAATGACAAAGTCGTACATACAAATATACTCCAAAACAACAATGGGAACTCCTCAATACAGGAGAGACCCAACACGTATTGTACACAATTCCAATCAACTTCATTTTGAGTCACCAACTGAAAAATATTTGGCAGTTAATTCACTCGTTCAATAAATGGTGAAGCTATACGTATAACGTTAATGCAGAGAGACTCACAAAGGAGACCACTATACTTACAACAAAGGAGCCTGAGAGCTTTCTCCCTAAGGAGAAACAAGATATTTGTAACTATGCCACCTTTCCAAATTCATACACTTGACAAAGATCACATGCAAATTCTTTGAACAAGTCATATGCTTAACAATTAATTTACAAATAGGCTATATCTCGTTTGTTATATGAATAATAGTCCAGTCCTTAATTCAATCATGATTCGATTTTAATTTTGAATAAAAAATAGATATTTCATATAATTTTGATAATTATGAAATAGATAATACACCAACAATAGAAATGCTAATTAATACAAGTTTATCATATTCACTCAATACCTTCTAAATCTATATATGTCTATGTAAAAACCTAACTAGAGATTTTTAGACAGGTTTTCCTGTAGTTCACTATAATAACTAGACTTTGGAAATTGAACGAAGTTCAATTTCAGACTCCAGATCTAGACTTTTTTAAGCCCAGTCATCTAAAATAAGCCAACTCATCCAGAATAAGCTGAGTCATCCAGAATAAGATGGGTGGATAAAATAGGAAGGTAGGATAGGATAGAATGGGAAGGAACGATAGGATAGAATAAGAAAGAAGGATAGGATAGAACAGAATAGGAAGAAAGGATATGATAGGAGAGGATAGGAAAGATAGGAAGGGAAGGATACGAAGGAAGGATAGATAGGAAGGATAGGATCAGATAGGAAGGATAGGATCAGATAGGAAGGATGGATGGATGAATTTTTCAATATTTTCTTCTCTACTCTTGATTTTCTATAAGGATACCATCAGATCAATTTTCCGAAATTTCAAAACGCCATAACTTCCGAACCGGAAGTCGGATAGAAATTTGATTTAAAGATTCGGATTCCTGACAAAATTCTACCCCTAATTCATAACTCATACGTTAAATTTGGCGAATTTTTATTTTGACCTACTTTTTGGACACGCCATAACTTTGGAACCGGAAGTCGGATCGAAATTTGGTTTGCAGATTCGGATTTCTGAGAAAATTCTATTCTTAATTAATAACTCAAACGTTAAATTTGGAGAACTTTTTATTTTGACCTACTTTTCGGACACCATATCTCAAAAGTGGGTCAAAATACTTTCTGACGGCAAAAGGCTAACGCTATTAGCACACTCTTGGCTACATGTATACACAATTTGAAGAATATAATTAAAGTGTAGTGTCAGAATCGCAAAAACCAGAAAAAACTTTGAATTTGACCTAGATTTTGACCTAGGCATTTTGGTGTCCAAATTTTGAAGCTATGTGGCTTTTGAGGTCCCCTTCTTTTAAAGGCTTTGATTATATGAAGCTGAACTCAGTCTACATTTGGTATTCTTCACTTTAAAAAAATCTTTTTTCCCATTGACTTAACATAGGCACCAAATTTAGCAATTTTTGAGCTTTCAAAACGCCATTACTTCCGAACCGGTAGTCGGATCGAAATTTGGTTTGCAGATTCAGATTCCTGACAAAATTCTACCCCTAATTCATAACTCATACCCTGAATTTGGAGAACTTTTGTTTTGACCTACTTTCTGGATGCCATATTTCAAAATCGGTCAGAGTAATTAAGAAAAAACAGGGACACTTATGAAAGGGCTTTCTCTAAGCTACATGATGAAAAAAAGACGAAGACGTTTCGATAAATAACGACGAAGAAAATTGATAGAATGTTGAAAATGTAAGATTTGACCTAGTTCTTGACTTTTGACCTAGATAAAAAATTGACCCAATTTCCGAGAAACTAGATACTGGACCTAAATTGACCATATACAGGACTTGACTCAATGTCTTCTAGTTAAGGAGAAAACGTGGGTAGAAGAATAATAATAAAGAAGAAGAATACTGGCAAAAACAATAGACTCCAGATTGACATCTGGAGTCTAACAAATACAAAAGAAACACTTGTACAATCTTCAGTTTCAGTACATCTACAATATGTACAATCATACATACATGATTCTGTATACTTTCAGGTACATCGTGTGTATTTGTAGGGAGTGATCTCAAATGGATACTTAATCCTGCCTAATAACCCTACAACCCATACCTGTATATGTACAGTCAAATATCATCGATTTATGTTCAAAAGAGTAACTCTGTTTTAATGAAGTATTTAGATAGCCCAAGATAACTTTTCAATTTGGCATAATCATGCAAATCAAGCCACAATATTTTTATTCAATGTCCTTTCTCCTGTTTTGATTCAGCTTCTCGAGACACATTTGATTGGCTATCGATATCTCCCATAGTTCCTTGTTGCATGCTTGACGATGACATGCTTCCCGATGACTCTCCATAACGAGCCAATGAGGAGCTGACTTCTGAGTCAGGTGATTTATTATGGGATGGATTCTCACCAGTGGCTCCATCTTTAGAAGTGGATATATCAGGTTGGTCTGAGCTGTCAACTCCCGCTGTTTCATCAATAACCATGCGGTCAGATCCTGCACTGTCTATACTCAGACTACGATCAGGCATCGGATTAGCATCCATTGTTGGTTCAGAGTCAGCAACTGATTTAGGTGTTTCTCCTTTTTTGGGTTTGTGTCCAAATCTCATGCTATCTCTTGGTTCTCTGGGACCCTCGTCATCAGCAAAGTCATAGGGGTCCGGTTTACCTTTAACTTCAGATGGCGCTGCCATCGCCTCTGATGTATTCAACTCAGCTGATTGGCCAGGACTTTTAGTATGGGCAGAGCTAATACCAAAGTCTTGACGTGTGGCAGAGCTGGTTGGAGAAGTAGAGGAGAATCTCCCAGGGGATGACATGGGTTTAGACTGGCCAGGACTGTGGGCAGAGGAGCTGGGGGCACTACCTGGCGACCCAGGGTGTCCCGAAGACCTGGGAGACAGCTGACCGCTACTAGACCCTGGTTTTCTCTCAGCCAGGTTCCTGAACTTATCAAATTTGGACTTATACATTATCTCTAATGAGCTTGAACCTGGGGAATAACCGGGACTTAAGCGTGAAGCCTGCCCAGAAGTTGGGCTAGATGACACAACTGTACTAGATCGGGGCTCATTCCCAAATGATTTTCCCGCACCACCCTGAGGCTGACCAGACTGTGATATGATGCCTGATGTCGGGGTTGACCTCTGGGACGAAGATGAACTCTGAGAGCTAGCTCCTGATTGGCCTCGTCTCGCTTGCTGCTCAAAGTACGCCCCATAGCTCCCTTGTGACGTCGCCATAGATGCTGTCGTTGACACTTGGTGTTTCTGACTAGGGCTTGTTCTGTGCTGAGTGCTTTCCTGAACCCCAGTCCTATAGTAACCACCCTCCACTGGGCGCTGCGCACCCCCTGAGTAGCTCCCCTCAGCTGACCTCTGTGCACCCCCAGGATAACTAGTTGGCATCTTATTCTGCTGGGGATTGCTAGGTTTCGCCTCATTAGCCCTACTGTACATATCTGCCTGTCGCTGGTATTGAGGTCTAATATAGCCCTGGGGATCTGAGTTTTTACTGGGGTAGCCTGTGTATCCTCTATAGTCACTATGTGGGTCACCCTGACGTTGCTGGTGCATATCAGTTGACCGTGAATGTGGATCGCTTGGGCGGGGATGTGAATCACTTGGACGAGGATGTAAGTCACTCTGTCTACCATATGGATCATTAGGTCGTGGGCTTGTGCGTGAATCACTCGATCTGGGATATGGGTCACTGGTTCTAGGATAAGGATCACTTGAACGAGGGCTAGGCTGTGATTCGTTTGGTCTGACTGGGCTTGCTCGAGAATTACTAGCTCGAGATAGAGAGACTTTAGATCTGAACTGTGAATCACCAGGTCTCATTTGTGAATCACCAGGTCTCAATTGTGAATCACCAGGTCGCATTTGTGTATCACTTGGTCTCATTTTTGAATCTCCTGGTCGCATTTGTGAATCGCCAGGTCTAATTTGTGAATCCCCAGGTCTCATTTGTGGATCACCTGGTCGCATTTGTGAATCACCAGGTCTCATTTGTGAATCAACTGGTCTCATTTGTGAATCACCAGGTCTCATTTGTGAATCACCAGGTCTCATTTGTGAATCAACTGGTCTCATTTGTGAATCACCAGGTCTCATTTGTGAATCACCAGGTCGCGATTGTGAATCCCCCAGTCTCATTTGTGAATCGCCAGGTCTCATTTGAGATTCACTTGGTCTTGAAAGTTGATTACCAGCCCTTGAATATGAATCGCTCTGTCTTGAGTAGGAATCAACTTGTCTTGGATATGGATCACTCCCCATACGTGCCTGTGAATCAGCAGCTCTACTGACTTCTGCTCTACGTTGGGGGTCTGTTACTCTGGAGGGATAGGTGTCAGAACTGACCCTACTGGACTGCTCTGCTGGTCTAGACTGTACTCCATGGTATGAATGACCACTGGGGTGGGGGTACACATCATTCATTCTGGGGTGCATGTTGCTTTGCCTGGGATAAGCCTCACTGGATCTCTGGGGTTCAGAAGGTCTCTGGGGCTGAGTTTGGGATTCAGAAGGTCTAGACTGCGAGTCTGGAGGTCTGGAGTATCCCATGTGTGATTCAGCAGTCCTTTGGTAGGAGGGCTCCATTGTTCTAGGTGGGTAATTAGCTCTTGCCTCTGAGGATGCCCCACGATTGTATGGGTCAGAAGGCCTGGAGCTGGAGGGACTCATTCTGTTTTCCTTAGCAGCCTGCTGTGTATCAGCCACCCACCTGGCTACCCCTGATCCTGGGAAGTTACCCTCGTTTGGTGCCCTCTGTGAAGTAGAACTTGCCTCCCCAGGGCGTATGACACTGTCAGCAGCCCTCATCCTAACATCTCCACCTCCACCTCGTATGTAGGCCTCTTGTCTGGAATACGGATCTGTTGGTTTAGACTGAGACTGGGCATCACCAGGTCTTGTTCGGGAGTCAGTAGGTCTCATAGGGTAATCTCTTGATGCCCTCATTTGATTTTCTCCAGCTCTCATGTAAGTTTCATTTGTTCTCATTTGGGAATCCCCTGGGCCTGTTTTGGAATCTCCTGGTCTCATTTGAGAGTCACTTGGTCTCATGTGGGAATTTCCTTGTCTCATTTGTGATTCTGAAGGTCTCATTTGGGAATCCCCAGGCCTAGATTGGGAATCTCCTGGTCTATGATAGGGTTCTCCTGGTCTCATTTGGGAATCTACTGGCCTCATTTGGGAATCTCCTGGTCTCATTTGGGAATCTCTTGGTCGGATTTGGGAATCTCCTGGCCTCATTTGGGTATCCCCATGTCTCATTTGTGATTCACCAGGTCTCATCTCTCCCAATCTTGAATCACCAGAACTTGGTCTTGGATAAGCAGCAGACTCCTGGGATCTTAACGGATCCATAATCCCTGGGCGTGAGATATCGCCACCCCCAGAACGTCCAGTTTCTGTAACCCCGGGACGTGCACCATCAGAAGCTCCTCTCATTACTTCAGCAATCTTATTCTTCACATAATCCAGAGGAGAAAGTCCCATCTGTATAGGGAGGACTGATGCCTCTTGTGTGCCAGGTGGGGCAGGACTTCCAACACTGCTACTGTCCGGTTGGCTACCTGAGCTACCTGCAATCAATGAACACACAAAGTAAGGCCCCTTCTCTATGAAATTGTTCTTTCCTCTAAACCACTCTGTTAGTTATTTTTCGCATTCACTTTCAAAATTTCCTGTACAATAACAATATACAGTAATGTAATTAAATTGTTTTTTAAATGTAATTAAACAGTAATCTAAACTTTAATATTTCATGAAAAATAATTCTAGGCTTTATTTTCTAATTATCAATGAGAAATTTCAGGCTCTATTCATAAGGAATCTATTCTATTCACTGAACAATTTCAGACTCTATTCATAAGGAATCTATTCTATTCACTGAACGATTCCAGACTCTATTCATAAGGAATCTATTCTATTCACTGAACGATTTCAGACTCTATTCATAAGGAATCTATTCTATTCACTGAACGATTTCAGACTCTATTCATAAGGAATCTATTCTATTCACTGAACGATTTCAGACTCTATTCATAAGGAATCTATTGTATTCACTGAACGATTTCAGAATCTATTCATAAGGAATCTATTCTATTCACTGAACAATTTCAGACTCTATTCATAAGGAATCTATTCTATTCACTGAACGATTTCAGACTCTATTCATAAGGAATCTATTCTATTCACTGAAAGATTTCAGACTCTATTCATAAGGAATCTATTCTATTCACTGAACAATTTCAGACTCTATTCATAAGGAATCTATTCTATTCACTGAACAATTTCAGACTCTATTCATAAGGAATCTATTCTATTCACTGAACAATTTCAGACTCTATTCATAAGGAATCTATTCTATTCACTGAATGATTTCAGACTCTATTCATAAGGAATCTATTCTATTCACTGAACGATTTCAGACTCTATTCATAAGGAATTTATCATATTCACTGAACAATTTCAACTCTATTCGTAAGGAATCTATTCTATTCACTGAATGATTTCAGACTCTATTCATAAGGAATCTATTCTATTCACTGAAAGATTTCAGACTCTATTCATAAGGAATCTATTCTATTCACTGAACAATTTCAGACTCTATTCATAAGGAATCTATTCTATTCACTGAACAATTTCAGACTCTATTCATAAGGAATCTATTCTATTCACTGAACAATTTCAGACTCTATTCATAAGGAATCTATTCTATTCACTGAATGATTTCAGACTCTATTCATAAGGAATCTATTCTATTCACTGAACGATTTCAGACTCTATTCATAAGGAATTTATCATATTCACTGAACAATTTCAACTCTATTCGTAAGGAATCTATTCTATTCACTGAACGATTTCAGGCTCTATTCATAAGGAATCTATTCTATTCACTGAACGATTTCAGACTCTATTCATAAGGAATTTATCATATTCACTGAACAATTTCAACTCTATTCATAAGGAATTTATCATATTCACTGAACAATTTCAACTCTATTCGTAAGGAATTTATCATATTCACTGAACAATTTCACACTCTATTCATCAGGAATATATCAAATTCACTGAACAATTTCAACTCTTTTCGTAAGGAATCTATCCTATTCACTGAACAATTTCAACTCTATTCATAAGGAATCTATTCTATTCATTGAACGATTTCAGACTCTATTCATAAGGAATCTATTCTATTCACTGAATGATTTCAGGCTCTATTCATAAGGAATCTATCATATTCACTGAACAATTTCAGGCTCTATTCATAAGGAATCTATTCTATTCACTGAACAATTTCAGACTCTATTCATAAGGAATCTATTCTATTCATTGAACGATTTCAGACTCTATTCATAAGGAATCTATTCTATTCACTGAATGATTTCAGGCTCTATTCATAAGGAATCTATCATATTCACTGAACAATTTCAACTCTATTCATCAGGAATTTATCATATTCACTGAACAACTGCAGCCTCTATTCATTAGGAATTTATCCCATTCACTGAACAATTTCAGGCTCTATTCATTAGGAATTTATCATATTATGTTAATATGTTAACTTACTTGATGAATTATCAGAGCCAGGTCTTGCAAGGAGGTTTGTTATTTGCTGATGTGAAGCCGCTAGCATTGACTGACTTCTATTCAATTTATCATATTCACTGAACAATTTCAACTCTATTCGTAAGGAATTTATCATATTCACTGAACAATTTCAACTCTATTCATAAGGAATTTATCATATTCACTGAACAATTTCAACTCTATTCATAAGGAATTTATCATATTCACTGAACAATTTCAACTCTATTCATAAGGAATTTATCATATTCACTGAACAATTTCAACTCTATTCGTAAGGAATTTATCATATTCACTGAACAATTTCAGCCTCTATTCATTAGGAATTCATCAAATTCACTGAACAATTTCAACTCTATTCATAAGGAATTTATCATATTCACTGAACAATTTCAACTCTATTCATAAGGAATTTATCATATTCACTGAACAACTTCAGCCTCTATTCGTAAGGAATTTATCATATTCACTGAACAACTTCAGCCTCTATTCGTAAGGAATTTCTCATATTCACTGAACAATTTCAACTCTATTCGTAAGGAATTTATCATATTCACTGAACAATTTCAACTCTATTCATAAGGAATTTATCATATTCACTGAACAATTTCAACTCTATTCATAAGGAATTTATCATATTCACTGAACAATTTCAACTCTATTCATAAGGAATTTATCATATTCACTGAACAATTTCAACTCTATTCGTAAGGAATTTATCATATTCACTGAACAATTTCAGCCTCTATTCATTAGGAATTCATCAAATTCACTGAACAATTTCAACTCTATTCATAAGGAATTTATCATATTCACTGAACAATTTCAACTCTATTCATAAGGAATTTATCATATTCACTGAACAACTTCAGCCTCTATTCGTAAGGAATTTATCATATTCACTGAACAACTTCAGCCTCTATTCGTAAGGAATTTCTCATATTCACTGAACAATTTCAACTCTATTCGTAAGGAATTTCTCATATTCACTGAACAATTTCAGCCTCTATTCATAAGGAATCTATCATATTATGGTAATATGTTAACTTACTTGACGGATTATCAGAGCCAGGTCTTGCAAGGAGGTTTGTTATTTGCTGATGTGAAGCCGCTAGCATTGACTGACTTCCTGTACGGGGAGAGCGAGGTGAGTTTGGTTTTGCCGTTGCTTCATTACTTCGGCTATCTGATGATCCTTAAATTGAAACAAACTCCTGTATGGCTTGGAACACAAAATGGTGACAATGCTTTAGAATGAAAGGGAGATAAAGGAGAGTTCAACATAAAATGTCGGTGTATTTCCTTTTATTTAACCTGAAGGTATTCTCTGAAGATAGAATGAAATATTTGTTTTATTATTCACTGTTAATGATCCTCACTCTCAAGATCTTCACTTATGGTTTCGTTGCCTTTACTGTGTTATCTGAATGGATATTATAAATGCCAGCAGGGGTATAAAACTACACTGGACAAAACGGCAGCTGCGGAAGATCATGTTTTAGAATGAGAACAACTTTTTACCTGCAGGGGATACTGGATCTAATGGGCCACCCTGGGGGGATGCCCTTACAGTCTGTGGGGATGCCTGCTGGGGTTGTCCAGATTGTGTGACGTCACGCTCACCAGTACGTGCAACTTTAATGATCTCCCTCTCATCCTGGCCTAGCATAACGGGGGATCTAAAAAAACAGAAGTGGAAAGAGGTAATTGTATACCTCTGATTGTCCAATCAAGGATCTGGTTTTCACAAAACAGATTACAATTCCTCAATTTCAAATTCACAATGACAACTGATTATCTTTTTCAAAACATTTGGAATGCACTTTACAATTTTACTATGGCAAATGAATGATAATTATTCACAAAATTTAAAGAAAAAATGAGGGTTCTAATACTCAAGTCATATAAGTAAACCCTGTCTATGATGAAGAATAATTACACTGTATTTCTAACCTTGCTGTTCCCTGTGGCTTGATAGTGACTGGTGATGATCTGACTGATGTGGCAGGGGACCTGGATTGTGAAGGAGACTGGCCCAAAGCTGGGGACTTTGCTGGGGCAGGTGACCTGCAGAAATATGTTAATATATATATTTGAAGTATATTTGAATATGACATATCCCATTCAACTTCAATATGCATCATTTTGAGCATTTGAAACATTTTGCACAATTTTACATGTCAAATTAATCATTTCAAAATCAGAATATCAGAAAGAAAATTTTATTGATTTTGTAAAGCTTGTAAAAATTCATAATACTGATTGAGTAAAATTACCTAGACATTTGTCCCGGGATTGGTGACCTTGACATTGGTGCAGGTGACCTGGATTGCTGGGGTAGAATTGGTGACCTTGACCTCTGACTAGGTGACCTTGACCTTGATGGGACCATAGGTGGTCCTAGAGATGAACGTGAGTCACTGTTGGATTGAGACTGGTTCGGATGTAAAGATGACATGGAATTAGGTACCATGGACTCCATCATTGAGGATATCCCCTGTAAGAAAGATTAAAATTACATTTTAATATTATTGGATGTGGAATATGTTCCTTCATTCAATAATGGGGAAATTTCTAGCGTTTTAAACAGTCCATGACTTGTAAATACATCCTAAAGAAACTATATTCCACTCATTAAAAATTAATATGAGAACCTGCTCGAGAACTCGTTTGAGTTTCCAAGGACCCTGATATGCCCCAGTTGAGTAGCTCCGTGGTCGTGCATCATCCTGTTGCGCACCCCCTGGCCTGGGGGGTGGGGATGTGACTACTCGAGATCGCGGTGAATCTGTCTCACTATTTGAGCTACTGTTGTTCCCTTGTAAGAACCTCCCCATGGCTGCTGATGCATTTCCATTATTTCCCGACACTGGAACTTCTGATGATGTCACAGGTTGAGGAGGAGCCTGGGTGGGGGCAGACGAGCTGGTGGATGGGAGCAGTCCTATAATGAATAAAATTAAATAGATACTATACAATGGCATAGAGCTCCCTAACATTCATCTTCCAGTCAACTGTGGAAAAATGGAGTCTTAAGAAATATGGCTCTCGTAGTGCTCTACCTCAACGCTGAATGTACTCATATATGGCTTGAAAATAAACAACATTTGGCCATATTTGAGGGACAGGGGGATAATAACATTATGTCATTACTTCTGGGTGTGACATAAAAACCATTTTCTTAAATCACTCAGTTGACACTTGACCATTGTAAAATATGGATAAGTCCCCCACCTTTGGCCTGTAGCTGGGCCTGGGCCTGAGCCTGTGCCTGTGCCTGAAGGGCGGCCTTCTTCTTGCTGTAATCCTGTTGGATGATGGCATCTATGTGTTCCCCTGAAATATATATTTATTAAACCTCAAAACAGACAGTACAATAAAACAGACAGTACAATAAAATATGTATATCTGAACACCTCTGTTTGTCAGAACACCTCTTAAAGTCTCAATGTGAACACTTTCTAGCAGTCTCAGTTCTCTAATCAACCTCCTTATTGAAAATATATAGATTTGACTGTCTTCACTCACCAAGGGTGTAAAAAGCATTGTGTTCACTTACCAAGAGTGAAAAAGCATACAATTTTAATTGATTATTTTCACTCACAAAGGGTGAAATCACAATGGATTGTATTCACTTACCAAGGGTGATAGCACGTGAGTCTGATGATTTGCTGCTTGTGTCTGATGCAGTGGGACTTCCCTGTATGACATCACGTGTACTACTACCTACATCATCAGGGAGTTCAGCCAAAACATTCTGCAATACGATCGACATACTTTTTACATAGAAAGTTCTTTTTTTCTTGCTTCATCGATCTAAAAATCAGATATTGAAGTTGTTCAAATTAATAAGCATTAAGTCCAGAAATTAAGCGAATTCATTTTTACCTTGGCTGTTTGCTTGTCGGTCTCACTGCTCCCTGGAGGTGTTGGTCCAGATACGCCAGCATTTACAGGTTGCGCCCCTGGGGGTGCAGTTTGTGCCCCTGGGGGTACAGGTACAGATTGTGATGGCCTCTGATTCGGCTCAGGCTCGTATCGCATCTGTGGTCTTGTGTACTGTGGCGACCTATTAATCACATGCATAAAAATTAATAAACAAGGCATTTACATGCAAAATATCACCTCCTACCATTTGCTACACACTCTGAAAGTAGAATGCCGAACATCAACTTGTATATATACTTGTATATGTTAAAAATGCATTACATGATTAAGATGAAGCTACAAAAATCAGTGTGCCATTGTACTGCTAAAATTGATATTTTAGATGATTGGAGGAATTATAAGGAAAAGAGAGTTTAGAATATCTGAAGTGATGTTAAAAATATTCTTACCCAGGTCTTGGCGGAGTGGGGATACTTGCTTCTGATTGGACGACCCTCTGTAAATTCTGGGGAAATAAAATACCCCCAGAGGGTGAACTCCGGCTATTACTAATGTCTTCTTTATTATGGCAAATCTGGTGCTCAATTATCGCATCGATTAAATTCGCAGCACTCATAGTTTTAGAGTTTTTTCCAGGAGGTTGTCGAGGGACTGGGGATTGCCGCTTCTTTGGAATGTTTGCGTTATCGGCTTCAAACTGTTGTAAAAGAAGTTTTGAAGCATCTGGAGTCTGCATTGTGTTTGATTCTTCAAGTTTATTGCTGACGTGTTTAGGGTCAGTGCGATGATTTAGCGCTGGTTTGTGGTCAGTGATCAGGACATCATTATCTTGCTCTGGAGCTTCAGCCCGTGAATGAGTGACGGCACGTTGTCTTTCCTGTTCAGCATATCCTTGCTGTCGTCTGATCTCTCGCTCGTGTTCGATCATCTTCTGCACATCTTCGCGGTGCTCTTCATAATTTGAGGCGTTGGAGTCAGTGCGTGTTCGTTCAGAGTCAGTCCGTGTGCGTTCAGAGTCAAAGCGTGGACGATACTGACGCATCTCGGCCTCATATCTCGACTGATAGTGAGATACAGAGAGAGGTGGGTCCATTCTTGCACGCTTAGCTGACTCAGCTTCCATATCGGGCCCACGTGGGTCCCTGGCTGTGAGGGGCCCTTGGCCTCTTCCTAGGGAACCACTAGGTTGCTGAGGGAGGGGCTGCATCTCTGCTGCAATCTCGGCCAACTTCTTTATATTCATGTCATTGTATCGACTGTCTGGCCCTCTCTGATCTGACTCACGACTACCTTGTTCCCTTCGTTCATACTCCTGCCTCTGAGAGGATTCTGGGAGTTTTCCAGACGTTCCTTGATTGATTGAACGAATCACATTCTCTCTGGGTTGTTGATAGGTGGCAGGCCGATCACCTGGACGAGAAACTGGTATCCCGGGACTGACAGCCGAAGCGTGCCGACCTGGCCAGTTTGAAGTGACTGAGGTTGGGATATCATTACGTGGTGATATGGCAGGAGATGGTTGACGTCTACCCTGCTCCCCGGGCACCTGGCCCTGTATAGGCATATACATCATCCCCTGGTGTGTGGCCTGGTACTGCATCTGATGGACACCATCCACTCCAACATAAAGCTTGGGGCCAGGGACTTGGCCTCGAACATCCTGATTACGTGGCGACAATCGTGCTTCCTTCTCCACCCGATCTCTAGGTGCCCTCTGCATTTGCTGAGCAGTTAAAAAATCTCCAAGCAGGACTGCATGTGAGCTATTGGTATATGCAGCTGCTGCCTCTGGTCTGTACTCTGCCTGGGGGAAGGGTACTCCAGGAGGAAAGAAACCTGCAGCTGCACTCTGGGCTGCATTAGGATTCATCCTGTATAACTCCATCATGCGTGAATCATACATCATACGTGTACGGCTGTCATACATCTGCATTGGAAGCCCAGGTCTAGGGCCCTCACTGGACGATATAGGTGGACGAGACCGATCAATCCCAACTGGCGTTCCTTGTGTAATGGACCCAGTCTCAGGTCTCGATTGTGGAGGTGTAGTTTGCCGTATTATATCATGTCTAGGTATGCCTTGTGATATTGATCCTTTTTCATAGCGAGACTGAGGGAGCTGTGATGGGTGGTTTACAGGTGTACCATGGGTAATCGAGCCAGTTGGTGGGGGATTCATTGAGGGTGATATTTTATCCATGACATTCACAGGTGTTTTCGTGTTGATCAAGGGTGGAGGTGTTGGGAGAGTAACTCTTGGGGCAAGACCTCCACGTGGTCCTCCTGGTTGTTGCCGATCTACTGGTGATGGCATTGACATATAGGGGGAGCTGGAGGGGGGCACCTGATGACGTATAGGCGGTGTACCTTGCGAGCGATCAAGATATGCTGAGGGAGATTTATCTCTCTGATCATGGAAACCAGCAGATAGAGGGCGCTGTTGAGGTTTCACGTTACCATGTTGATGAGCAGGGGGAGGGGCAGTCATGTCACGACGTGGCTGCCGATCATCCATTCCTCTCCAGTTTGTAACTTCCCCCGCCCTGGGATCCCGGGGGTCATATTCCCGAGGGTCTCCTTTATATGTGGCATGCTTATCAATAGTACGACGTGTTAAATCTTGGGGGCTGAATTCCGTATTGGGACCACCCCTAGAGTCCCTTGGAGGGGGTTGGGGTGATGTCCTAGGGGGGTAACCTGTTGGGTACCCTGGTATAGAGCGAACTTCTGTGATGTGGGGGTCAGATCCACGACGTTGCTGCTGAGTTACAGACATCATGAATGAACCACTGTCTCGATCCCTTTGAGCTGAAAGTAAAAAATGTAAATAACCATGTTGTTCAAACTCTCCAAGTTAGTATGATGAGAACTGAATATAACCTTACTGTGATTTTAGCAGAAGAATAAGTGGGTGTTGCACCCTGTAGATAATCTGTTGCACCCTGATAAAAGGGTGAGATAGGATTAAGGACCCCTTTTGTGTAACTGAAAATATTACTGAAATGTATACACTTCATAAATCGTTCATGAATATTGAAGTTGAAAATTACCACTGTGTGCTTCGTTATTTCCTGGAACAGATAGCGTCAGATTCCGTTCAATCGCAGAATGGATCAAGTCTCGAACGCAAGCTGACGATGGCGTAAGATCCTTGTTGGACTTTGAAGGCTCTGAGGGGTGGGACTTAGGAGAAAGGGGCCTGGGCATGGAGTCTGGTTTAGAATCATATGAAGTAGGATGACCCAGGCCCCCCTGCCCCGGGGGGTAATGGGGACGTCTATCACCAGCCCCATCCGTAGAAGTCACTTCAACATCTCTATAACGATGATCCTCGGCCATTTTAATGTCAGACTCATGGTGGCTCCCTCTGTCTCTGTCTCCCTGTGGACCCCCTGTAAAATATAAAACAAAAGATTAAATTATAAATTGAAATATTGTAGCCTTGGTTGATTTTAAACTGGTACAAATATAAATGTGTTAAGTTCATGTTGCTTTTAGATTATGTCACTACCATCAACAAACAAACAAGTAAACAGACAAACAAACAAATAAACAAACAATCAAACAAACAAATGACCAATTTACCTATATCATGGGAATGTGGACCTTCATCTGCACTCATAGTGGCTGAGCTATCATAATCAACAGGTTTCTGGAGTGAAGCAGGTCCTATTGGCTTCCCATGATCCTCCTGTGTTGAGGTGGGATCTGCTGGCTTTGTCTCACTAGTGGGAGGATCTTTGGGGGTCTGATCAGTGTCAGCTGGTGGATCAGGCTCACCCTGCTTTGGTGGATCTTTGTCTGAAATAGGCAATGATATTTGTGAGATCTACAGGGTGTCCATAAAGTCTCTTTACACAGACTTTGTATGGCCTTGAACAATAAAACAGGATTCATCAGGAGGCTTGCTTGCCAACTCGCCAGATGAACTGCCAACTCGCCAGACAAACTGCCAACTCGCCAGATGAACTGCCAACTTGTCAGATAAACTGCCAACTCGCCAGACAAACTGCCAACTCGCCAGACAAACTGCCAACTCCCCAGATGAACTGCCAACTTGCCAGATGAACTGCCAACTTGCCAGACAAACTGCCAACTCGCCAGATAAACTGATCACAATACTGCTCCAAAGGATGTAATAAAAATACATGTATATAAACTTGAAAGATATTGTATATAGATTTCAGTTCATAGATTACATAGAAAATGAAATTATGTAACAGATATTAACAGCCTGATAGGGTTCTCCTGACAGAAACATCACTCCAACTGAATTTTCATTTCACTTTTATGTCAATTTTGATAAAATCATTGAAATGGACCTACCATGCTGTGGGAAAGAAGGGGGTGAGGGTGGTCCACTATTACAGTCACTACTGTCCCCATTATCTTCTCCATTGTCCTCATCACTTGATGAAATGTCCTCATCAGAATCATTAGTTGACACAACACTCTCTGATATGGAGGTTGTTCTTTTCTCTTCAGCCTAAAAAAATACGAGAAAATAAATTAAAAAATTTGACAGCTGTCAAAAAACTCTTTGTTAGAAACATATAAATCATCAACTATTTCTAAGAAGAATCATTCTTAAAAACTGCATTAAATTAGAGGTGAGATTGCATAGTTTTCATATTTGAAACAAGGTTTTGACATTACAAAATGTCACCAACAGTTATTGGTAGTTGTAAGAATTTGTTACAGATGCTGATCCCCGATGTTAACTGCCAATCACAAAATGTTGGAGACTATAACAATACATCACATGGTGGCTATAACCATTCAGCGCTGTTATAAAAAGCCACAATTATAGTTATACTATCAAAATTATGTAGAATAAGATTAGAAAGAGGCAGATGGGGAAAGTTACATAGAGGGAATTGATTTGACAAGTAAACTTACTCGTTTCCTCTTGTATTCCTGGACTAGTTCTTCAAGGGAAAGTTTACGCTTGTAGTTGAAGTAGAAGTTCTTACATTGGGCTTTAGACTTTGTACCAACCAGGTTGGCAATAGTCTCCCAATCTCTTCCATGCTCCTTTAATCCTACAACATACAAACACATACGTCTATTTAAATAAAATAAATGAAATCCTTAGTTGAAGTTGTTAGAACCTGACTGTAGAATTCTTGACATGTTCCTTTGACTTTATAACATCAACAATATACATGGTAGAACAATAAATGTTCAAAAGGAGCCATTTTTGCAAAAATGAAATCTTCAGTTGAAGTTGTTATAACACTGACTGTAGAATTCTTGACTCACAATCTCTAACTTTATAACATCAACCATATACATAGTAGAACATATTACAACACAATGAATCTGAATCACTTCTTATACCGAGACCTATAAGGACAACAGGTAATTATGTCTTAAGGTTTTCAATGTTCAATGTTCCAAACACAATAAATGTTAAAAAGGAGCTATTTTTGCAGAAATCCCATGGTATTCAATAAATTTTGAAATACAGACATGGACTGTGACTTACAGTCTAAAAGCCCACTTAGCACCCTGTAGACTAAAATAATACATATCACTGTGTTTATACAGGGTGTCAAATAAAAATGTTCTCCCCTTGATTTCAAGAGAGTAAACTTTTGTGCAAAAAAGTGCACAAAGTGGAGATAGTCATCTGAAACTTCTTGTAGAGTTGCTCCATGAAACTTAAAGGCCCCATGTAAAGTTTAAACCACTTTGGCTTATATTGAAGTCTTACCCAATGTTATCAAAGTGTGATATGTGAAACTTTTTTTTTTAATTTCAAAAAGTGGTTTTTGAAAGACTTTTTGTTCCAAAATTTGTGAATTTATTTAAAACCAACTTTTAGAGGTCACTCATATCTTCTAACTAGCCACAATTCATACCAATGCATAGCATTCATCCTCCCATGTTTTTTGCCGAAATAATTAAGAAAATCAGTTAATAAACAAGCGAAAAATGAATTTATCAGTGCATGAATATGGTTCTGAGAAAAATGCATTTCAAAATTTTAGTTCTCATAGAAACCAATGGAACAATGATATCTAAAACATAATTTATTCTTCCTTTTAACCTGGTTAGACAATCAACATTGTTTTTTATGAAAGTCTAGCATATTTAGAAAAGATTGACATCGAAAAAAAAATTTCAATTTTTTTCAAAGAGTTGGTTACCTTAGGGGAGGCATCAAAAGATCAAAGTCTGATAGAAAACTAAATAAATCTAGTTTGGGGGAGGGGGTCAAAGCTATTTCAGTTTGCTATCCGACAAATTTCAACATTTAATTTTTTTGCAATTTCGACTCGAAATGCCTTGGAATGGTTTAAAAATAAAGACTTTACCAGATGCCTTCTTCACCAAGATGCATGCAACATGGAATATTATGCCTATTGTTGTTGGCACATGTTTTAAGAATTATAAATAAGTTATAGTACTGCCCCCATGAAAGTCCAAATTGAGTCGCTAAAACATGTGAAAAGTCCGCGATCAACTTTCATTGTATTTAGTTTTGAGGGGGAGGGGGGGGGGTCCAACTCAAAACTAGATTTATTTAGTTTCCTATCAGACATTGAACTTTTGATGCCTCCCCTTAGTGACATCACTAATGTTTCAAAATATATTTGATATGCTAAAACACTGAAGTGGCCCATTAAATATGGCATTTTATTATTGAAATAGTGTGTCCTTTGTTCAGTCTTTGCATTGGTGTTAAAAAGATAACCTTTTTTGAAATGCATTAAGAAATATTTGATGATTAAGAAATTTCAACTTTTTTTGAAAAATGGCGGGAAATTTGAATGTTTGAGAAATGAAATGCTCACAACTTTTTTTTCAAAAAATGTTTTTTGTTCAATAATCTCTAAAATCACTTTTTAAGTCCTGACAAATAGTAAATGAATGATAAAAAAATATTTTCAAACTTTAGACGGGGACTTTAATTTTGAGGTGCTGAAGAACAATTCAGATATCATACAGACAAAAAAGTTATGCAACATAGATGTCAAAGTTGAGGGGGGGGGGGAAGATATTGACCCCCTGTACAACAATATGGTGGCACAGCCAGGTGTAGATTTCAGTTGGATTATTTTTCTATTTCTGATTTCAAGATACATATTATGCAAGATGTCCTTACCTTTCTTTGCTTTGTCCATCTCTTCATCTGTCCATCTCGATGTGTCACTGTTATCTACAACAAAATTATAAAATGACATAATTCAACCACATGGTTGCAATTACAAAAGTGACAACTTGTTACAGATCCATCTAGATGTGTCACTGTTATCTACAACAAAATTATAACATGACATAATTTAACAACCTGATTGCAATTACAAAAGTGACCACTTGTTACAGATCCATCTAGATCCATCATTTACATAAAATAGTGGCTATTTTGAATGCCATTTTGAATACCTCTTAATTTAGCTAAAAACTACATTTTTAGGCAAAATGGTAGCCATTTTTTTTATTAATTGTATCATATCGGAAATTCCATCATGAATAGATGTATAGAACTTATAAAACAAACATGCAATGGGACTCTCAGCTATAATAGCATAAAAGAGGCAGCTGAGGTACAATACAATGCCAGCAACTTTGCACTAAAACAGTACAGGTAATACCACTAAAAATGATAATTAATATTTCCTGAGACAAATTAGCAAGCATAATAGAAGCTCATTCTTTTTGGCATTTTTTCAATTATGTTGCCCAATTTATTCTAGATGAATATTCAAGCACAATGTGGTGGTATTCATGGTATTAATGTGGTGGTATTCATGGTATTAATGTGGTGGTATTTAAAGTTCATGGCAGTAAAATGACAAAATGTCTAAAACTAATATGTCATTATGAATGGTTACAAAAACGTAACAATTGTTACAAATGCCATTTTAACACCAACTGCTAGTAACTTATAATGAAGAGATAACACTATATCACAACTTTTTAGTGGTGTCATGATAGATAATCAGCCATATGCTGGTTCCATTCATTAGAATCAGACTATGCACAGCTATACTGCATTCTGATTGGTCATTAAACATACCTTCCCCAGTTTCCTGTGCTGGAACAGGAGACTCGCTTGGATCAGCCCCAACCTTCCTTGCGATACGATTGATACACGCCACACAACACTTTGTGATCTCGTCAGTCAACTCTACAAGAAATGAGATTATATGTTATTGTACAATTATTTGGATGCATGAATGCAGTAATACTGTGCCATTTGAAAAAATGACATGAATCGCTATGGGTCAAGTACAATATTATCCCAACATTTTGATTTTGACTAAATTAATATCCCAATCCTACCATTTTAGCCATTTTTGTGGAAAATCTGAAATATCTCGACCCTGGCAATCTTGGCTTTAAGTGCACTAAAGTACACATAATACTACTACTGTAAATGTATTGAAATAAAATAGTAATTATCACTTTTCAAATACACGCATAGCCTTAAAGTTCAAATTTAGTAATGTTTACATGGTGATAATGAAATATAACTTATCGCTCTTCTACAAGATGCATTAGAATAATTATCATCCATATTAATACTACTATTTTTTCAGACGTACCCATTTCCTTAATAATAGGATCTTTAATTTCTTGTGACAGCTCCGCCCATTTAGCTGGGAGTGGGCGGAGTCTCTTTACTTTCCGTTTTGGCGTTTTACAAGTAGGAACAGGGCATCTGAAAAAAGGACGCATTGATAAACTTCATTCATTCATTCAGGTGTATACGAGGCGACCATTTTTAGACAAGAAGTGTGAAAAAGACTCATTCATGAACTTAATTCAAGTGTATACAAGGGGTCCATTTTTTAACAAGAAGTTTCAAATCATCCCAGCTACTCTTGAACCTATATGCAATTAATGGATTCACCTATGTAACATATAATAACTGTATTTATCTAATGATTATTGTGTTATTCATGTGATACATGTAATTTGTCATAGTATAGAACAATAAGGGTGAAACAATTAATAGTAATATTTGGATATTATCTCTAGATAGCTGTGTGAAATTGTATCAAAAAAAAACATTTATCAAAATGTAACTGCATACTTATATATCATGTTATTGAGAAGCATTTTTATTAGCAGTTATGCTATTTTGCTAAGCTGAATAAATCAGGTAGTATTATTAAAATTTATCAAAAAATGACTTTATGAGCTTGCATCAATTATTTATAGCCCCATTATCTGTAGACTCACTGAGTGTATCTACGACGCACAGAACGACAACGGCAACTGCTGCAGACACGTGGCTCCCCCTGGATGTTTTGCAGGTCAAGGCCATAGTACTGACTGCAATGCGACTTTGTGATTGGTCGACTCAGACTGTAGTTTGCCAATTGGACCTTACAAACTGCACAGTTGTGAAGTCCCCCTTCTAAATAAACAAAAATAATTTAGATTTTGATTTTAAAATTGATGCATAACCAATGAACTGGAATGGTTGGTGTGAATTAGCAGTATGGACCCACATATATAGATATTAGCAATAGTTCAGTCAAAAGCCTATATTCATTTGTCTGCAATTGTTGCTGGACTATTATGTTTAAATGCTTAAATCTTTTTTTTAAATCAATATTGCGAACAGACTGGCCATTATGTAGTAAACATGTCTAGATACATTTCATCTTTCGCAACACACAAAAAATTGGCTATTATGAGAAACAATGAATCATTAAATTATAAAATAAAAAAATTACCTTTTGTTTTTGTTTCTTCTGCATCCCCTGTTTTCTCTGCAGGCACAACTGAATTGTCAGTGCTTCCTGCCTCCGTAACATTAACCTCCATCTTAACTTCATCAGTTGCTTCATCCTTTGAAACACTAAAATATTTGTTAAATAAAACATATGTTAATAACCTGGGGGCCATTGACAGAAACTTTGCAAAGTTACGAAATCGTAAATCAATTGTTGTAACCATGGATATAATGATGTCACAGTTAAAGAACAATGAACTTTAAGAATTCCTAACTTACAAAGTTTTTATTAATACTAGCATATCGGTCTCCTGATCTGAAAATTTCATCCCTTTGGAGAGGCCTAGTGGCATAAAAGGTCATGGCCCGGTGTTAAGTTCACGTATCCAATCAGAATGCTCTGCTTCGTCACGTGACAAAATATGAAAAATGTCTGAATAAATATTGCATCGTTGATTAGCCCATTGGTTTTGTGGCATCTTACAAAACTCTGCGGCAACTGCCAGGAGGAGCAATATTGAGAGTGAACTCAAATTATGAAGTATAAAATATCATAATAACTTGTTATTCTAATTATTTTAAAGCATGCGGAAATCATACATTTTTTCTAAAAAAAGTTTGGTATTGTTTCTCGTTGTTTGCTGCTAAACAAATGTTTATTTGTGATCACTATACAGCTATAACATCACAACAACTCACAATAGCAATGTATGACAGGATGGGCAAATTGGAATTACATGTCATGAGACACACTAAATATCAAAATGACAGATCAGATGAGGTTAGTGCGGCTGTTGCAGAGTGTGACATTAACAGATACATTAGGAGTATTATTATATTTTATTTACTATCAAGAATAAGTAAGAGGACACTGCCAGAGACATACATGGACTTGTATATATGCATTCTATATTAGATGGAATATTTATTTTAGATTCAGTGAATTAACTCTAAATTTTCTTAATTTCAACTAGGCCCTTCTGTCCCTCTTGCAAGTATATTTGTCCAAATTATTATCAAAAGTATATCCTAATTGTTGTTATTTGTCATTTTTATTCACAAGAATACTTATTAATTGCTTTTAAATAAAAATTGTTTATCAATCCATTGTTTTTATTCTCTTTTTATATTAATTTTATTTTTATATTTTACCTTATTTTTCTTTTTTCTTTTTAAGAATAATATCTAGGCACATTAAAATTACAATAAGAGGAAGAATTTGCACTTCCTGAAAAAATGACCTGCCTGCCTAAGTTGACTACTATTTCATTTTATAAAACAATTTTGCCATGTGTGAAAATAATTTAAGCACCAGATTTAATGCTTTGTGAAGTTTAAAAATTAAAATATCTTAAATTAATTTCTTTAAAAATACATTTAAGTGATTAAAATACCTCTCAGAAGGCGACTTGGGTTCCTCCTTTACAGATTCAACAATAGGTGTCACCACTTCATCCTTTTCTTTCTTTGCAGGCTGCTGTACCGTTGCCACACCTGGATCATATCTTGATTCCCTAGGCTGGATATCAAACAAATATGATGAAACTCAATCATACTTTCAACTTATATAACCTAAACGTAATTCTGACCTAATATGAATAAAATCTCAATTTAATTGCAACTTCAATATACTATAATAGTCTTCTTGAAAATGTTCATCTCTTTCTGAGAATCTGAGATATCAAGCATTACCTTTTTAATCTCAAAAGTATTTCCATTTCTGAATGTAACCTCTTTGAATAAAAGCCATGTAGAAAAGTATGAACTTGAAATGCTTGCCAACATCATCTCAAACTGTATTGTCGATAATAAACTCAATAATTCGAAAACATGCTTATATACAGAGCGAGAATGCAAGACCCTTGCAAAACATTTCACTCTATAACAGTTTATCTAAGTTTTGTGAAAGATTTGATGAGTAATATTTTGGTTGCTATTCAGGATAAAGTGTCATTTATTGAAAGGATATGGTTGAGGTAGCATTTCTTATGAACTGTATTCAATTTTTTTCTTTCCATTATTTGGAATTTAAATATCTGGTGGGGTAAGGTGGTAGCAAATACACTCCCCTTCATAAGTTTCGCAACTGGAAATTTTCATTAGACAGCATATCAAAGTTGATGGTAGAATATTAACAGTTCAGATCATGTGCGACTGTGCAGCGACTTCATGCGCAGTTGTGAAGTTATTAAATTTTCAATTCAGGTCAATTCAATTCTGGATGCCAAATGACGATTCTCGGTTTGGAGAACAGTCTCCTGGGCTAACATTTTTTTTCATGAAAAATATAGAAATATTACCCAAATTAAACTATGAATATTCAAAAGAGGACATTTAAATCTACAATATGTAAAAATAACAAATTGGTCTGAAGCAGGGATAATGCTCAATTAGACTGATTCAATAAAATAAAAGTCTTGATTTTGGGGAAAGAAGTTCATCAGTGTACTGCGCTAATATTCTTTTGCGAAATATCTAAAAATATTACCCAAATTAAATTATGACTATTCAAAAGAAGATATTCAAATCTATATTATGTAAAAAAATTCAAATTTGTCCGAAACAGGGATAATGCTCATTTAGATTGAAGAACTTCGTTCTCCAAACCGAGAATCGTCCTTTATGGAGGGGAGTGTATGTGATAAGAGCTTCAATTATTAAGATGACGTAAATTGACTACTGTATTCGTCATTAAAAGGGTCTCATTAGCCATAGTTTTTTCATTCTTCATAAAAACCAGCTTGAAATTAGACTATGATTAAACTTTAGAACATTTTTTTTCTAGTTGTGCATTACTTAATCTTAGAGTAGTGTACAAATTATGTGCAATCATTCAGGTTCAAACTCCATTAAAAAGCTACATCTTAGACTGTAAAGATCTTTTCAGTATCTAAATTGTAAAAGTATGGGTATTAGGAAAAGTGGGGAATGGACAAGGTGGGGATTGGTAAAAATCTTGATTGGGAAAGATGGGATTGGGAAAGGTTGGGAATTGGGAAAGATGGGATTGGGAAAGGTTGGGAAAAATCTGAATTGGGAAAGGTTGGGAAAAATCTGAATTGGGAAAAATCTTGATTGGGAAAGATTGAGATTAGGAAAGATTAGGATTTGGGAAAGGTGGGGATTGGGAAAGGGATTTGGGAAAGATTTTGATTGGGAAAGATCTGGATTGGGAAAAATTAAGGATTTGATATAGACCAGGGGTGGTGAATTCGTACGATCCGCGATCCGATCCGGATAAATTTCGTCATGGTAATGATGCATTGTGGGATTAATCCAAGAATTAATCCAAAAATCGGTGAATTTGTACGATTCTGGGATTAATCTCAGGATATTACTTTTTGGATAATTTTTTCCGAATTCCAATGTAAATTTGATAAATCTTGGGGATTCCCCCTCATAATCCTCGGATCCTAAGAATTCACCAAATATTTATCGGATCCAAGATTTATCCCAAAAGATAAAATTTATCCGGATTGGATTGGTGACTGTACGAATTCACGGCCCCAGATGAGAAAAGATGGGGATCAGAGATCCAGAGAATAAACTCACCTGTGGTTTAGATTGTAGTTGTTTTCTTTTCTTCATGTTCTGCTTCCGTAGTAACTGTTTGTAATTTTCACTCTTTTTACTATGGTAATAATACTGTACACACTCCTCCACCGTCTGAAATGCAAAACAAGATTTCGACAATCCAGAAACAAAAGTTAGGCAAATAAGTTGTAGAACAACCCCAACAATGGAAAGTCAGAAACTATCAAATATGATAGAGCTATGGAAAATGATGATGGTGATGCTAAATTGAAACCATATATTGAAAGGAGTGATCCCATTATATAAAATATTTAAATTCTAATGTTTGCCCGATGGCTACTAGATATAGTATCTAGGCCCAGTGATGTAATCAAAGCACCATTTTCTGTGTACTCCACCCACTGGGCCATTTAACCTGGACCTGCAATGACGCACCTACCAGCAACATAATAGTACTATATTATCACATTAGTTGCTAAGTGCTAAGTGATCATTGTAAACAAGTCTTAATAACTGAAATGCATATTTATCATTTGGGAGAATAAGCTATTGAAACCAGAACAACGGCAACGCCAAAGCGTAGCGAATCCCATCGAACATTTTTCAAAACGGGCACCTTCTACCAAAAGTGTCATAAGACAGTGTGCCATGCTTATAATATTCACATACCAAATATGAACAAAATCGCTCTACTACTTTTCGAGTTATAGTAAAATACGTTAAAATGGCGGCCATTTTTCAAAATAGCCGCCTTCTACCAAAAGTCTCATTAGACAGTGTGCCATGCTTATAGTATTCACATACCAAATATGAACAAAATTGCTCCACTACTTTTCCAGTTATAGTAAAATACGTTAAAAGTGTCATTAGACAGTGTGCCATGCTTATACGTATTCACGTACCAAATATGAACAAAATCACTCCACTACTTTTCGAGTTATAGTAAAATAAGTTAAAATGGCAGCCATTTTTCAAAATGTCCGCCATTTTTCAAAATGTCCGCCATTTTTCAAAATGTCCGCCATTTTTCAAAATGACCGCCCTCTACCAAAAGTGTCATTAGACAGTGTGCCATGCTTATACGTATTCACATACCAAATATGAACAAAATCGCTCCACTACTTTTCGAGTTTTAGTAAAATAAGTTAAAATGGCAGCCATTTTTCAAAATGTCCGCCATTTTTCAAAATGGCCACCTTCTACCAAAAGTGTCATTAGACAGTGTGCCATGCTTATAGTATTCACATACCAAATATGAACAAAATCGCTCCAATACTTTTCGAGTTACAGCAAAAATCGTAAAACAACGAGTAAAGGCCACCATTTTTCAAGATGGCTGCCATGTGCTTTTTAATATCTACATTTCCAGCTTTAAAACATATTGCTATTACAGTTTTACATATTGCACCTAAATTACTGTAAAATCGGCACTAAAATGGCCGCCATTTTTAAATGAGCAGCCATTTTGAAAATCGGCTTTCGAGCAGAACTTCTACCCCCATAGGGTATATGTGTACAAAATATGAATAAAATCGGGCGAACGGTATTTGAGTTATTGCCCGGACGTACGGACGTACGTACGTACGGACGTACGGACGGACGGACGGAGGCGTTCCCTATATCCCTCCGAACTTCGTTCGATGGGATAATTATTTCAAAACATGGTAAGTCATCAGCTAGGGATCTTTTTGGAGATGACATATTGTTGATTTAAATCACAGACATTATATACATAAAAAATAACAGTGTTTCATGTTTATGTATGAATAATTGGGTAGGAGTTTTGAGAACATTTTCATTAAAGTAAACTCCTGTTTTTGCACTTTTTACAAAATAAACCCATTCAACCAAGTACCATAACCGTAATAACAAATATATCATTCTAAAACGTTGAGGCTGAATTTTCAGATGTTTAACATACATTTTTGGAGGGCTGAATTCAAAACATTCGAAAATTTCAACAAAAAGAGCGCCACCTACCTTTCTTTCTAGAAATGAGGCTATGTAACCAAAATTTTTTGGATGCTGAAGGTATTTCTCTTTGAACGTTTCTTTTTCTGGGAGAGTCCAAACATTTAGATTTTGGCGTTCTTTGTATTCTGCCATTGAGTCTTCAATAAGACCATTATTGTTCATGAAGCGATACCGCCTCTGTCTGGAATCCAGCAACACAGGCGGAATAACAGCATAGCTTCTGATTTTCTTGTCTTCTTCCTGAAATGAATCACATGTGGCAGTGAGTCATGGATAATCACATGTGGTGAGTCATGGATAATCACATGTGGGGAGTCATGGATAATCACATGTGGGGAGTCATGCATAATCACATGTGGGAGTTATGGATATATTTTATACATCAAATATATAAATAGGAGTAGGATTTTGAGGGAATAAATTTTTTGTATTTTTTACATCGATTAGCAACTGTATATGACAGTCACTTTTATTGAACAGTATTTTACATCGAACAATCTTCAGATATTACATTCTCATTTAGATCAACATTTAGCACAATGATATTAACATCGCAATTCATAAGTTATGTTAAAAGTACAAATCATTTCTATTTTATTATATTTTGTATATATTTCATATTCCTCTTGTTAACATTTATTGCCGCAAAAGATCATTCCATGCGCCACATTACCTAATATGGTAATAACGAGCAAAAAAGTAAACAAAGCAAAAACGTGTGGATGATGTTATTTCAATATTTTGTTTTTTCATTCCATGCGCCACATTACCTGATATGGTAATAACAAGCAAAAAGTAATCAAAGCAAAAACGTGTGGATGATGTTATTTCAATATTTTGTTTTTTCATTCCATGCGCCACATTACCTGATATGGTAATAACAAGCAAAAAGTAATCAAAGCAAAAACGTGTGGATGATGTTATTTCAATATTTTGTTTTTTCATTCCATCCGCCACATTACCTAATATGGTAATAACAAGCAAAAAAGTAAACAAAGCAAAAACGTGTGGATGATGTTATTTCAATATTTTGTTTTTTCTTTATCATCAAGAATATCTGATTATTTCTGAGACTAGAAAAAATGAAAACAACTGGCAAAACAAAATTCCTGTGGAGCCTCTACGCCCACAAAGACACCCGTCAGCATGATATGACTACAATATATTTTGTGTTTTCATCAACCCATTTCAAAAAAGTTCGATAAAAATTATTTGAAATGAAATATTTCCCGAGACTCATATGGAAGACAGATTTTCTCTCGTGGGCTGTTCTTCACATCAGTCCCATTGGTTTGTGGTTTGTACTACATGTGAAGGTCGTTCAATAAATTCACGGAAAAATGCTCTCATTTCAAAGATTCTTGATATTTTCCCATAACATTTTCACACAATGTCCAAAAAATTCTGATTGATTCTTAAAATATCAGCATCTCTAATTTGATTGGTTAAAAATAAGGGTTACTATGGTAATTTGACTTTTGGGTAGGCGGGGCACTTTTTAAGTCACACGATTTACCATTTTAGAAATCTATCAATATGTGCAAATGAAGGGTCCCTATTTTTTATTTGTTCTTATTTAAATTACAAATGTTCTGAGGGAAAATTGATGTTCATTGTTATCACAAACATTTCTGAAATCGTGCCCAGCACTGTTTTTACAGTGCTGCCCAGAACTGTTTTATAAACAGCGCTGTACAGCCCATTCTGAGGTTGGCAGTGTCCTTAACTGCACCTTCAGGTTCAGAGCCAGCCAGAGTGTGATCTGAGCCTATGTGATAATTGTGATAATAATACCATTCCATTTTTATGCATCATGATTTTTTAAGATTTATTAAAATTTCTGATGCCAATGACATAAATGAAAAAACAGCAAATACAAAAATTATTTGTAATGAATTATTTGCCTGAACTCATATAAGGACACTTCAATATTGCATAATTTCATTTTTTAAATGGGATCATTTATCTTTCCCATTATTTTCCGTATATCTATTCCGTATGCAACTCAAATTCTCTATTTTGATAGGTTGTTATTTTAATTCAATATTCTAATTGGACACCAGTTCCTTAATTCTGACTATTTTGATTGGCTGGAATTTCAAACCAGCTACGTGGAGGGCCCATTAGTTCTTTAAATTTGATTGGTTACCATTTCAAGCCCTCTATTCCGATTGGATAACCTCTATGTTCCTCAATTCTGATTGGTTGACATACCTCTTGTTCGTGAAGACCTTCAATAATCTGCTCCATCTCAACGTCACTACGAGCAATAGGACCTAAGTTGCTATTTCCACGTGTTGCCGTATTCCTAGACAAAAATTGACCACATAAACAAATTCTTTCGTTATATACATGTACATAGAAGAACCAACAGAATGGTCAAATAATAATATTGTGAACAGGTATGAATTGAAATGTAGATGATTTTATAGAGGTATTATCTCTCATGAATGGCTTGAAAGTGGTTAGACCAAGAAAAATAGCTTGCTACAATGTACATGCATGTTATTTTATTACTTTGTAACCATGTTGAAGGAGGCATTTTACTCCACTGAAATCAAATTCTGCTGGATTACCAATAAACAACATTCTAGAATAAAATATTTAATTCAATGAATAAACCTAGTGATAAATTAGTTTCAATTTCCAATATCTTGAGAACTGTTTGTCCAATCATCATCTTGTTTTCAACAATCAACTCATTCGACCAAAAGTGAATAATTAATTCTACTAACCTTGTGAACCTATCTTTATCCTCTCTTGATTTTTTAATCTCAGGGAAAATACGTTCATAAAATTCCCGAGTCTTTTGATCTTTTGCACGCTTTTTGGCATTGTTCTCAATTCGTTCTATTTTCTTCAGCCATACTTGCATGAGTTGGTCATATCGCTCGGTGAGATAGCGTTCCTGAAAAACAAGTGATACTGTAATAAAAATCGCACTTTGACGAGCGAAATGGCTGAAATGAAATGAATTTCTACGTAAACTCGAATTTTAAAAAGAAGTTCTTTGTTGTAAATAAAAGAATGAAATTACTTTAATTAATTACAATATTGAAAATAACTTGATTTGAAATAAATGAATGAATAAAAACCTTACCTGGAATTTTAAAAAGAAGCTGTTGATATAAGAAGTTCTTTGTTGTAAGTGACATTAAGTAAAATTGGCGGGTAATAATTATAATTTTGGGTCATGTGACAACAGGTAAGGTTTCTATTGGTTGAAGTTAATTATGTTGACCAATTAAATTACAGCATTTTAGATACCAACAATTGGTCTCAAAAATACGACACATTTTAGCAAAAATTGGAATGGAATTCTAATTGAAGATATTTACCCGAATCTTTCTGGCCTGATGTCGTTTTTTGAAGTGGAGCATCAGCCTCTTTTTGAAGATCATGTGCCTGAAGAAATAAAAACAAAAAATGAACATTTATAATAACTTTATTATTATTTCCATGCAAGAAGTACCCAGTGTGTTGTCCATGTATTGACACACTGGTGTATGGTTTTATGTCTACGATAAGACTAAGTGATAGAGAAAATGTTTGATATCTGTATATACAGGGTGTTAAAAAAGTCTCTTTACAAATACAATTTAAATTTGTATTGAAATTGTAGAGACTTTGCGGACACCCTGTATGTTAAAATTCAGAAGGATGCATCTTAGTCTTCATCCAATACCCTATAGTGCCATTAAGCCAGTTGACACCTATCTTCTTGACAAATTTACCTTATGAAATTAACTGAATATTTTATAAAATGTGAATTATTGGACGTTCTTACTTGCGCTTATTCTCGTGATACACTGCAGTGTCAGAGGGCTGGTTATAAAGAGGCTGGAAAGTTAACTGAAAGTAGATAACAAATATGATTTTCATAATAAATAAATAAAATAAATACATAAACATGTATAAGTGTATAAAAAATAGTAGCCGGACAAGGAGTTACCTTTTAGAACAGGGGTCACCTTTTTTTCATAACTGAATATTTATTTAGCAGATTTAAAAACTAGATTTGACCTGACCCCAAAGTACAGGGTGACGATTTCATCAACTTTTTTGAACAAATTGCAGGAAATCATGCCTAGATAGAAAACATGGTTAATCTGAATCTCAATCATTGATGCAACATTAAAATACAAATGTTTCTGACAAATGAATTCAAGAAGATCCCTAATTGAAAAGATTATTCTAAATCTTATTTTGTGAGATGTATTGTTTTAGGTCACCCTGTATTTATACATTTTTGCCGCAATCCAACTTACTCCTGTAGCTCCTAACGTATCATTTGGGGCAGCAAGTTTAGAAAATACTGCATGCGCCTTCTCAGCTTTTTTACGATTCTCCGCATAAATGATTTGTGCGACACTTTGATTTTTATTCTCTACAACGGGCTCTTCTGATTGGTTCTCTTCATCTGGCTTGTTCGCCTGCTCTTCTAATTGTTGCTGAAATCGAACAGAAAATTCCTGCCAGACAATTCTTGTGTTGACTTATGTACCATTCAAGGAACAATTTTCAAATGATTCAAATTAGACTTGGTAGATATCTTTAAATATGGTATGTAATTTTCCCTGCTTTTTGTATTATTTATGACACGTATAAGCATTCTTAATTTAATAGAAAGTTCATCCGCAGACACCTTCATAAGGAAGTAGATTTCGAGTAGTGGCTTATTTTGTTTTTGTGCTTATAAGGGACCTGTTTTTTCGCCCCTCAAGAAGATGGATAAAGATAATTGCATATATGCACTCATTTTTATCATTTTTAAATTAATGCATTTTCATCTTCATAAAAATCTCAAACATTTTGGTTCAGAATTTCAAAATTAACTGTTTAAAGGCCCCATGTAAAGTTTAAACCACTTTGGCTTATATTGTAGTCTTACCCAATGTTATCAAAGTGTGATATGTGAAACTTTTTTTTTTAATTTCAAAAAGTGGTTTTTGATAGACTTTTTGTTCCAAAATTTGTGAATTTATTTAAAACCAACTTTTAGCGGTCACTCATATCTTCTAATTAGCCACAATTCATACCAATGCATAGCATTCATCCTCCCATGTTTTTTGCTGAAAAAATTAAGAAAATCAGTTGATAAACGAGCGAGAATTGAACTTATCAGTGCATGAAAATGGTTCTGAGAAAAATGCATTTCAAAATTTTAGTTCTCATAGAAACCAATGGTACAATGATAACTAAAACATAATTTATTCTTCCTTTTAACCTGGTTAGACAATCAACATTGTTTTTTTATGAAAATCTAGCATATTTAGAAAAGATTGACATCGAAAAAGAAAATTCAATTTTTTTCAAAAAGTTTTTTGTTACCTTAGTGACATCACTAATGTTTCAAATATTATTGATAAGCTAAAACATTGAAGTGGCCCATTAAATATGACATTTTATTATTGAAATAGTGTGTCTTTTGTTCAATCTTTGCATTGGTGTTAAAAAGATAATCTTTTTTGAAATGCATTAAGAAATATTTGATGATTAAGAAATTTCAACTTTTTTTGAAAAATGGCGGGAAATTTGAATATTTGAGAAATAAAATGCTCACAACTTTTTTTTCAAAATTTTTTTTTGTTCAAAAATCTCTAAAATCACTTTTTAAGTCCTGACAAATCGTAAATGAATGATAAAAAAATATTTTCAAACTTTAGACGGGGACTTTAATAATTTTTGACTCTTACTTGTTTTTTCTTAAAGTTTGCTATACTTGTCTCGGATTTGCCAATTTCTCTGTCAATTCTGCTGATGGAGTTAATAAGTTCTTCCTTGGAGGCCTTCATTGCAGCAATCTCAATCTTCTGATCATCCGGTGTGGGGGAGATTGCCTCAACTTGAGGGGTATAGCTGGGTTCTTGTGAAAACGGGTGCTGGAAGAATAAAAAGAAATACTTTTTAAGACTTCATACTCAGTAATTTTTGCATGTATTTGTATTGTATTTTGGTTCCCACCATATTTTGGTGAGCAATACCTCATTGGTGTATTTTCATAGTTTACACTCAAAACAGAGCCCTATGTTCTATGGGGTGTACCAATACACAGAGGGCCACAGCTTTTTATACGAGTTGTGCACCACTCGGTCAAACACCCAGAATTATATAATGCACATAAATATGTCTGAACAGGGAATTGAACCCATGGCCAAGTTATCGTGGTAACCTTGGCTCTGCCAATGAGCCATAGCTGGAAATCATGGGAGACAGACAAAAGAATCCCTCTTTGAACTGAGATAAATGGAAAATTTGTGTTTTCTAAAAATCTACATTATTTTGCGAATAAGTCACATAAGTTAAACTACTTTTGCAAAGATTTGTCTCCAAAAGAAAACCAAGTATAGATTAGTCCTCAGATGTGATTGACCCCTGATTGACCATGACCCCTTCTCTTTAGGTCAATGAGACAGTTGAATCAAGAGATCAGCCTTTTCCTCCTCTAGAGCCTAAATCAGATGTAACTGACTGACTGTGGCCCCTTCTCTTTAAGTCATCAGAAATGAATGTTAAATGATGCATCACAAATACTAATCACAAGCACATTGCATGCGTATGAGGTCATGGAAAGACAATGTTAACGAGGTCATGTATTGTCTCACCAACTTTTTCACTATTCAATGTGCATGCATTACATACCTTTACAATTAAGTTATTATGAAATGCGTAATCCAAATAAGACCTTCTAATCTAATGTTTGTCTGTTTCTTGCAAGTTAAGCTGAATTTGGCTGCGGAAGCAAAATTAAAATGAGTTCCCTGTAGTTTTGTGATACAAATTCTTCTTAACCATTTTACTTTCAATGGAGCCTACATTTTCTGTGTTGGAATTCACATAGGATTTTGCTGGAGAAAGCCATTATTCGGGTATAATGATGAAAAATTTACTAACAGCTGATTCTGTTTCACCATTATGCCATACATAAGTGCCTGCTCGATAGAAACAAGTATGTATTTCAATAGGGATATCTCTAATGAAGATTAGGTATGTCTGGAAGTTACTTTTCTCAGCTAAATGTATGACCATTTTCCCAAACAGGTAGATATATAGCTTGCAAACAATTAAATTGTTATTGCGTTTTGATCAACATAAATGTAAAAGTGCATTTTCCACCAATCAACATTTTCCATTAGTATACCTCTGTGTAAAATCAAGTTTCAATTCCAAGATCACAATTATTATGTAGACAGTCTTGCATTAAGCCTCTAGTCTGTACCAGCCTGGGGGCCGCCCCCCCCTTTGGGTGGGCCCAGAAAAAAAAATTGGGCCTAAAGGCCCCAAAAAGTGGGCATTTTTGTTCATTACTGGGCCTTTTAAGGCCTTATTTTTTATTTCACGCCAAATTTTGAAGAAAATGGGCCTCAAAAATTTGGGTTTTAAAGGCCCAAAATCTTTTTTCACGCTCTTTTTTCTCTGATCTGAAATTTGGGCTCCCCTCTTATTGGTTCCCAGATCCGCCCCTGATCCCCATCTGTTCTCTTTCCTGAGGATGGTGGGGAGGTTGTTGGAAACAGCAATGTGAATATTATTTCTTGAGTAAGTTTGTTGTTATGTTGAATAGTCAAGTGTTGGTCAAGAAAACAACATTTGGAAAAATGTAATGATCTTCTATCATAATGATATGCTGCTCCCTTAAAATGTTTTAACCTTACTCCTAAGGGTTGTTACATTACAGTTAAACATCTCTATCAAACAGATTTTACATTTTTTACATGTTTTCTGATAAAATTTTGATTGGAGAAATTGTTTAATGACATCTAGTTTAAAAATTTACAACTCAACAGTGATGACCTAGTAAAAATTGGGTGTATTCCTCAGAGAATCACAAAAAGTTAAGAAAATGTATTAACAAAATGAATGGTAAAAATTGATGAATATATGTATTCATGAAACCATGGGCTTTCAATTAGTTGAAAGCCCATGATGAAACCATATATTCATGAAACCAAATATGTGTTATGTATGTTTTTTTGAACTGAGAAAAAGTACATTGTGTTTCTAGTAGGGCTTTAAATGTCAAGATGACCCCCAAAGTTCATCAGAATAAGTTATGCCTCAGGATTTAACATTATCCAGAATTATCAATTATCTATTGCCAGGCATCTTTAGAATTTTTGACAATAGGTAATGTGAATGGAAACAACAGGCACAATTATTGGATAATATAATTGAACACGAAAACAGTTTTAAAATTCATCAAACCAACAATACAACAACAGGTAAAAATGTTCACTTAATATTTTTTTTATTAATTTTTTTCAATTACCTAAACCCAAAACAAACAAATACCAGAATATAGGATAAGTTACAAAATTAACCAAAAAACAATAAAAATAGCATTAAAACAAAAAGATCTTCACATATTACCAAATTAACACTTTTCACTTCTTTATAATTTAAAGTTTTTAAAAAATGTTCTAAAAAGGAAATCAGAAATTTTCCAATGTTCACAATTTCTCTTGAGATAGTTGCAATGAAAACTGACTGGAATATGCCATGAGTTTTTTTTCAATTCTAACATAAGATTGTTATCAATATGGAGAACTAAATTGAACACATGTTTCTCTTAAACGAGTCTTCAAAAAATTCTGAAATTTCACACACCGTCAATTTAATGATCATTTTTTGAATGGTAACAATTTAATTAGAAGTTTTTTCCCTTCTTATTCCTTTCAAATGAAAGAATAATTGCTGTTAAAACATAGAAAATGTTGTAGAAAGAATAAAATAATAAATAAAAATGCGATGGACTATGTGGGCGTCCTCCAAGGGATTATTTCTAATAAAACAAAAAAACAAGACAGCTGTCCTCAAATACTTAAGTATATGGTTAGTGATAACCAAACCTTAAAATAACTACAATTTTCTTTTGTCTTATAAAAAAAATAAAATAAAAATAACTACAACTTGTGACTGAACTACCTTAAGGCAACTTTGTCCTGCATTTGAATTAAACTAACTTGTCCTTAGGGTAGTTATGACCTGTGATTCAACTCCACGCCTATATTAAGATATATGTCATTAAAAACAACTACAAAATATTAACAGACCAATCTACAAATAGCTACTTCCGGTCATATATAACAGTGCCAAAATTGGAATTGAAAGTTAACGTAGTCTATTGAACTGGAACGCCTTTCAGAATACAAACAAAAACAAAATTTAAATTAAATTGAATCAACAAACATGTCATGCCGTCTTCAAATTGTTTTGTCTTCCATTATGGTCGATGTTTTTTTTACATCGAGTGAGAGTCTGAAAAAAACTTTCACACACTAAAGAACAAAACTTTCTACATGTGTAGTACATTGATGCAATATTGAGGAAAATATAATGGGATGAAGATTCCCAGGTTTTGAGCACTCTCTGATGAGAAATTCTTTCAAAATCATGCAGTTTTTTACCATTTTGATCACTTTACAAGTGACTTTGAGAAATATTGCCAAATTTAAAGCCCCTGGTTCTTTAAGCTACAGGCCCATTTCCGAACATTATGAGAAATCAAAATTACGAGACTGGCAATGGCATTTAAGAGACTCAAGTCAACCATTTAGACCAATATGGTTGGTTGGTCAACTCTTTAAAGCCCAAGCTCAGATGGCACAGCTCCAACATGATGTTATACCATCCCAAAAAATCACGAACTTAGTATGCCTCATTATTGATGCCTTCACTGTAATACTAACACATATTTCACTCTGTTATCAATAATAGACAGTTTATCTAAATGGTCTTCAACTAAATATAATGAACTATTCATTGTATTTTAATTCTATTGACAACAAAATTATACAATGACACCAAAAACATGTACAACTAATGTTTCCTCAATTTGTGATGATTTTCATCCAACAACAAGTAACAATCAGTTCTAGATTTTTCATACAGAGAAGCAGCCTTGATGATTTCAAATTCTTAAATGTATGTGAATTTTTTTTATTACTGTCTTATGTATATTGTTTATGCACTTTTTCATGGAGTTTGAGCCTAATTTACCTCCTGCTGGGGTAGCATGTAGAAAACACAAAGTAAAAACAACTTAAGGATATTTTGGACAAATATTTTGGGCTTTAAATTTCCCAACATCTACAAGTAAAGGTTCAAAATGATCTTATCACGACACATCCCCTCATTCATTCTTTCGTTATCGCAATAATTAGTTCAACCTGTTGACCCTAACACGCGCACCCTAATTGCGCGCATGTGTATTACATAACATCTTAGGGCAAGAATTTGATGGATTTTCTCATGGTAATTATCACTCAATTAGTATGTAGTTCTAGTATGATTAATTGAAAGTAATGATGTCATTTGGATAGGTGCATTATTTAATAACCAACTTATAATATTGCTTTGTAACCATGGTTCAACTAGAAAACAGCAACTTTACAGAGTAGCAAATCACACTGAAAAAAATGTTGATAAAAAGTGGCCATCTTGATAGTTTCTTCTTGAAAATAGCTCTAAGTATCAGCATATAACATTTGAACCAAAACCATCCACTGATATTTGAGTTATCAAAGATTAAGTTTTTTATGGAAAATGGGGGCCATTTTAAGATTCAGCTGTCATCTTGAAAATTTCTTCCTAAGGAGAATCTATGTTTTATTATGAAAAATGACAGACATTTTGAATTTTCAGTGGCCATTTTAAAAATACCTTTTTGGCAGAGCTGTTTTTCCTTAGCCTGCCATTAACCTGGCAATATCCCTAATATTTCACAGAACATCCTTTGATCAAAATATATACTCACTGTGCCTCTTTTAGCCTCATCTGCAGCAAGCCTCATGGCTGGTATAGCCTCACGTGCCCCTGTCTCAACCATACGTCGTTTGTATGGGAAATGATGCTGGGCATCCTGCTTGGGTGGGATGGTCGCCTGACCCCCCTCCCTCTCATAGCGGTTATAGGAGTACTGCTCTGCTGCACTCCTGTAATAATATATACACAGGGTAATGAACTTATTTATAACAGAATTACATCCTGCTTGGGTGGGATGGTCGCCTGACCCCCCTCCCTCTCATAGCGGTTATAGGAATACTGCTCTGCTGCACTCCTGTAATGTATTGTATTGTATTGTATTGTATATTTTATGCCTAATATTCTGTGTGACTGCATATTCATCATTTATCATTATTTGCTTTATTGCATGTCTTGCCAATGTCATCATTGTAAGTATAATAGGGAGCAATAAGAATATTTGACTTGAACTAAATATAACAAGACGCTTTTTTCTCATTTTGCATGCTACAAATAAAACTATTTACATCTCAATGAAACATACAAAATGGGAAAAATCAATATGTCACTTTTTCTAAATTCATCCCTAGACTGAGGGTTTAAAGATAGCTGATCAATTTGAATTTAAGATTTTTATACCAAGACACATCCCTGAAAATTCACCCCTATCATAAATGAGCAAAAACAAGAAAAATGAGATACTTACACCCACACACCAAGCCAATAACGACATCATGAAATCCAATCTCAGGAAAAATAAAATATGACGTCAATATTCTTAATTGTTATTATACAAGACCTTACCTAACTCACAAGGCTGTTAACCTACCATTACATGTGTACATATAGGAGGTACCTTCCCTCTCTATTTAAATCTCATATTTTGAGTTTTATTTTAGTTTAATTAATACTCACCTCATATGCCCTGCTATATATAGGTATCTCTGCTATATACAGGGTGTCCAAAAAAACAGGACTGTAAGAAAGTTGAATAATTCGGTCAATTTTACATATTTTGCCTTGAAATTTAAGAATTATTTAGTTCATTCAATGTGAATTTTGTTCTGAAAGTTTCATGATAATCGGTCCATTGTGTCAAAAACTACAGTACTTTACAAAACATGCTCAAAGTGGGCACTTCTCATCTCTATGCACAAACGAATCCTGCGAAGAAAGTTGTTAATGACCCTGACCTATACACATCTATGTGGATTGTACATATTGGGGTAGTTATTGCCCTCTTAAGATGGTTAGGGGCCTGTCTGTATACACATTGGGCTTGAGAAATCCCCAAAGATAAAAATTTGGGGGGATTTAGATCTGGTGAATGAGCTGCCCATATCAATTGCGTTCTGCAACTGATGAGCTGACCACCAAAGCATTGCCTAAACCATTTGGCGTGGTATTGGCTTGTTGAAACCACTGCTTATCTCCTTAGATGTCCCTTCTGGTGCTTAATGACCTCCAAAAAATTAGGGTGAGAACTTACTGGTCCTTGTTTATGGTGATAGCATGTCCCCAGTCACCCTCGAACAAAAAAGTACTGATGATTCCATGTTTCCTCATTGCCACCCAGGCAGTGCATTGTTCAGAATGCAATGGATGCTGTAACTCTTCATCAGGAAGATGTAAGCCCCAGTAGCAATTGTTCTTGAAACAAACTTGTCCATTCAGAAAGACATGTGTGCAGGAGGATCATCAACAACTTTGTTCGCAGGATTAAATTGTGCATAGAGATGAGAGCTGCACATTTGGGGCATGTTTTGTAAGGAGCTGTAGTTTTTGACTCAATTGGTAGATAATTGTCAAACTTTCACAACAAAATTCACTTTGAATGAACTAAATAATTCTGAAATTTCAAGGCAAAATATGCAGAATTGACCAAGTTATTCAACTTTCTTACGGTCCTGCTTTTTTGGACACCCTGTATGTATTGAACTCTTCACCTAGCAGTGTAGGACTGTAGGTGTATGTCAAGAGGTTCCTGTTCTTTCTATTACTATTATGAGTTGAGTTAACTTACAGGACCTCTCATATCATGATTTTTAATTTAATCGTGGCATGGTACTGTTCTCCTAGCAATGTAGGTCTTCGTCTAGGAGGTTCCAGCTCTTTTATAAATATTATGAGTTGACTTACCTCTCACGCTCTGCTACACGTGTGGCATGGTACTGTTCTCCTAGCAATGTAGGTCTACGTCTAGGAGGTTCCTGCTCTTTTTATAAATATTATGAATTGATTTATCTCTCACGCTCTGCTACATGTGTGGCATGGTACTGTTCTCCTAGCAATGTAGGTCTTCGTCTAGGAGGTTCCTGCTCTTTTATGAATATTATGAGTTGACTTACCTCTCACGCTCTGCTACATGTGTGGCATGGTACTGTTCACCTAGCAATGTAGGTCTACATCTAGGAGGTTCCTGCTCTTTTATAAATATTATGAGTTGACTTACCTCTCACGCTCTGCTACACGTGTGGCATGGTACTGTTCTCCTAGCAATGTAGGTCTACGTCTAGGAGGTTCTTGCTCTTTTATAAATATTATGAATTGACTTGCCTCTCACGCTCTGCTACACATGTGGCATGGTACTGTTCTCGTAGCAATGTAGGTCTACGTCTAAGAGGTTCCTGCTCTTTGTATAAATATTATGAGTTGACTTACCTCTCACGTTCAGCTACACGTGTGGCATGGTACTGTTCACCTAGCAATGTAGGTCTACGTCTAGGAGGTTCCTGCTCTTTTTATAAATATTATGAATTGATTTACCTCTCACGCTCGACTACACGTGTGGCATGGTACTGTTCTAGCAATGTAGGTCTACATCTAGGAGGTTCTTGCTCTTTTATGAATATTATGAATTGACTTACCTCTCACGCTTAGCTACACGTGTGGCATGGTACTGTTCACCTAGCAATGTAGGTCTACGTCTAGGAGGTTCTTGCTCTTTTATAAATATTATGAGTTGACTTACCTCTCACGCTCTGCTACACGTGTGGCATGGTACTGTTCTCCTAGCAATGTAGGTCTATGTCTAGGAGGTTCTTGCTCTTTTATAAATATTATGAATTGACTTACCTCTCACGCTCGGCTACACGTGTGGCATGGTACTGTTCACCTAGTAATGTAGGTCTACATCCTAGGAGGTTCTTGCTCTTTTTATGAATAATATGAATTGACTTACCTCTCACGCTCGGCTACACGTGTGGCATGGTACTGTTCACCTAGTAATGTAGGTCTACATCCTAGGAGGTTCTTGCTCTTTTTATGAATAATATGAATTGACTTACCTCTCACGCTCAGCTACACGTGTGGCATGGTACTGTTCACCAAGCAATGTAGGTCTACATCTAGGAGGTTCTTGCTCTTTTATAAATATTATGAATTGATTTACCTCTCACGCTCGGCTACACGTGTGGCATGGTACTGTTCACCTAGCAATGTAGGTCTACGTCTAGGAGGTTCTTGCTCTTTTTATAAATATTATGAGCTGACTTACCTCTCAGGCTCGACTACACGTGTGGCATGGTAGTTTTCTCCTAACAATGTAGGTCTACATCTAGGAGGTTCTTGCTCTTTTATAAATATCATGAATTGACTTACCTCTCACGCTCGGCTAGTCGTGTGGCATGGTACTGTTCTCCTAGCAATGTAGGTCTACGTCTAGGAGGTTCTTGCTCTTTTTATGAATATTATGAGCTGTCTTACCTCTCACGCTCAGCTACACGTGTGGCATGGTACTGTTCACCTAGCAATGTAGGTCCACGTCTAGGAGGTTCTTGCTCTTTTATAAATATTATGAATTGACTTACCTCTCACGCTCAGCTACACGTGTGGCATGGTACTGTTCACCTAGCAATGTAGGTCCACGTCTAGGAGGTTCTTGCTCTTTTATGAATATTATGAGCTGACTTACCTCTCACGCTCGACTACACGTGTGGCATGGTAGTTTCTCCTAACAATGTAGGTCTACATCTAGGAGGTTCTTGCTCTTTTATAAATATTATGAATTGACTTACCTCTCACGCTCGGCTAGTCGTGTGGCATGGTACTGTTCTCCTAGCAATGTAGGTCTACGTCTAGGAGGTTCTTGCTCTTTTTATGAATATTATAAGCCATCTTACCTCTCACGCTCAGCTACACGTGTGGCATGGTACTGTTCACCTAGCAATGTAGGTCCACGTCTAGGAGGTTCTTGCTCTTTTATGAATATTATGAGTTGACTTACCTCTCACGCTCGGCTACACGTGTGGCATGGTACTGTTCTCCTAGCAATGTAGGTCTACGTCCAGGAGGTTCTTGCTCTTTTATGAATATTATGAGCTGACTTACCTCTCACACTCAGCTACACGTGTGGCATGGTACTGTTCTCCTAGCAATGTAGGTCCACGTCTAGGAGGTTCTTGCTCTTTTATGAATATTATGAGTTGACTTACCTCTCACGCTCGGCTACACGTGTGGCATGGTACTGTTCACCTAGCAATGTAGGTCCACGTCTAGGAGGTTCTTGCTCTTTTATGAATATTATGAGCTGACTTACCTCTCACGCTCAGCTACATGTATTGCATGGTACTGTTCACCTAGCAATGTAGGTCTACATCTAGGAGGTTCTTGCTCTTTTTATGAATATTATGAGTTGACTTACCTCTCACGCTCAGCTACACGTGTGGCATGGTACTGTTCTCCTAGCAATGTAGGTACGATTAGGAGGTTCCTGCTCTTTTTATAAATACTATACATTGACTTACCTCTCACGCTCAGCTACACGTGTGGCATGGTACTGTTCACCTAGCAATGTAGGTCTACGTCTAGGAGGTTCTTGCTCTCTCTGCTGCTGGAATGTCTCTCTGTAGTCTGCAGCAGTTGATCTCTCTCCCTAAATAGGACAAAATATTATATCATATATCTTAAACAATGAAACCTGTATATCAAAACTGTTTGGAATATTGGAAACTTGATGAAAATCTATTGAATAAGACAGCTTCTTTCTATACAAAACTCAGAATCTGATCAGTATCACAGACGATTCCTTTCTATTGAAAAAGACAGATTCTTTCTATACAAAACTCAGAATCTGATCAGTATCACAGACGATTCCTTTAGCATACCTGATAAACATGTTCCGGGCCAGGAGCTGTGTAGACCCTCGGTTGGTATGGTCCCCCTGGTGCTGCTATGGGGACCTGATATCTCTCTGTGGGGTAAGGGTATCCCCCAGGACGTGACATAGTTGACCCAGGACTTTGGGTCCGAGGACGCTTGTATGGTGAGGACACTTCATGACCTGGCCCTGTTGGACCCCTGTTAATAAATCATTAAAATTATTATTTGGTTAATATTTCACTCAGACATATTCATAAACATCATCAGGGAGTACCACAACAACAAAAAAAAAACAGGAAAAAAAACATTTGTAAAATTTGTTGAAAAAAACATTAACAAATTACATGTATATGTTGAAATGCTTAGAATGCACCATATTCAGTGTCAATTTTAAAAATTTTCAGAGGGTGAGACTTACCCCCTTTTTGGGGCTTGCTTCACTCGCATCGCAGTGATGCAAACCCCAAAAATTTGTACCCCCCTTGACATTTGCTGGCTACGTCCCTGACTAGAGTAGACATTAATTCTATTTTGAAAAAGTTAATTTATATACAAACTGAAAAGTCAAAGATTGAAGCGTTTCTGCTCAAAGGTAGCATTTACATTTACAAAGGATAAAGAAAAAGATTTGAAAATAACTTATTAAATACAACTATTATTTTAAAGTACACCTCAAAAGTATGTTTCTTGTTACAAATTTGTTAAACATTGATGGGAGCATCTAAACACTTGGTTTATATTGACACATGGATAGCTGGAGGTTCTACTACAGGCTGATTACTAGTATATCACGTATAGAGTAAAATTCCTATTCATTTCTTTGTGCCTTCTGCACATTGTCATTGATCTATTTGCAAAAATAAGGCATACTGTTATTATTTGACTCACTGCCAAATATGGATAAAGGTATTGAAAATCACGTTTCTTCTTAAATTACTTTATTGTGTTGAAAGCATCAAGACTAAGCAAGGACATCATGGATCTTCAACATCACTGACATGGGAACAAGAGTTCATCCCCCTCCCACTCGCAAAGTAATACTTAAAAAACACAGACACAGGAATAAGAGTTTATTCCCCTCCTACTCACTCTGTATAACTTAAAAACACAGACACGGGAACAAGAGTTCATCCTCCTCCCACTCACTATGTATTACCTAGAAAAAAGACAGGCTCCTATCTCGGGACATCTCAGCCTCTACTCTAATTGCTCATATCTCCGTCACTGAGTTGTGTCATACATTATCTTTTGTCCCGATGCAAGGTTAAGACATTAAATTGTATTTATGGTAACTCACCAATTCTTAAATCAGCATAATTGTGTGAATAACATTGGAAATGGGGACGAAAAAACAATCACTTTTGCATTCACGACATTTCGATGTCCTTTTACAGCGACCTATATAATATCCACAACGAGTGTCTCATTATTTTAAGAATTGTATTTTTATAATCACAAATTACAAATCTCAATTCTAGTATTTAGATATATCTGTGGTGATGATATGAACTTATTATAGTAGTCTCGGTATATTTCTCATAGTATATCGTATACTATTAGCTTTTTTTGATTTCTAAAAAAATCGTCATGATTTTCCTACCAAAATTCACGTCCAAGAAATGATCATTGAGTAATCCGGCCTTTAAAAATCAAAACTTTGTAGGTTTGTAATTCAAAAAATTGAAAAAAACAATAAATAAGTGTGAAAATGTTAAATTAAATGTGTAATTTAATCAAATAATATTAATTATATCTGCTGTGATTTGATTGGTCAACTGCAGAGACATCTTTCAAACAAGATGGCGATTGGATGTCATTGTCGCGACCGTGGGTCGCTCGAAACAAACCTTAGAGATTTACGGTTACAGTATTACAACCAGATTGTTTCCTCAATATTTATATACATAATCTGAGAATTTTAGAGAAGATATTGAGCTTTAAGAGAAGAGATTTGAATGTTTACGAGGTGAGCCTGTATTTTTTTACATTAGCTATACAGTGAATGAGGGGAGGTGGTGCCCGAGAGGGTGATTTCAATCTTCCTGGCCCTGCGTTCAACATAGCCAGCAAACAAGACAACACAGATTAATAATAAGACCTGCCATATTTAAATAGACCTAGAAGGTTGAAAGAGTGAGACACAATAATACAGTGGCCACTGGCAATCTCAAACTCGTCAAAGAATATTACATGTAGGGCGAAGGGGTGTAACATCGACACCATTTTGGGGTAACTTCGACATGTGGGGTAACTTCGACACCTTATTGTTTATTTGCTCTAATTTCCGATCTAGGGGGAAGCCATGTTTTTTTTCTCGCATGGATCGAGAGATCTCGCGAGATTTTAATTTTTCCAGAAATCAAACATGGCGGAAAACGGAAATTCTACTTCTAATACATAACTGTCGAAGTTACCCCGTCTATTATGTCGACATTACCCCACACGTCGACATTTCACCCCTTTGCCCTAGACATCTATTGTTGGTTGAGGTTCTGTCCCAAAACGTTTAGGTCATTGATCCCATTCCCAGTAAGGAAAGAAATAGAACACTGCTATATGATAGAATCGATATGACTGCAATGGAAATTTGGAGAAATCGTCAGACAAATCCTGGGCGAGGCCAAAGATGGGGAAATATGAAAAGCTAAATCTTCATGGAGTGGAAAAATAAAAAAAGATGAAAAAATAAAAATTGGGGAGAATATAAAAGGTAATTGCGTCATTTCGTTGGAGTGAATCGTTCTGAGTCTCGATTTAATAATGTCTTCATATATCCATAAGTACCTCCGCAAAATGATAAGATTGAGTATTCTCTAGATTAGCTGTAATTACCTGTCATTTGGAGGTCTATTGCTAGACATCTTGTTTCTGCATGATGACGTCACAACATGGCGCACCTGTCGACACTGAACGAAAAGCAAAAAAACATCAACTTTCACCGGGATAATACAAATGTTCTGAATCAGCTTGTGCGGTCAATGTGTTTCAGCCGTAACAGTCAATAAAGAAAATATCAAACAAACAACTCCATTTCTGACTCATCAAGATTTGTTTTTAATTAGTTCATGTTTTCAGCCCCAGCCTGAGTTAATGTGTTAATCAATGCATGGGCGTATATTTTCTGGATACCTGAAATATGTTCATGATCAATGTGCATTTCAGTTCTCTGTGGCCACCATGACTCGAATTGTTCTGTACAAGTAACATTTTCAATTGTTTAGTCACATGGTTGCTCCAGTTCAGTAGAAGTTCTGCTACTTCAGGTACATTTATTTCAATTTTCATGTGCAACCAGATTGATAGTCTTTCAATCATACATGCAATTTCAATTTTAAACATGAAATAAGATGGGGTAATTCAACCCCTAAAAAGAGAATCTTAGCGACCACAGGCAAATCGCAAATGATAATGAGTAAAATGACACAGATAAAAAATGACCCAGCCATTTGGTAAACCATCCTAAGTGAATGTTTCATTAAATGAGCTTGGGGGCTGTTTCTCGAAACTTATCGTTATATTAAGGAATCGTTAATTGCGAATCATAGATTCGTTTCTATGGACACCGCATCGTTTATGGAATAAAGAGACCCCAATTCGCACTCGTAAAATCAATCATGGTAAAAATCAAGACGTCATTGCGAATCGTAAATTTTCAAGAAACAGAAAAATCGTTATTAAATTGAATTAACGATTCGTTAATAACGAAACTTTCGAGAAATGGCCTCCAGGGCACAGGAAAGGGGGTTATCACAGATTTTTTTCAATAATTTTTATTTTTGGAGACAGATTTGAATTTAGCACTTAATCTCATGTACAGCACATGTACAATTTTAATTTTTATGATAAGACTGGTTTTCCTATGTTGAGGCTCAATTTCTAACACAATTCCAATAAAATACTTGGGAGCATTGCATGGTTACCGTAACTTTCGATGGGGATTTCTAGACACTTCATGCAACTTTATTCTCGTGTATTGTCATTTGTTCTCAGAAATCGTTGTCTTGCAACAAGTCTTTAAACCCTCCCTTTTTTACTTTATCATATTTAGCTGGGGTATGAATAGATGAGGGAGTCACAAGGGCTGAATCAAGACTATAAACATGTCTCCACTCTATCTCACTTTATAGGTGTGTTTTTACTGTATAACATCACACAAGTCACGTTGATCTTTTAATTTCTTTTATTTATTTTTCATTATAAAGCACACCTTCGAAATGGTAGTACATATTGCACATTTATATTCATTCTCAGTTTTTTAATTGAAATGGAGAAGATACATGGTTACATGTACTCGCATATGTACAATGTGATTATCTGATTATCAAAGTGTATTTAGAAAATTAAATGTTAGTCTACATTATTCATTCATGGATTAGACAGGACTAGTCAGTATTCCTCAAATGTCCCCACACATTGTCATGTGTCCTCACCATCATATGTCATCATCCTATGTCCTCATATGTCCTTATGTATCATCCTATGTCTAACATATGCTCATACATCATCTTGCATATACCAGTATTTCCTTTCGTTTATAAGTTCTGTCAAGTCACCCCTGTGTCTTTTATTGCAATCATGGTGCTGCCACCTATCACCTGAAATCAGAAATAACAATACTAAACGAAGTCCTTATTTTAGTTATACATTTTGATTTTCCCAATTTGGCAGTTGTGCATAATTTATGATCATGAATTAAAGTTTGGATTGTTATTGGTAAAAGTACTGTAATATTTGTTTTGGTTGTCATTATTTTAACATCATTTTCTATGTTACATATTTTCTGAATCGTTTTTGCATCAATATAATCCATTTTTACCTGTTTACAACTTTTAACCAATGAGACTCTTCTGGTTTCACTCTTGCTCTCTGATGAGAATGACTTTGATGAAGATTCATTCATTCGGGAAATTGCGATCCTTGTATTTGGAATGTGATGCCAGGATCTCCCTAAAGATGGCAGCACCTGTCCTGTATCGTTGTTGGCCCCAGTTGTATTATTTGTAATCTGTGAATAAGAGTTTAGGTTTTAGTTTGTATAAAATTAAATAAGAACTAGTATCAAATTTGAAATGTTTCATATGATCTGATTAAATACATATCCCCATGACAAAATGTTTTTATATTAGAATGGTTATTTTTGTAATGATTTGATTTTAATTGAACAAGGGGATTCATTCTACACACATGCCATCTTTATATATATCTGCACATTATTATTACGTTGGAATTTAGAATTTGGAAGAAGAATTAAAAAAGATTTATTAGCACACCTTTATTAGAAGAAACTATGAATTAGCATATTATTTGTAATATGACAAATGTGTTATTGAACTTATTCTTAATGCCAATTTTATTTTGTAGAACATTATTGATTTCTCAATTGGCAAGTGTGTTTTTAGTAAGATAGGCTACCTGAATGAGATAAATACTGCTTGTTAATAATACATTGTACATAAAGTGGCTATAGCAAATACATTGTACATAAAGTGGCTATAGCAAATACATTGTACATAAAGTGGCTATAGCAAATGCATTGTACATAAAGTGGCTATAGCAAATCCATTGTACATAAAGTGGCTATAGCAAATACATTGTACATAAAGTGGCTATAGCAAATCCATTGTACATAAAGTCGCTATAGCAAATGCATTGTACATAAAGTGGCTATAGCAAATCCATTGTACATAAAGTGGCTATAGCAAATCCATTGTACATAAAGTGGCTATAACAAATACATTGTACATAAAGTGGCTATAGCAAATGCATTGTACATAAAGTGGGTATAGCAAATCCATTGTACATAAAGTGGCTATAGCAAATCCATTGTACATAAAGTGGCTATAGCAAATCCATTGTACATAAAGTGGCTATAGCAAATACATTGTACATAAAGTGGCTATAGCAAATCCATTGTACATAAAGTGGCTATAGCAAATCCATTGTACATAAAGTGGCTATAGCAAATCCATTGTACATAAAGTGGCTATAGCAAATACATTGTACATAAAGTGGCTATAGCAAATACATTGAGGCTAAATATTCATTCTTTGAGATTTTTAAATTAAACCTGCACATCGCTCCAAAACGCGATATTTTGACATATATTGTTTTTACATTTTCAAGCTCTAAAATAAAGTTTCTGTAAATAAAAATTGTTTTTTTCTGTGTCGTATCAAAGAACAATCATTTAGTTAAAAAAGAAAAGAAACGTGCATGCAGGATTCGAACCCGGGCCGCCTGCGTGCTAAGCGAGAATTCTAACGCTGGGCTACCAATTCATTATGAATGATGAGTGTAATTAAACGCTACTTATTTTAAATGCTATAATTCGGAAGTGACGTCACGTTCTTAATTTAGAAACCTTCCAAAAATCATATTGTCGTCGACAATCGAAGCAATTCAATGAATAATCGTTGTAATGACACATTTATCATGAGTATTTGTACACAAGATTTGCCCCATTTGTTCATCATTCTATAATCTTTCATTAAGCTCAAAATGATAAAGTTCACCCCCGAAACAACCCAAGATTGCGTTTTGGAGCGATGTGCAGGTTTAAATTTTCAAGTAAATTCCCAGTGGGCCTTTAATAAAAAGGACTCACATACCAGAACAGCTGTAGAGCAGTCTGTAGCCAATGACTTCAAAATGCGACTCAAATGAATCATGTGACCATGGCTGTCTGTCTGGGCACCTCCTAATATGGGCAAAATCACTGCAGCTACGGAATCAACAATGATCAGCTTTAGGTTGCTGTGAAATGGTGCTGACTGGAAGCAGAAATTAGCATTCAATCATGGATTCTCTGTGAACTCTACAGAAATTTGTAATACAAATTCCAATAATGGTCAAATAAACATTTTCAGTTTTTGTGTTTTTCAAATGATTATTTATATGTGTAAATGGTTTTTAATGGGAGGAATGACTGTAATCCCATCTATGTTTTTAAATTCTGATCAATTTCTGTTGAATCATTGCCAGTTGAACAAAGTTTTTGAAAGGTGAACACATATAAGTGAATTGAGCTAAGAACTGATCTAGTATTTTAAAGATTTAGGACATATTATAGTTACAACCATAAACAATGAGTGATTCTGATGAACAATCTCAGGATGAAGGTGGTACAGTCATGAGATTTTGCACAAATTGCAAAAATCCAGTAAAAGGACATATTGGACCATGTGGTAAAAAATGTACCAATTCTATGGATAATAATACAGATGAAGATTCTCAGAAACTAGGTAGTTGTTCAACTGGTCAGACAACCATAGAAAATAAAGGAATAATATTGGCAATACAAGAACTGGGACGCCAGGTATCATGTGTAAACCAAATCATTACACAAGTAAAACAGGATAATGATACACTTACATCTACATACAAGGATTTATATATAACTGTACAATAACTGAAAACACAGCAGGCTAATATAGGACAAAGGTCACATATAAAACCAATGGAGCATCATCTACCTGGGCAGTCTAACACTGGGCAACCTACTCACAGTACAAGTCAACAGCAGCTTTCCACTCAAGCGCAACAATCCTCAGATACAATGCTATTGAATACTGGAGCTCAGTTCAATAGCAGCCCAGTTGGAGTTTCAAACAAGATCAGAAAAGCCATAGAAACAGGTGAATATGTGAACCTTGCAGTCGAAATGTTGAGGCATGCGCAGACCTCTATTTAGTGATATTTTCATTTCAAATATGGCGGCCAATCCGATGTCTGACGACCCTTACAAAGAATCTAGGCGGTTTGCATTTTTACCTCCTGTGAAATAACAAGTGGAATTTAGTAGTTGTTTTGTGTTTTATTATCATTCTGAATCGTAATTCTATGTGATGTGGTGTTGAAATGTCAGCAGAAATACATATCCATACGATGATCGAGTGAATCAGATAACAGATTTTTCGAAAACCCGTCTCGTGCTAAGAGTGTAAAAACTTGTATTAACATGCTCAAAAGTGCCAATGTGCACATCAATGTCAAGCTAAATCAATGTTGTGTCTAAAACAGGTACCCGATCTACACAAAACAGCTTGTCATTCACGTATACACGCTTAGCAAACACGGCGAAATGACCTGAATCTTGGAATTTCGTTCGAGAGCTAGTAATGTTTGCTCCGGTCTTCGTCATAAGTGTTCATCAGACTTCACGCATGCGCAGGAGAAAAACCATCAACCAATAAGGTTTATAAATCAATTTTGCGCATGCGCCTTACAACGGTAAAGAAATTCGTATTTATAAACGAACCAGTTTGAGATAACCCGATATCAGTCGGAGAAATCTGACGATCTACGAAACTCACTTCAAAAAATCAAATGCGGACTGACGGCGTATTCTACTATGTTTGGATCTAAGATCTTCAGTATAGATGAAGTCTTTTATGATCTTTCGAATGAGGTAAGTCTTTAGTTCGAAAGACAATCGTATCAACTTGAACAAAAGTTGAGTTTTGACGAAAAATTTCAACATGCGCAGAAGTCCCATTTTCGTTGTACCATATTGACTGCTTGTTGACCTGTTACCCAGCAATCTGTATAATCAGAATATAAACAAAAACACTGACCAGATTATAGTGAATGAAAGTGGAGAAATCAAAGTGAAGAAAGACAAGAAACAAAATACTATTGAAAACATAATGCAATGGATGCAAGCATGGAATATATACGAAATGGTAGTCATGGGAAAATACCCTTCAAAGTACATTGAGTTAAGTGCGTATAGGGCACATATACAGGAGTGTGATAGGAAATATACATGGACTGCGGTTTCTCTCTATGACAACAAATTCAGAATGAAACTAGGGGACATGAAATCATATGCATTTAGCAGCATTGATACATTTCTATATACAACAACACTAGATGCAGCTGCCACAAAAACATCAGGACGTTGTTTCCGCTGTGGCCGAAATGACCACCAGGTAGCAGCCTGTACTTTTCAAGCGACCAACACGATGGAAAAGACTGAGAATGAAAAAACGACTAAAGCAACGCAGGCTCGAAACATTGATGCAGAAACATGCTGGAAATATCAATTCTCAGAATGTAAATTTGGCGACAAATGCAGGAGAAAACACATTTGCAAGCAATGTGGATCAACATCCCCCTTTATCACTTGCGAATGCAATCCCCGTCGATCCAAAAAATCCGCCACTGATTCACCAGCTAAGGCCACTTAACGTTGACGCCCTCAAAGAGGGACTTAAATCGCATCCCAATCAAGATCTTGTTAAAAAATTAGTCTATGACGCAGAACATGGAGTACGAATAGGATATAATGGACCACGTTCTTCTAGAATACATCAGAATTGGAGATCAACAAAAATACACCAAACTGCAGTAGAAAAAAGTATCATAAAAGATCTTCTCAAAGGAAGAAAAGCTGGACCATTTTTATCAAAGCCATTTGAAAACTTTGTGGGGTCACCCATGGGCGCATTCTTAAAAAGGCGCTCGTCGAAATGTCGTGTTATTCATGATCTATCATGGCCCCCAGCAGGGTCGATCAATGACTTTATCTCAAAGGAGGAATATACGTGTCAATACATGGATATATGGGATGCGATTTCACATGTAAAATCTTGTGGCAGCAGATGCTTGATGGCAAAAGCTGACCTAGAAGATGCGTTTAAGCATATAATTGTACATAAAGATGATTGGGAACTGTTGGGTAGCACTTATGAAATAAGAAATGATGATGGGAATTATGTCACAGTGTATATGGTAGACCAAGTACTGCCATTTGGCTTAAGGAGTTCTCCAAAAATATTCTGTCAATATGCTGATGCCTTGGAGCACATTATGTTACAAAATGGTGTTACAGTTAGCGAGCACTACATGGATGATTACTTTACTTGTGGTCCCGCAGACACAAATGAGTGTCAGAATAACTTGGATATAATGATGGACACATGTAATAAGATACATTTCACTGTGAATCCGAGCAAAGTGACAATACCTAGCACCACTCTAGAATTTTTAGGAATGATAATTGATTCAGTGAAAATGGAAATCAGAATTTCTGATGAAAGACTAGCTGATATTCTATCATTGTTGAAGGAATGGCGTTATGCATCAAAAAGGACAAAGCGTGATATGCTCTCATTGATAGGAAAGTTAACCTTTGTATGTCGTGTGGTTCTAAGTGGAAAAACATTCCTGCGTAGGATGATTGACACCTCAACAAAAGCAAAATTTCTCCATCATAAAATCAAGATCACAGCAATGTTTAGATCAGACATTGAATGGTGGATATCATATTTACCCACTTGGAATAGCATAACATTGTTCTATGAGGATGACTGGTCTTCTAACATAGATATGAAGCTGTACACAGATGCTTCAAAACATCATTACGGAGCGTACTTCAACGGACGATGGCTAAATGGATCATTTAGCATATCCGAATCTGATCAGCATATCACATGGAAGGAACTTTATGCACTGGTAGTTGCTATAGCTACCTGGGGACAATTTTTAACCACAAAGAAAGTGCTGATGCATTGTGACAATTTAGCAGTGGTTCATATTGTGAACAATGGTACAAGTAAAAATAAACACGTCATGGCACTAGTGAGAGCACTTTCCTTTGTTTGTGCCAGAAATCAGATAGACTGTCGAGCTGTTCATATAGAGGGCTCTAGGAATTCTATATCAGATGCCCTCAGTAGAAATAAAATGTCTGAATTTTACAATCTAACAAAGAACATTTCATTGGAAAAGTTTGAAGCAGTCAGTGTGTTTCCTATGTATTGACGATGATGTTATATGATGATATGATGCTATATAATTATTACAATTATATTGCCATTGACTTCTATATTTGTGCTTTGAGATTTTAAACCTAAATCAAACAAAACAAAACAAACAAGTTGTTATTATTTAACAGTTATTGCATTAATTAATATTTTAACTTTCTTTGATGTTACCTACATATTTTAAGTTATTGGTTGGGCCGTTTTTTGGGCGGTTTTATCGCAATTTATAATAATGTTATGTGAATAAAAATAAAAAATTCCGCTCATGTTTAAGCCCAACCAATAGTGTTTGTTAATGTGTATAGTATTTGTCCAAAAAGGATGACGACAATTAATGATTATTTATATGTGTAAATGGTTTTTAATGGGAGGAATGACTGTAATGCCATCTATGTTTTTAAATTCTGATCAATTTCTGTTGAATCATTGCCAGTTGAACAAAGTTTTCGAAACTCACAGCTTTCGGAATTCCAATGCCAATCTTTTTTCAGTGTTTACCATGAACTTATTGGGCAATGGTGTGAATGCCAATATGTTAACTTGTGGCATTCATGTTTTTTAACCTTAATAACGAATCCTGGAGATGTTTGGATATATCCTGGTTTAGGGAAGTGAGCACTTTTGTTTCTACATTTACACCATTGAAAGGTGTGAGTACTGTACATGTGTTTTCTAATATGGTCATATGTAATTGAAAGGTGTGAGTACTGTACATGTGTTTTATAATATGGTTATATGTAATTGTAAATGCACCTGGTTTAGTATCTTCTGATGAAGTTCCTGGAGGCATTCCTGGAGTTGGAATATATCAAAGATCTTGAAGCACTGTATTCTTTGACACATTTCTTCATACTTCTGAAGGTATTGAAAAAACAACAAAATATATAAACTTTCCAGACAAGGTGACTCACACAGGTTTCAGACCTAGTGGAGCAGTCATGTCATGCCACACATTGTCCACATACATGTATTGTCCTAAACTTGTTAAAAACTTACTGAAGGTATTGAAAAACAACAAAATAAATTAGACAAGGTAGGTCACAAAGGTTTCAGACCTAGTGGAGCAGTCATGTCCTAAACTTGTTAAAAACATCAACAGACCTCCACATTTATTTATTTATTTATTTATGTTTATTTTATCCACCAATAATGATGTGTATACATATAATTTATAATAAAATCATAGAAAATAAAACTAAGCTATACAGGTTAAGTAGGGGAAAAACATTCAATTATAATATCACCAATTGGTGATTACCGCTTAAGCCTTATAGTTACTATGTAAAATACCTGTTTTTAGGCCTATTTAGATACATTTTATATACAGATTTACATATAATATCATATTCTACATCACAAAGTATCGAATCCGCGCCAAATATAATTGGCAACAATACACTACTAGGGGGGAGGGGTTGATTCAAAAATAACTTTTTACAGATATTTAATATTTCTATGCGTTAAAACAGCTTGTTCTTATTCTGTGCTTTAACATTTACTAATACATAACATTGTACACTGTATACAGCACTCAATTTGCATATCTTATTTTCGCTACATTTTTTTTACATATATTTTTAATGTTTTTTCATTTCAGTAAAATAAAACCTACAAGTAATAATTATAAACTTTACATGTGACCTGGTACCTCTTCTGTAATGTCATGTGACTGCATAACCTGGTGAAGTCTGCTGGGACAAAGTGAGCCTCCTGTGTCAATATACACAACATTGTGATCTGTCTCCATGACAACTGCCACTGCTGTTGCAATGCACACCTGTGTCTTCCCAGCAGCAGGAGGACCAATCATCTCTGTTATCTCCCCTGTGTACAACCCTCCATCCAATAAAGTATCAAGTCTGCAAAAACAATCATGATAAACCATGACATCTTATTTCTTCCCAGCCCTGAGATGTTTCAGGTGAAACAGAAAGATGCTATGAGTATCAGAATGACAAAAACAATGAAAAAGTGTTTAATCAAGGAAAACAGTAGAAAGGAATGAAAAACACAACAATGTTTATTCGGAAATACATGTATACAGTGCAACTTAGATCAAGAACTCAAGTAGATGCTTTTGATCTCTGTTCGAATACACATTTCTCAATCTATAATTGTTGAATAACATTACTTACCCATGTGAACCCGTAGATAGGATGGCACTAGCTGAGACCGCCTCGTCATACATGTCAACACCAGACATTGGAAATGAACTGTACTGAGCCAACAGGACCCGGCGTATTGCTGTCAACTCCTAAATAGAATGATGAAACTTTTCCAATACAGGGGTAGGAGCAGAATTCAATAGTCAACATGTAATGAGAAATTAGGAATCAATGAGTGCAACTTTCATAAGACTTATAAATCAAAAAACTTTATCAAAATATTGAGGCTCAAACTGCCTGTTCAAAATTTCTTGAATTGAGTAATTAGCAATGATGCCCCTTGGTAATTGTATCTTATTACATGACAGGAACATGCACATTCAAAATTTCTGGAAATTTCTGAATGATGTTAACAAATTGCTGAGCTCCAATATCTCTCCTTTGGTATTTCTCCAGAGATTTGGAACGCTACTTCGTGAATTTCTGCCATTTTGGTTTCTCAGTAGAAGATATCCACTTGAGGATAAAGAGAAGTTCTGATTTGCACAGAAGCAGCTGATAAAGTAAGATGATTTCAGTATTTCAGTTTCAACTTCATGATTCTGAAGCGGGTGATAGGTGACAAGCAAAAGCTGTTCTACCAGATCTTCAGTCAGCCTTTGAAAAACGTAAACTTTTTTTTAAGAATGCCAGATGACAAATCTTCACGGTAAATTAATTAGAGGTGCAAACAATATGTAACAGAATCATTTCCCGAGGAAATTCCAAAGTAAGAGAATTACAACTGTTGAAGTCACTGATTTGAAATTGAATTTATTCAACTTTCCTAACCTGATAAGGAAGGCCACAATCTTTTGATAACTCTTCCAAACCTCGATTCAAAAATTCAATCACAGTAGAAACATTTGCCTCCTTAAGTCTTTCAACCACTGTAGCTGTCAATCCTGGGCATGCATCAGGCCGTAATGAAGGCATTTTCAATAAAGTAATGCTTTTCACTTTTTAAATTTGACAACCGGAAGTAGTCCTGCGAAATTACGCTGCAGTGCCATCTACCGAGGGACATTTTCTGTAAAAATTATAATTTTATTTTCTATTACCAATTAGCGTTATATACCTTCGTTGGCTGATCTGAAACAGCAAATATATGTGGCATCTACTTCAATATTGATAAGGTATGTGATACAGATTGCATTATTGTTGTTTCTTTCATCAAAGTTGATATAACAGGTCTTTCTCAGCTCCATCCATTGAATCAGACCCTACAGAGAATTGAGAATGGATTGGATAGGCTTAGCCCAGGCCTAGCCATGGTGCCTGTAAGTTATAATCCTGAATTATACATATGTTTGTTTGTTTGTTATCTTACCCTAGGTTACAGGTTCTGATGTAAATCAAGATAGGCCTATATAATCCATCTCATCAGACCAGTCCCGTCTTTGGATCAAAATTGTCCTTCATACGTTCAAGAGTGGCTAGAATTGTTGTTGATTAGACATAATTTTTGATTGTTCCATCTTAATCTTTTGTTACAAGGGGAGGCATCAAAAAATTGATGTCGGACCAAAAACTAAATAAATCTAGTTCATAGTTCATTCACGAGCGACTACTGGTAAAACTACAATCCTACGGAATAACAGGAAAATTACTAGCCTGGACGAGGTCTTTTCTTACAAACAGGGCACAGAGAGTTTCGGTAAATGGTAAAGTATCAGAGTGGGCCCCTGTAACCTCTGGTATACCTCAGGGAACTTGCCTCGGGCCGACCCTGTTTGCTGCCTTCATCAACGATTTACCTGAAGCAACAAAGAACGAGATACTCATGTACGCTGACGATGCAAAACTTTACGGCAAAGTTAAAACCGAAGAAGACAAAAGAACACTACAAAAGGATCTGGATAATATGTCTAAGTGGTCAAATAAATGGCAGTTGCCTTTTAATACCGCTAAATGCAAAGTAATGCACCTTGGACATGGAAATGATCAACATAAATATACCATGAATGACCAGATCTTGGATATCACCAAAACTGAAAAGGACCTTGGAGTCAATATCGACAATAATCTCAAGTTCCACCAACACGTTGACCTATCAGTCTCTAAAGCCAATAGCATCCTTGGAATAATAAAAAGAACTTTCTCCCATCTGGACAAAACAATCCTCCCTCTTCTCTACAAATCACTTGAAAGACCCCACTTGGAATACGCAAACAGCGTATGGAATCCTCACCACAATATGGATATTGACAAGCTAGAAAAGGTCCATAGACGAGCGACAAAACTTGTACCAGAAATTAAGGACATGAATTATGGGGATAGGCTAAGATACCTGAAGCTACCATCACTCCTGTACAGAAGGAGACGAGGGGATCTCATCCAAACCTACAAAATCATAAAAGGTCTTGACAGGATTAATATCACTGACATTGCTGAAAAATCTGAAGCTCATAGAACCAGAGGAAACACTGAGAAGCTCAATACAAGATACAGTAGACTGAATGTCAGGAAGAATGTTTTCGGAAACAGAATTGTGAAAGACTGGAACAATCTCCCACAGACTGCAATAGATGCTGACAATGTCAACCAGTTCAAGGCGCAAATTGACAAACACTTCCACAACCTAAAGTACCACTACAACTAGATGACAGCCCCTTTAACCCATGTCCAGTGAGCTTTCAAGAAAACAACCCCCACCCCCACCTTTTTCCCACTTAGTAAGACCTTACATATAACAAGATCTGGATAATATAGGATTCTTCCTTCTTCCAGAAGAAATGGTATACAGGTATACAGGTATACAGGTATAGTAGCATGGCCTTTCAATTAGAAGGGTATGCAACTCTGTGTACATTTCAGTTTGTAATCCGACAAATTTCAACATTTCAATTTTTTGCGATTTTGACTCTTAATGCCTTAGAATGGTTTAAAAATAAAGATTTTTTGATGTTTTCGTCAAGCTCATTCCAATGGATCTATTACTAGTTGTTCAAAGCTGCAAACACTAGGACTTAAGGTTCAGCTGGAAAGTAACATTTTGGTAAAAAATTGCTATACCTGCACATGTTATTTTCTGGTACAAAATTAAGTATGAAGGCATGTGTGTATTTCCTTGCTTTTTTCAGGAAAGTATCATTACACTGTCTACTTTTAGTAAACCTGGAAACAGGTCAATGGTAGCTCCTGTGTTGTCTGGAAACTTTGAAAGAAAATTTGGAAAAAAAGAAATTGTGAAATATCAGAATTTCCTGGAGTTCCCATTGAACTCCTACTAGATATTCTTAAAGAAGACAGTGTAATGATACTTTCCTGAAAAAAGCAAGGCAATTGACATTTGTCTTCATACTTTATTTTGTACCAGAAAATAACATGTGCTGGTATAGCAATTTTTTACCAAAATGTTACTTTCCAGATGTACCTTAACAGAAATTATATCATTTTTAGAAATAATTTTTCAAATTCTCAAACCGGAAGTCCGCGATCAACTTTGATGGTATTAAGTTTTGTGGGGAGGGGGGTCAAACTCAGAACTAGATTTATTTAGTTTTCAATCCAACATAAAACTTTTGATGCCTCCCCTTAGTGCACACAAACCTGACGCATTAAGCTAGCTGTGCCGTAATAAGTTATGAGGTGTTAATTGTTTGAAAACTTATGGTAAAGGAAGCCCTAGACTAGGTAGTGTGATGGTTGTTATAGATTTTTTCGACTGGCAAAATATGTGCAATAATTGAAGGTGGCTATTAAATATATCATGTAACAACCAGGGTTGTCACACTTAATTTTGAAATCAGACATAGTCATGTAATCACCCCATAGTGGATTGTAAAAGAAACATAGAATAAAAACACATCAGCCAAGAGAAAATAAATTGAACGTCAAAAATAATTTTTTCCTCGTAAATTATGGAAATCTCAGTCTCAATTTTAGAGCATCAGCAACAGGTTATAATGTGTCAGTAAACAAATACAGCTGACAACTCATTCATGATAATTAAATTACAAATGTATTTGTATCACAGAAACTGTCAGATATGAATCAATTTACTTTACTTAATGACAAAATTGTCATGTAATTGTCTGATTGTATTGTTGGGCTGGCAAGCCATACTTATTTTGTATTACGTCATGATCGGGGCTTACGCCATATTGAAATAAACTGGACAAAGTCAGCCAATATATCTCTTAGTGTTATTAGAAATATAACGTAACAGAACATGGTGTCAAACGTTGGATGCGAGCCTACGGGGATATAAAACCACAGAGAAAAAGTAGGACATGTAAAACTTGTCTGAAAGTGACCAGATTAGAGGTATTTTTGGTGTTTAACTTTGATTGCCGGTGAAATTTTGTGCAAATTTCGAGCATGACATTTTGCGCACGACACGGATTACATCATTGCTTTGCTGATATGTGCACACGACACGGATTACGCTATTGCTTCGCGGAGATATGCAAATGACATGGATTGCGTCATTGCTGCTGTACTACAGTAAGAATTTGAGTCCAACTGATATTTGTAAACTTATGAACTGTACTTCTGCTCTTGTGTATTAACTATCGTGATTATATTGTCATCTTTGGATTATTATAATGGCCAAGATACAGCCTCCAAGCCCTTTTAACTTTGATAAACCCAATGAGTGGATTGCTTGGAGAGAAAGGTTCCTGAGGTTTAGGCTAGCTACAAAACTAAACAAAGAGGATGACATTACACAAGTCAGTCAACTTATCTATATTATGGGCCAATCCGCAGAAGACATATACAAACAGTTTACGTTTGAGCCCTTACCAGTTGCTGAAGATGGCCAAATACTTGATCCGCCAGACAACAGGTACAATTTTGATGCCGTTTTGGGCAAATTTGATAACTATTTTGTGCCAAAGATAAACATTATTCATGAACGAAGGGTCTTCAACCTTAGACAACTGGGAGAGTCAGAAACAATGGAGGAATATATCCGAGATTTGTATAAACTGAGTCAACATTGTTCATTCGTTGACAGAAACGAAATGATTCGCGATAAGATCATCGTTTCCATCAAAGACAGAGACTTGTCAGAGCGAGTCCAGACACTTGCCATGACGTGTGATCTCACTCTAGAGAAAACTATTGAACTAGTTCGTAGTCATGAACTTATAATATCACAGTCTCAAGCTGAAGGGAGACCTACTGATACAAGTAACGTTGATTTTGTTCGTAAGCGACCCCCGCAACAGAGAGCTACACGACAAAACTACAGAAAACAAGACCAGGCACAACACAAAGCAGACAAACACAAGTGTGACAGATGTGGCTACATTCACAGAAATGATAAATGCCCTGCTAAAGGGAAAACCTGTCATAATTGCAAGAAATTAAATCATTTCTCAAGTGTGTGTAAATCAAATAAGAAATCTGTTGATAAAAGAGTTGTACATGAATGTTATGATGAATGTGCTGATGCCGATCTTGACACTACTGAGTTTCATGTAGGTGAGCTTGTGCATTTGGTTGATTCTGCCAAGTCACTGATTGTAGATAGGCACACAGAGCCACCATGGCGTGTGACCTTACCCATTTGTGGTAAATTGATGAGTTTCAAGATCGACACAGGCGCTGATGTAAATGTTATGAGTAACAAAGCATATGAATGCCTTACACCAAAACCTAGGTTACAAAGGCATGATGGTCCTCCACTGAAGTCAGTAGGTGGGGTAATAGATACAAGAGGTTACTTTATAACAAATAGCAATCTTGATGGTACCAAATTCTCAATGAGAATATTTGTATTAAATGGGCCAAAGTGTGATAACTTATTATGTCGCAGATCTGCTAAAATGTTGAATCTAGTTACTAAAAATGTACATATTGTAACTCAGACCTCTCAGAGCGAGGCAGGTAAAAATGGTTCTGATCCTGGTAACCATAGAAATAAAATTCCAATGCCCCCTAGTAACAATACTTCTGAAATGCCAGGTCATGTAAAAGACCCCATAAATGATAATGAATTGTATGGGGAAGTGGGTACAATGAAATGTGAG